CCAGACTGTAAAGTGTGGCACAAGTTGCTTAACATAGGTTGAGGACGTGATTTCATGCACCATCATCACCAAAGAAGCCAAGGTGCATGTGACTGGATGCGGGTTGCCAATTATGCTTCTCCACAAATCACAATTTAGTGAGATTCACGATCAAGCAATATGGCCAATGTGCCATATTGATCTATCATTTATATGCTACAATCGTAACTACATGTTGTAGCGCGTAGCTTTGAGAGCTACATATAGGCCAGGATGGAATTCTAAAATTGGTGGTTCATATATTAAATTCAATCCACCTAGGGTTCAATTTTGATCCAAAAATTTTAGTTGGAAGAAAGGGGTAGGGAATGGAGAGCTTAAAGGGGTGAGTAAAAAATGACGTCCATCTTTTCGACTTGAACCAATGACCGCAACGCGTGAGGTTAGACATTCATGTTTAGTTACCGATAACCATAGTGACAACTGACAAACTATCAATTTTTTAGAATCAGTTCATTTTAAATTTCCTTATTTACTTCAGATTTAAAACCAATATCTTATGTATAATGATGCTGGTATCCATGATACTTTGCTGGTCTACTTATAGGACTCAAATTGAACTTGAAGGAGTCTAAAAAACTCTCTGCTTTGCCACTATGCGGCAATATCTACTTCAGGGTGCGCACTGGTCATGGAAAACCTGAAAAGTCATTGAATTTGATTTTTAATTTTCCAGGCCTGGAAAGTAATGGGATTTCATTTCAGGGTATGGAAAGGCATGGAATTTGCCAATAAATGAAGAAAAAAATATAACTCAGTACTCGCTGCAGTGAGTGACAGAGAGTGCATTTTCTTGTTGATGAAAACTTGAGGTCACGGATGGACGGACGGACAGACAGACAGACCGACATGGCAAGCACAATAGTGCATTTTTTCCATAAATGAGAAAATGCGCTAAAAAGGAAGCGTTTTTCTGTGCTGCGTGTGCTAATCCATTAATGGAGAGCAGTTCCATTTGTAACCAACAGAAAAAAATGGTTTCATAATGAAATTGCAAGATCAAATAAATAAACAAGTGGATGCATAAGTTTGATACACATCTTGGACATGTTCTGGCAATGTTTGGTTCTGCTGTGCCGACTACTCTCTTTCAGTTAACATTCAAAGATTACAAGAACCAGGTCATGGAAAAGTCATGAAATTTTTTTCTGTATGCACCCTGCTACAATGCTACTTCCTTCATCTCATATTATCCAGAAGGTAATAAAGTTAAATTTTAGATAATTAATTTCTATTTGCATCAACAGATACATTTACCTTTCTATTTGGCATATGCAAACAGCAATATAGTATGCTAAAGGCTTTGATGTCTTTACCCTGGTGAGCACTGAGAGGCGAGTGCAGACGCTGGTGGTAGTCGGATGAGTGCAGACTCTGGAGGCAGTCGGACGAGCACGGATCATCACTCATGTTTTCATTAAAAAATATTTAAGGTTATAATTATTAACTGAGTGATACGAGTCAATTCAATAAGCCTCATCTTTCACTCATTTTTGGCCATCATGGCCGATTTCTTTGTTAGTTGTAAGGAACTGGAATGTTAGCTGCAAATCATATATATATATATATATATATATATAAACAAATGTTGGCTGCAAATCATAGTTCAAGTTATTTAACACTTGCACAATTTCTGATGGAGGTTTAAAATATATTTGGATCTTTATTCATTATGCCAAGAAACAATTTTTTTACAATCCTTCAGATGATCTCACTCATCGTCATCTAAATATTTAAAATGTAACCATTTTGTCATTTTAAAGACTCCATTGACTACAGAGCAATAAGCAATTGGTAATTATTTCTATCACAGGACAATGATAATATATACTTGTATTCCAAATTTCGAGCAGATCCCTTTGGTATTGAAGGAGGTATTAGTGGGTTTGGTTGAGAGAAAAGTTAGGTTGTTTGTCTGGAGGAGTGTCGATTTGGTCTTAAGGGGACCGCCCTAGCATAAGAAAACTTCTACAGTTATTATCCGATTGTCATGAAACTTCACATACATACGTAAAATGTAAAAAAAACATTTTGCTCCTATGAATTTTTCGAAAAAATTGATAGAAAACGTGAAATTCATAGAAAACGGCTAAAAAGGGGTAGGTACTTTAGAAAATCTATCTCCTCCTACAAATATCATCCTACAACATCGAGACACGTATCAATCGATTCGTAAAGACCATATCTATTGACTCTAACATCACTTTTTTCATTTTCCATCTAGTTTTTTTTATTGCGTTTTTTTCTATTTTTCCCATTTTTTCTCATTTTTCACCCCTCCCCTCCCTTCTCCCCCATATAAAAAACAAACCAGACCGAAATTCAAAAAAGTGATGTTAGAGTCGATAGGCCTGGTCTTTACGAATCGAATGGTATATGTCTCATTGCTGTAGCTTGAAAACTGTAGGAGGAGATAGATTTGCCGTGAGAGCAGTATGAGGTCTGTCTCTTATACACATCTAGATGTGTATAAGAGACAGGTGCTCTTTCAAACAAGACTATGCCCACTTTAGTGCCATGATTGGCTGCTTAATGCCAGGCCTTCCTTTGTGGAGTGACCAGCGCGTCATTTATCCTCGTAGAGTTTTGTTAAGGGACCTAAAACCCGCCTCCCTTTGAGGAGCTGTCACAAAGTCATTTTTTGACGTACAGGGACGATACTTATACCATTCGATGCGCAAGAAAACAACCTTTAAGATGAGATAAGAAACAGAAAAACTCAAAATTTTCAAATTTTAGCTAGGGCGGTCCCCTTAAGCCATTGAACTGACACATGCATTGGGGAGCCGCATATGTGTTGCTTTGTTTGGTCAATATAACCTTAGTAAACATTGAGCATTAGAATCACAAATATCTCTTGCTTACTTGTTTAAGTGCTGGTCCTATATATTATGCTACTGTTTTAAATGATGTTTCTTTTATTATTAACCTATCAATAATTCTTGCAGCGTATTTATCTATTGATAAAATTAATTGTCTGTTGAATTTGTTCATGTATCAAATGAATTTTAAATACTCGTACTCAAATTTGTGTGACTGAAATCCTGATATATCATCACTATTAAATTTTAATAAAATTACAATTAATTTTAATACAATTTTATTTTCACTCCCATGATGATCATTTTTACCAGCTGCAGCTGTAGATTTAAATTAAATTTATGAAATAAATCAAACTTAAATTTCATTGAATTAAATTTAATTTTTTTATACTACCATACATGACATGGTACATGCTGTAGAATTAAATTATATTTAAAAAATGTTAAGTTGGAAATTTCAATTGAAATTTTGAATGAGAAATTAAATTTTATTTAAATAAATGTAATTATTAAAATACACCTCATAGTACATGCCTAAGCGCTCAATCATTATTTAATGCAATAATTTCCGCTTCAACAATGAACAATGTCTAAAAGACACGAGATGTTCAAAAGCGTGCAATGGGAGACGAAATCATTCATAATCTGAAGTGAAGTTATTTAGACAATATTGACAAAATGGGGAAAAAACATGAAAAAATTTATATCTGGAGGCGTATCAATGAGTGTATATAATTTGAAACAACTTTCCAGCATTTAAATGTTAGTATGGAATGTGGATGAAATCAATTTATTGTGAAAGCGATTTTGACATGACCAAAACAAAAGTGTTTGACACCGCCTTGTCAAATCTTTTCATGAAAGCATGATGTGCCCGTATGCCTTGAAAAAATTGCAGTTTTTCTCACAACTTTGTGTGGTATTGAAAACTTTGTTTTGGCATTGGCAAAATCATGAGAATTTTTGTGAAGGTTTATTTGATTTTTTATATTTTAGAACATATTCACTGCAATAATTTGTCAACTAAAGATAAACGACTATTGAATATAATCGCCAACTCAGCATTGGATTCCGAACCGAGGCCCACGTCCGAGAGAGGATCCAATCATTCATGGCAGTGCAGTTTTTTTTTAGCTCAGTATCTCACTGGTCACTGCCGTGGAAGGTGTTACGTGGTAAGCTTTTTGATCCATTTTATTTTCTTATATGAACATGAGTATATATTGCCTATCCATAGTTCCACACTAATTTTGGCAACCAAGCATATGTGCTCACAGCCACCTGAATGACCTGATTTACGCAATGTAGTCAGCATGGTGGAATTCTGTATTGGTTGGTTGGTTGGTCATTTAGATCCTTCAGGATCCCTGTTTAAAAATATATAATGAACAAACAGAACAGAAGCCGAGAAAGAAATTTAAAACAGAAGCTTCCGGCATTTTTAAAACAGAAGCCCAGTTTACATGCAGCTTTCAGTTCCTATCCTCGACAAACTGTAAATAGGTAGTAGTACTTTCTGCTCATGCTGTCTCATTTATGTTTGTTTTATATTTGATTTTGGTTCTAATGTCCTCAAGTTTTGGTGAATTGTTTGAATGTGAATTTTAGATTACTAATTGTTTGTACCTGTGTTCTAGGTTTTAAACTGACAATGGAGCTGGACTCCAAAATGTTTTCTCTTAGAAGAATTGGCGAACTTTTTAGCTTTTTTCTTTGTTTTTAAATTCTTGGTAAATTTGCAATTTATCAACCAAGTGATCTTGACACTGAAATTATTTTCAGAGTAGTTTTTAGTTCTGATTTCAACTGTGTCCACAATACCAACTTTTTATTTATGCTACAGTCATTTCTAAATTTTAATTTCAAGTGTTGAAAACTCTTCACCAGCTTAATAAGGAATATTGTATATTCCAAATGTTGCATTCTATTGAAATGTCTTTTGTTAACCTGCTTTTTGTTCTTCCTAAAGAAATTTTGTTTGTCTCATCCAGAAGACAAATAAGAATATTATAAATGAAAAACATTCTCTAGCCTTCAATCAAACTTGTTCATCTTTCTATATTACCTTTCCTAAATTCTGCCTTGTGAATGATTTACTGCTAGACCAGCAAATTCTTTAATGTTTTTCCAATGTACAGTCATGCAAAAAGTTGCACTCTTTCCAGATGTAGTTGATTTGGCAAATATTTTGTCTGATATATATAGCCAAATGACCAATGATAGACAGCAACATTTCTTGAAGTTATGATAAGGCAATAAAGTTAACTCCATATAATATATTTATAATAAAATATATAGCAGCCATGTCTCGTCACAGAAACATCCGCAATTTAGATTATGATGAAGGTAAGTTTAGTTTGCAGGTCCTATTATAATAAGAGCAAGCATTTGAAAGTACTTGCATGTGCTTATGTTTCCACTAGTTTTTATTGGTCAGTCAGTTTAAAAGTGAGTAAATTCTGGAGTAATTTTAAAATTAAACTTGAAAAACAAATCAATACACTGAGAAAATGTTTAATTTTTACTAATCATACAGCATTTCTTGATTCATTTCAGAATGTATCAATTACAGAACCAGACAAATTTTTTCAATCCTTCTGTTTTGTTTGGTGCACACTGCAAAGCATATTGAGCAATCCTGCCATATTCCATTAATGAGGGCCATGCTTATGCATGAAAGTTTTCTGGTGCCACCAGTAGTGATGAAGAATATTTATAATTGGATATATTTTTGTACATATAAAATCCACTATCAATGTTATGTTCATACTGTTTCATTTTTAGCGCATTTTCTCATTTATTGACAAAATGATTGTACTTGTCATATCCATCTCTTTGTCCGTCCGTCTGTGACTTCACATTTTCGTCAACAAGAAAATGTATGCTCTGTCACTCACTGCAGTGAGTACTGTGTTACATTTTTCCTTCATATTCTTTATGAAGGCAGAAGGCTAGATAGCTAGAAATTTTGAGATCATGCATCATTCTAGACTAAGGTTAATCTACAGTTTTTGTTTAATTTACAGAGTATGATGAAGCTTGGGATGAATCTGTCTATGGACGATCAGTTGATGACTGCGACACCTGCATATCTCCAACAGCCGGTGAGGTTTTTTAAAGTTAACTTCCTATTTTTTATTTATTTATGTTGTATTATATGGATCAAATCATACCCTGGTGTGACCTGTGCTTCAATTGTTTCAATTTCAAGCAATTCATGCTTCATATTACGAAGTCATGGAGACTAAATTGAATTAACTTTCATTCCAATTCCAAAAATATCTAGACATTTTTTATCACATTACAGGGAAGGTTTTAACAAAACATTATCATGTACAAATGCTTCATTTTCCAGAACAATATCTGTACAAGCGCTCTGGACAAGGTAACTTCAGCAATTTCTTCCAACACCAAGATGAAATTGTTGAAGAAGACGTGGAGGCTCAACCTGAAGTGCAGGTAGTAACACTTTTCCATGCTAGTATACTATAAATTAACTAAAAATTTAAAAGCAAAGAATAGTCCACAAAAATTCATATCTTTATAGAAAACGTTTCGGAGTCCAGCTCCATCGTCAGTTCATAGAATCTAGAACATACATAGAAAGTCACAAGTTAATACAATTGAAAGCACAGAACACAATTAGAACCTAAATTTACAAGTAATAGGGCATAAAAACCTATCTATTCACAATTTCAAGGGGATAGGAGCTCACAGCTGAATTTAAACTGGGCCTAAGCTTAAAAATGTACAATGATTCTAAGATACGCAAATCTGAAGTACCGGAGGTAGAAGCTAACACCCTAAAGTCACTGTCAGAAACAGGCACATCACACTGCTCGGCGTGAGTGCGCACAGCCGAATGAGGGGGGCGCGATAGCAACTGTCCGGTCCTACAACTCCTGCCCTTATGCTCAGCGATCCTGGAATAAAGATTGCGTGAAGTCATACCGACGTACGCAGATGCACATTGTGCACAACGAAATTGATAAACCAGGGACGATCGCATATGAACAGGGAGCATATCTTTATATCTAAAAAAAGAACCGATTTTGAAACTGTTAACCAGAACAATATGGAGTTTAATGCTAGGAAAGTATCTATTGAACAAGACTTTCAACTCTCTTGACATAGCTTCGGACGCAGGGCCGAAGTATGGAAAAGAACAAAAAATAACGTTCCTACTATCGCGCTCGGGAGCAACCTCACTGAATCGCTTCGACATGAATTTCTTGATTTGGGTATACACCAAACTTGCCGGAAATCCATTGAGCGAGAAAATATTTCTTAAAAATTCAAATTCAGCATGCATAGCCTGGTATGTTGAGCAAATGCGAAAACCTCTGTATAATAATGTTTGAAGCCCATTTAACTTGAACCGGAATGAACAAAAACTAAAGAAACTGGTATTTAGGCCGGTGAATGTCGGCTTTCGGAACACAGAAGTTAAAAAACGGCCATTAGATTTCGTAATATTGCAATCAAGGAAGGACAAACTATTATTAGATTCGAGCTCCATGGTAAATTTGATAGAATTATGTTGAGAGTTTAGGTAATCAAAGAAAGGTTTGACATGGGAGGGATGTTTGAAAATTAGAAATGTGTCATCGACATATCTGTTATAGAATATTGGTTTAAAATCAAGAGGACAATTGGCCAGCCAAGAAACCTCGTGAAAACACATAAAAATATTCGCAAAGGTCGGGCCAAGCAGTAGTCCCATGCCTAAACCGTCAATCTGTCTATAAAACTTGCCAGCAAATATGAAAAACGAGTTAAGAACTGATAATTCTAAAAGCGATTTAAAAAATTTACGGTTTAAACCACACACAAGATCGTTAACATTTTTAAACGGAGAATTGAGACAAATTTCAATTGTTTCGTGAAGGGGTACATTGGTGAACAAATTTTCTACGTCAAAGGAGGCCATAGTTAAATCCTGAACGTCAGTAAAATGTTTCAAGCTTTTTTTTTTTCTTTGCTTTTAAATTTTTAGTCAACTTGCGATTTAAGCAAATAAGTGACATTAATACTATAAATTATTCTTGGATGTTAGGTCTATTTATGCTCTCTGCTGTACATTGTATGTAGTTGAAATGCAATGTTTGTGAGTTTTTAATAGATAATAGACATAGATTATAGATATGGGGTATATAGATTGAATCTTTGCTGTCCCTTCGCAGGATTCATCTGGTTTCCTTCATCATATTGGTAATTTAAAAAGTCTGTATTTTGTATTCTTTCACTATTTTGAATTACGTTTTTTTCTAAATCATCTTGTTATGGTTGCTTTTATGTGAAAATTGGCATTTCTTTTGTTTAGATTGGTGGAGTAGGTATCTTCTTCCTCCAAGTATCTTTGATACCAAGTTGCATTACTCAGAAATGAATGAACTCCCAGATTCCCTTCAGTATTTGAGGGAACAGTTTAAAGTAGTCAAACATTTGATTTTTCTGCAATAGCCATGACTGTGAATATGTCCTATTGCAATTAATGAGCTTAAAATGTATAATTTACAGAAGTCTTCAAAACCCAAATTATCTGATGAAGAAGAGGCACGCATGCTATCACTCCTGGATCAGATCCGCTCAGTCTTGGGTGGCACTGTCAGCGAAGACCAAATGAGGACTGAAGTCTTGAAGAACAAGTTTGACCTGGAAAAATCCATTGATAAACTTCTCAACAAAGCTCAGCCTGATTTCCAAGCCTACCCTGGTAATTACAATTATGCTGAGTAATTTATTTGCATTGCGATATTTATTTGAATGAAGCCGTTGCTTCATCCTTCAGGAATGCAATAGTATTTTTTGTTACCATGTTGATGATTTGGATCATGGGAGAAGGAAGTTCTATCTAAAAAATGATATACTGGTACTCAATTTTAAATAGCGAATTTCATTAATGAAAAATATTATGTTTAATAAGGTGCCAATTGAATTTCTTAAGAACTTCTGAGTCCTGGTTCAAGTTAGTCATTATCATGTTCAGAGAACTATTTATTAGCATGCAATAAATAACCCGTATACAATTAATTAATGAGAAAATGTACTTTATTTAAAGAAAACTGATTAAAATTATACTGAATAACATTAAATTAATCAAAGTTATCAATAGGGACTTCTTGACAAGCAATTTCCTCTTAATGCTGTCCTCATTATAAGATACTAGTGACGTAAAAAATTGTTATTGCGATTTGTGAATAGGGAGTTGCACCATAGTTATCAAAATAAGAACTGAATTACTCAGGAAATCTCTGGCATTTAAGCATATACCGGTACCGGTAATTGTATTAGAAATGAAAGGATAGTAAGGAAGAAGATATCAAGAGAATGCACATATACTTAAATGCTAAAAATTCTTTAAAAATATCTCACTCTTGGGCCAATCATTTGCTTAGAGCAATTAATCCTGTGTGTTTTAATTGCACAACCACATTTTCTGAAATCATTTGTTCTCATTGTGTACATGGTATATGTAATGTACAACAATCTATTTGTTGTATACTAGGGCCTGGAGAATAGTTAGTATTCACCGTTTTCTCTATTTTCGATATGTGGTGCTTTGATATTTTCATTAACGCTGTTTTAAGACCCAAGGACCTTATACGGTGACTGTCAATTTAAATTTTATAGAATTCATATCTCGCTCTCAAATAGTTGAGATACGCTGACTCGTCTATTGGTATGAAACTAACAATTATGACAAACTTCCATTGACAACAATGGGTTGAATAACTACTACCAAACTGAACGTTAATTTGTTGTATATTGGGTTATGATGACATGCCATCCAAAAATACTATCAAAATATGATTCTGTACAATTCAATCTAGGAAGATTGTAATCCTCCTGTTGCAACAAACTGGTTCTGGGTGAAAAAATTTGAGTCTGTTTGAAAAACTTGCATTGCACTCTCACCTGAGTCAGATGCTAAAAATGTTAAATTTGTATTAATATTCCTATGGTTGAAATTTTTCAGTATTATATTCCTATGGTTGAAATTTTTCAGTTCAAGCCCAGCACAATGGCAGAGCAGACAAACCTGTGGTGACAACCCCTCAGCGACCCCAGCAGCAGAAAATGAAACCCAACAAAACCAAGAGCAGCACTGCTAAAGGTGAGCACCAGATGCAGGAGGATTCATTTATTCATATATCAACCTAGGTTATAATCATTCTCAAGGGTTATAATCAATGACATCATTCAAAAATAGAAGTGCTTCTAACCTGACGATGTAGAGTTGTTTTTTCAAGTTGAATTTTGTGTTTAATGACTGAGTCTTGTGTAAATTTGCAGTTTTAATAGCATAAATATTTTCAATATAATATCTTTATTGTTATTAGTACTATTGAAATACGCCACAAAATCATTTGAATTAAACGAATGTCAGTACGTAGGTATTTCAAGAGGATCACAATTTCAAATGCTTTAAGAATGCATGTTCAATTATTTATTTACAGAAAGCTGGTGTATTATTTTAGTATAAATATCTCAATATTTTTGTGTCTTGCATAACATACTTCGATTGGTGCTGACATTTTGGCTTTATCTCTTCTTTGTGCATGGCTGTTGCTGCGACAATCATGCTGCCTTCTCTCCTGCTTCTCTTTCCCAATGCCATACGTAAGGTAAGATTACGAGTCTCAGTTGTTACCATTTTCTTACGCATTGCCAGAGAGTTACTACTCTAGCACTGCGTTTATTTTTGATAACGGTAAGTGCTTGCGGGTTCCTGCTGCTCGCATGGTCAATGACTGGCTAAGAACCATCAGGGAAACGAAAGCCATGGAGGAAAAACACAAGTACAAGTGGGAAGCCCAGGCCCAACAAACTGCTAGTAGCTGCACCAAAGATAGAAAGGCGGGGGCTAAACTAGATATCCAAATCTCTTCACAAAATGGAAAAATTTCAATTGATGCTAAAGGTCCGGGTAAGGATCTTAAAGAGGCTAATAGTGGCTGTGCTGTACAAAAATGTGGTCACGTGGTGGTTGGGTTATCAAGTGAAAATAAGTCTGCCAAACAAAGTGAGAGACACAGGAAATCTGATAAAACAGATAAAAGCCAGCTCATGACTTTTAATAATTCAAAATTGGACTTGAATAATCGAAAGTCAAGCTCAAAAATTCAAGGAAATTCATTACTTGTGGAGAAAACGGGTTCAGTTGCAAGTAAAGTACTTGCATTGAATGGTGTTTCGACAGATATTAAGCCAGAAAGAACAGCAGACAGTAACTCACAAATTTATTGCAAAAGAGTGGCAACTGAAAGCAAAATTAGTCGCTCAAGTTCTTCTGAGTGGGAATTCGACGAAGCAGCTGATGATGTGGAAGAGAACCATAGAAAACCAGAGTTTATGATACCAGTATTAAACAAAAATGGCAAGACCGCTTCACATCTCAGCCAGGCATCCCATACATCCAGCCTGTCCTTCCTGGCAACGGCACACCTCAGCCAAGCATCCAACACTCCCAGCCTGTCCTCCCTGGCAACGGCACACCTCAGCCAAGCATCCAACACTCCCAGCCTGTCCTCCCTGGCAACGGCACACCTCAGCCAAGCCTCCATCACACCCAGCCTGTCCTTCCTGGCAACGGCACACCTCAGCCAAGCATCCAACACTCCCAGCCTGTCCTCCCTGGCAACGGTCTCTTATACACATCTAGATGTGTATAAGAGACAGCATCCTAGCCTGTCCTCCCTGGCAACGGCACACCTCAGCCAAGCATCCAACACACCCAGCCTGTCCTCCCTGGCAACGGCACACCTCAGCCAAGCCTCCAACACTCCCAGCCTGTCGTCTCACCCCTCGTCTCGTCCGTACTTTATTCCTCCGCTCTTCAGTCGCGATGCCACAAACTTGCCTCTTAGAGGCGCTGGCCCAGTAAACGTGAGTTCTGCGTTACCCATTCCAGGGAGCTTGAAGGACAATATGAACCTCAGAAGCAGTGATTGTTCACCTGGTATTGTAAATCCAAGGTCTGGGATCACATTTCCTTCGAGATTAAGCGCATGTGAATCTAGTGAAGGCTTTTCATTTGGATCCACTCCCGAGCAGTTCAATTTCTATCCTTCTAGTTACGCACTTGACTCCAATTCACTTGCTGCATCAAGCTCTCCACGCCAAGACGTAGTCTCTGCTTTAGCGCCACGAGATTTACTTTCAATTGATGACACGATGACGGACAGCAGCTTCGATCACTGGCGTTTTCAAGAGCCTTCTAGTGATGCATCAGAATTTTCACAATCAACTGACGGTGATATCGACTTGCGTATCGCGTTGTCGAAGCTTCATGTACCTGAATTATCCTCACAAGAGGACTTACCAAAACGAACCGACATTTTCCTACTGACCGATGAAGATTTAGATTTAGAGGTCGAGAGCAGCAAAGTACCTTACGATGCAAATGTTCATTTGTTGCACCCGGTGTCTGCTTTTGGCGACCACATCATGAGTCATAAGAAAAAATTTTCCAGTTCCCAAAAATTCTTGTCTGCTTTAGCTTTTAAAACTGATATAACTCCGTTTGATTTTTCGACGCCTCTTCCTGCTCCGTCCGTCATTTTTAAATGTTTCTGAAAACCGGAAGCTTGTACAGTATAAAATTCTTTTCACATTTTGTGTGACCACATTCCTTTTTTGTATACATGGATTTCTTGAATAGCTCACGATTATTTTTTTATTAATTTGTGTTTGGTGAGTTGAATATTTATTTTAATCTCTTACTGAGTCGTTAGAATTCCTCAACAACGATGAGTCAGCATTTTAGTTCCTTGTTGCTCAATACACCAATCAAACTATTCTAATTAGTAATCATACGCTGTGTTTTATTAATTTAGTGTGATGCAAAGTCAGAATACGGACTTACGATATGGGCGTTCTTCTGCCAAATATCGATATTATTTTGCAAATTGCAAAAAAAAAAACACAAAACCCGCGCCTTGCGCAGTATAAAAGCCTATAACTGCTTAATACTGTACCTCTGTGTCACAGTTCAGTGCTCATTTGTGTAATTGGATTTACCGACCATGTACAATGTCTTAGTAATGAATTTATGCTTTTACGCATTTTCTTCTTTTATGCGCGTGTATAAGTTTGTCTTAAACATTATTTCTATTCGTTTAACATGCGTTAATTTTAGTAATTATATAATGGAATGTTAGTTGATGTAGGTAAGTATATAAATATTTATGGTAGGCCGTTGCGTTAATGCTATAATGTAAACATCGTGAGGATCTGGATTATTATGTTTTTCAAAGGTGCCCAACCGATTGAATGTCGTCGGATCGTGAATAATATTGTATTAATAATTACTATATCCAAAAAAGTGTCCGGCACTAAATTTTTCAGTATTTCTCTCAAGTACAATGATTCTTCAGGATTTCACAAAATATTCTTTGTATAATTGATTACAGGGAAGATTTTCCGTATGCAATAAATAGCGAGTGGGATCAACGACGTGGTTATCTATTTTATGATATGTTTTGTATTGCATTTTATCGTGGTGTATATACTCTAGCTTTTAGTTGTCACGGCAAATTCTAATGGTTCATTTTACACTGAAAGCTATACCCACGTCCTTGCTGTGCGTCCGCTGGTGTAAGATATTTTTGTAGTAGTGGAATTGAAACCTTGTGTACCTTAATCAGGAATTTCTCATAATAACATTTAGTACAAAGCAAGCGCGTTCATTAAATACCTGATAATTTGTCGTATTTTATTAAGAATCAATAAACTTTCAAGCGAATCTACTTTGATATTTTATTCATTGATTCAAATAATATCAATGAATTGCCAAAATACGGATCACGGATTCGGATGATCCCTTTGACTCTTTTATTCTGATGAGCAATTTTTGCTTATATTCTCCATTCAACACTAACACTGGAAAATATTATACACAAAAACTAACCGTCCTACTGTGTAGAAAATTATACGCGTCTTACCGTTAGCTTGTCGATGGGCTCACTAATATCCCTGCATGGATATGTATATGTGAGAGCATTGCATGAACTTTCAATTTATTGTACCACCAGCAATGCAGTAGTAGAAAGTAGTAGTTTCTTGAGGCAATCAAAATTTCATGTCTCGAAACTGATCGTCACAGAAAATTTTCACAATATTCCGCTCGTTGTTCATCGAAATTCTCACCGATTTTTTTTATCGGAATTCTGTTGACGATTTAAGATGCATGACATCATCTGTGCTAATGGGGTAACTTCAGTCCTCATATTTCTCGGGTTTAACTTGTGAGCCGTAATTCCATGTATCAATGTAGTACATTTATCTATATTAACTTTTTGGTCAATTTTTTGACACAATACGATAGGAAGGTAATACCTATAGTGAAATTTGTGTGCCTTTGACTTCTATCTAAAATCTTCAGAACTTATCGTGTATTATATTCTAAGTTTTAGCTAAGAATATTTCGGAATTGAGTGCTTACGGTCCCTCAATTCATTGTTATTTACGTCTGGTAATGAATTGTTAGGCGCATTTGTTATGCTCGTTTATTATTGGTAAACTTAATTGATAGATTCATGATATTAATCCGCAAAATAATCCGTGTTTTCTAGGCCGTGATTTCCTATATAAAATTTCAATGATGCACATATGTTTGTAAATTAAATGTTGATATGACAACATCATCATTTGTTTGATCTTAGCTAATGCTGACTCGAAAGTCCGTGTCTTCTTTATACTTTGTTTGTATTTTGTGAGTAAAGGGTTATTTTTCCTTACCTAAGATATTAGAAACATGTGCTGTACGTGTTAATTTCCTCCATGCCTCTCTTACAATCAAGCGAGCCGAATTTTGTTTTTAAAAATTTGAATATATTGATACCTTAGGGTCCAATATTGCAAGCAAGTGTACGGAAAAAAAGTTATCTTGAGACGAGCTCTTTCTTAGGGCTTCGATTTCTTGGCTCGATAGAAGCCGAAAAAAAATCCTGAAAATGTTCCTGAGCCTTGTGTACCTGATGAAAAATTTAGCTTCAGGAGAACTAAACATTAATTTTTAAACATCGTCTTTTCTTCCTATTTCTGAAAAAATATTTGATATTTTTTCGTATTCTGGATGCATTGACGTCCGTTTGGCTGGCTATACACAAAAAAAAAACTAGATATGTAACTTACATTTAAAAGCACCGTAATTTTTTCTGCTCAATAGGCATCTGCAAAGCATCTGGAAATATAAATTCTATATCGGCTTTTCTGTCATCTTTACGTTATGATTACATTGTTAGCAAAAATTTACGCGCTCTGAAATTCGAGCAATACTCATTTGCACTCCACTTCCAGTTCTTTTATATTAAGGTGAGTAAAGCTTTATTTTACTACTTTCTTCCTCTATTTCGTGTCTCTAAAACTGTAGTTTGGCTTCAGTCGTGGTATGGAAGTTAGCTTGTGAATGACCTCTTATTCACATCATATCTTAATTTGCGTTCGTCATATGGCTATTTCGTCTTGAATTTTCTAAGTCGTAAAATTCTACATTAACTTTTTTCGTGCTGCTCTCTGTCCTTTAATTCTCGACGTTTATTTCGTTAGAAGTTGCAAATTGGAATTGGGGTTCTGATCTTCAACACAGTCATCTATGCGGCATAAATTCATTTATTTCAATACCCTACTTGAAAATTCACATCTCCCATAGCAGCTACAACATTTTCAGACAAAGAATTATTTCACTAAGATTTTATAAGGGAATGAAATATATTCAGTTATGAAGATCGACATGTATTCGAAAAAACGGAAACAGTGGTAAAAATTTTCCCGATTAACTCGGCCTTGATAATTTTGGTTCGCAACACAGGCCATTCTAGCGGCGCCAGCAGGCAGGTCACCGTCGTGGACTCTTCCTCGGCTACCAGAGTCGTGCGAGGCTTCGACGTCACGCCATCAGGTGAACCATTTATCCCTGATGTCAACCATTTACCCCTGATGTCAACCATTTACCCACCAGCTGAACCATTTATCCCTGATGTCAACCATTTACCCCTCAGGTTAACATTAACCCGTGATGTGAACATTTTACCGCTCAGGTTTACATTAACCCGTGATGTAAACAATTTACCCCTCAGGTTAACATTAACCCGTGATGTGAACAATTTACCCCTCAGGTTAACATTAACCCATGATGTGAACCATTTACCCCTCAGGTTAACATTAACCCATGATGTGAACCATTTCCCCCCCCCAGTAAGCAATTTACCCTCCAGGTGAACCATTTACCACTCAGGTGAACCATTTAGGGCAGGGGCTGCTGAACCGATGGCAAATTATTCCCTGAGGGTAGATTTCTCATCGGATTATATATATATATATATATATATATATATATATATATATTAACATGGTTCGTACAATTACCGGACAAAATTAATTACAATTCGTAACATTACCGGACATCGGGTACAAAACCGGACAAAAATCGAGTCCGGTAATTGACGCTAGTACTTATTTATGTGTAAAAACCGGACACGAAAATAAATGAACTACATTACCGGACACCAAAAAAACGCCAACCTCGTTAGGTTAGGGTTAGAGTTAGGGTTTGAAGTGTCTAAAACCCTTCTTTAGGTTGCTAGAGACCGTTTTACTGAGGTTAGGTCCAGCCAGGTCAAGTTTTTTTTATATATTTTTTGCAATTTAGAAAAAAAATTAATTAAAGTCCGGTAAAGTGGAACTATAACTATATATATATATATATATATATATATATACCTATATATTTTTTTGCAACTTCACTAACGTTAAAATGTTGCGCCGGCATTCTAAGAGAAGAAATAATAATTTATGGAGCGTGTGATCGGTAACACGCAAATTTTGACATTTTGAATGCAGCCAAAAGATGGCCAACTTTGTGAAGAACAATTTCATGGTAGTGACTCCTAAATTTATCATCGTCGAAATAATTTCTTTTTATTTGCTCGAATTTTTGCATGCATTTTGTTCTCTTTTTTAAACTAAGTAGTCAAGCTTAGAAAGTCTTGAATTTCATTCCTGTAATTCACACCGTAATTCACAATGAATGCGAGATCAATTCCAATTATATTAAATGCTTGTAAATGAAATTGGAATCCCTCACCAACATAACATGTGTACAAATTTAAGAAAAAAAATTGTATAATTTTATGTTATAAAATTATACTTTTTAAAACTATTCGTTTTTAAAATTATATAACCACAGTCGTCATATGAGAAAACAATTCTAATCTCACTTTATATACGATGTTAATTACAGGCAAATAATTCAATACTTCCTAAACTTGGCTATAACAGCACGCGCTCACATCGAAGTAATACTTAGTTTTAAAAAAGACAATAAAATGCATGCACAATTTTAAGCAAATAAAAATTAAATAACATCGTCTTATGTATATTTATTGCTACAGCTTAAAAAAATGATTTTAACTCTCGTCACAGCAACAGAAAAGAAGACGCACAACTCGTCTGCGTTCGAGGATTCGGTGGTGAACGGCAAGACTGCAAGTCCTCAAGTGTCGACACCCAAGCCTGTTAAACTCCCAACCAAGTAAGATTTGCTCATGTGATGCTTCATCAACTAGGGCCGTACTATCTAAAGTAGTAACTATCGTAGTAGTAGTAGTAAAGTATGTAGTAGTAAGTTCTTAACTCCGTCAGCCAATCATTAAGGGCGTGAGGCAATTATAGACACCTGATTATAATTCATAAAGATGGTTCCATACAGTGATTATCTTGCACTAACGGAGAGTGCGATGACTGTGTACATATTGGTATAATTCAGCAATTTTGTGTAATAACTACTAAATAATTCATCTTGGCGATGAAAGTGTACACATTGAGGAAAATGAATTAATTTGCTAGTGAAACTATGAGAATATATTGCAAAGGTCGACAGCGCAATGCGAGTGTACACATAGATCACAATTAATTTTGCCTAATAACTACAGAATATTTCATATTGCAGGCAGCGCGATGCGAGTGTACATATTGATCACAATTCTTAATAATTCACTAATTTGGCATAATAACTACAAAATATTTCACGTTGCAGACAGCGCGATGCTAGCGTGGACGTGCGTGCTCTGTACAGCGCGTCTCAGGGCGCTGCTGGCAAGGAGCTCATCAACCTGGTGGTCGTGGGGCACGTGGATGCCGGCAAGAGCACGCTCACTGGGCACCTTCTGTACCAACAGGTGCGGGGTAAATAGGTCCTGAGGGTTATATAGCCCCTGAGGGGTAAACTGTGTCAAGAGGTTAAATAGCCCCTGGGGTTATATAACACCCCTGTTTGAGTTTAACTGTCACTGGTGGGTTAAACTGTCACCTGTGGGGTTAAACTGTCACTGGTGGGGTTAAAATGTCACTGGTGGGGTTAAACTGTCACTGGTGGGGTTAAACTGGCCCTGAGGGTTAATAGGCACCGTTGGTTAAATAAACTCTGGGGTGAAAAAGCCCCGTCGTATTGATTCAAGTGAATTGCGAGACTCTATGGCCTCTTTCACACAGGGCGGCAAATACCGCCAGCGTCCGACGGTCTTTACCGCCGAACCACGGCGGACATACGAAATGTGCACCGCTGTTCACCCACGACCGCTTTTAACGCGGCGTAGAATTTGACGCCTGACGCCAGCGTGTGTCCTGTTAAAACTGCGGCGGTAGATTTGCCGCGGCAATTTAGCTTGCTATGGTATTCAATGTAATTTTTCACACTGGGCGGTTTTTCACGCCTCATCCAAGTGTGGTACAGACAGTGGGGCCGTATTTTAGGTGCATAGTAAACAGCACTTCAAGACTGATAGATTACAGACTGATATTGTTACATAAATATCGGTACATTAATATGTTACATAAACATAAATGAATATATATTACCATAAAGTGATAGATACCTATATTTCATAAAAGATATACTTTCCATAAAATAGATAGGTATTTCCATAGAGATATATTTACATTATTTTCACATAGAGATATATTTCCATAAAGATATATTGTTACCTAAATATGAACATTGTTACATAAACATAGAGATGGACTGATGGTGCATAAAACAGCACTGCAAGAATGATAGATTCCAGCGTCAAAAACCGCCTCGTGTGAATGATCACGCGGTAAATACCGCCGCGGCATTTTTAACGCTCGCGGTATTTGCCGCCCTGTGTGAAAGAGGCTTATGAGCTTTCCACCAAGCCTCTGATTATTATAAAATAACATTAATTAATCGTGGGTTTAACGGAATCTACTCGTAATTAACGTTTTCCTTCAAAATCATTTGCCTGAAGGGCAATGATTGCCTATATAATGATTGCATCTTGCCTATACTGTTGAATACAATATCGTATTTATATCATACAATTTTGTTGGCTGGAAGATTATAGCGTATGAATGTTATAAAAAATGCTCACTTTTCCCGAAAAACTCGAAATTAAATGTATGATTTCAAATGTATGATTTCGTTGCACAACTCCTGCCGCATTATCGTCCATGAAGTTCGTCAACAAGTATGAATTAATTTGACTAAATCCAAATTTTTATATCGTGTTCAAAATGAACCGTTGATGCTAATTTTCGACGAGTCGGTATGATATATAATTATTTGATTAAACGGTTTACAAATGTCTGTTCATATATAAATATAATGCTGGATATTGGATCATAACGAGTGCGTGATCAGATCGTGATGACAATGATAAAATTGCGAGTGTGATGACAATATTCAAATTGCGAGTGTGATGACAACTATCAAATTGCGAGTGTGATGACAATGATCAAATTGCGAGTGTGATGACAACTATCAAATTGCGAGTGTGATGACAATGATCAAATTGCGAGTGTGATGACAATGATCAAATTGCGAGTGCTATGACAAAATTTGCTCCTCGACAGGGCCAAGTAAGCCAGCGGACGATGCACAAGTATGAGCGGGAGAGCCAGAAGTGCGGCAAGCAGAGCTTCATGTATGCGTGGGTCATGGACGACACTGAGGAAGAAAGGTTTGCGAGGATAACTTGACAGTCTAGTTTTCAGTTCTATATAGGTTCTCTTTTCTCTAAGGATGAAGCAACTTTTCCTTCGCAAAGGTCATTCAATAATTTATTATTCTTTGATTGTTTGGAGTAAATTTGTACACTTGTGCTGAAATATAGGTAGGTACGCCGTTCCAGCATATTTATATTTATTGATTTTTATTTATATTTATCGATATTTATTGCGAAAACTGATAGAAATTCCATGACTTTATGTATAAAATTTAAATGCATTTTTTCCATAACGCTTACAGTGCCATAATGGTCTCGTAACATAATTTGAAAGTTAAAATATTTTGTTAATTTTCAGATCTCGTGGCGTTACAGTAGATGTTGCGGAGCGCACGTTCGAGACGGAACGTAAGATCGTTCACATTTTGGACGCGCCGGGACACAAGGACTTCATCCCTAACATGATCAGCGGGGCAGCGCGCGCCGATGTCGCCCTGCTGGTGGTGGACGCGTCCACGGGGGAGTTCGAGGCGGGCTTCGAGAGCAACGGACAGACCCGCGAGCACGCCATGCTCATCAAATCGCTGGGTCGGTGATCTTGGCGATTATATTCCATGCAATCTGCTTGTCATTTTTATTACTTATATGTTTTGCATTTATATTTGAGCTTGGTTGGTGATCCTGGCGATTATATTCCATGCATTCTGCTTGTCATGTTTATTACTTTTACTTGTATGTTTTATATTTATATACGAGCTGGGTCGGTGATCCTGGCGATGTTATTCCATGCAATCTGCCTGACATGTTTATTACTTCTATGTTTTGTATTTATATTTGATTGTTTACAATATTCAATCGTTTTACTAAGCCATTTTTGGCCTATGTTCGAGACTCGAGTCATGAATGAGGCGTGATGAGAGAATGTAAAGAAACGAAAGAATGAGCCTCGCGCATGAATCGATTCACTCTTTTAGTCACAGCTTACTGATGGTTCTATTAATGGCCTTGCTTATTTAAGAACTTGTCTTTTAAAGTTGTTTTTATTTTCTCAATTTGCATGTTTATTTTTTCTGACTGAATTATTTTGACATTTCATTTCTAAAAATAGCAACAAATTTTTTTTCATGAATTTTCCAGCTATTTTCATAACTGTCTGAACAATCCCCTCCAAAAATGAAATTGGCTCGCACATTCTTTTCTGGATTTTGATATTAGAAAATAACCTGGTTTGACTTGACCCGTTGCCTTCTGATAACTAGTTTTTAGGCATCTAGGTGCGACTAACATTAGCTACGTTTAATGAAACCGCAGATAAACAGTCAATTTTTAGTGCGGTTTATCCATCTGCAATAATAATCTTATAATTATTACTAATCATTAACTCTGAACATTTGTCATTCACCAGGAGTGTCTGAAGTGACCGTAGCCGTGAACAAGCTGGACGTGGTGCAGTGGTCGCAGCAGCGCTTCAACGAGATCTGCTCAACCCTCACTGTGTTCCTCAAGTCAGTCGGCTTCAGGAGCTCGGAGGTGACGTACGTGCCCTGCGCTGGGTTGTCCGGCGAGAACCTCGTCAAGCCTCCTTCCGAACCTCAGCTCAAGGCCTGGTATTCCGGGCCCACTATCCTGAATGCTATTGGTGAGAGTTGGATGTGCAATGCAATTTGAACGTTGAGATGTATTTACAACTTCAAAGCAGATATGCAATCAAATGCCATTTATGAGTGGGGACCGTAACATTTTAACTCAATGCTGGTATACATTTTTTAACCCAAGTTAAGTAACATTTTTAGTTTAAAAATGTTCTAAATACTTTTTTTGGTAACCTCAAATATTTTCAAATGATTCTAAATTATTTTCATTAGCCTTTCGGCTATTTCTATTTCAAATCTTTTTTAATTTCTTTTATCTCAAAATTAAAATTTTCATCATCAAAAATGAAGCACTGAATATGATTCCTATATTACCAACATATGTGAATGTCTAATGAATGGAGGATATTTTGCAGACAACATGAAGTCTCCGAGCCGAGACGTAGATCAGCCAGCGCGGTTCAGCATCTCGGACGTGTTCAAGGGCGGCAGCAGCAACATGTGCGTGGCAGGCAAGCTACACACGGGCTACATCCAGTCAGGGGACAGACTGCTGCTCCTACCTCACACTTCTGCCATCACCATCAAAGGTGAACGTTATGCTCTATATTTAACACAATTAAAAGTTAAATCCTTGCTTTATGTTGAAGTATGTCAGCATTCTCTCGGCCCCGTGTTTCCTCATTGAAAACCTCGGCCTTTCCTCATTGAAAACCATTTATCTATGTTGCATCATACTCTAGCTCTGTAATATCCAAAATTTATCTCTCTGATACAAATACATTCAATTTCACAATCCAAAAGCCGCAACACACATCTTTTATCTTAATAATATAAAAAAACTAATTTTTGTTTATTTCATTTGACAATCTAGAAGCAGGGAAGTACGGCCAAATAATTATTTTGTTATTGGTTCAGATGTGTCCTGCAACAGCGCCCCAGGCTCCATTTTCGCCGGCGACTCCGGCACGTTGACGGTGTCGGGAGTGGAGCCCGACGAGCTGTCGGTGGGAAGCTTCTTGTGCGATCCTGCTAAGCCTATGCGTAGGACAACCACCTTGCAGGCCAGGATCGTCGTCTTCAACGTCATAATACCCATCATCAAAGGCACCCAGGTACGCTTGATGCTATTACACGTCTTCAACGTCATCATACCCATCATCAAAGGCACCCAGGTACGCCTGATGCTATTACACGTCTCGTTGTATAAATGGTTCCCGAAATGGGGTAAATTCCCTCTTGGGTAATTATCAATTTTTTATGAGCTAATAAATTAGTTTTTTGAATTCAATAATATACTTTTTCGACCTAATAATGATTAAAGGTATGTGTATGGAGCCGAATGCTTAATATGGTGTGTTAGATTGGGTAGCGAGGTGGAAAAGTATGGAAACCCCTGTTTTGATAATTTTGTTTAATTTTAGATTTTCGTGGTCGCAGTATCCTAACATGTCTTTTCTATCGACCATTTGATCCTGAGAGGGTCACTAGACATACCTTATGATAAAAAATTTTAACTCTTCCCCTATGTCGCTGACATTTCCTGTGCCTGTTGTAGGCACAACTAGCATGAAATATCTGCGCTATGATTAATGTTCGGTTTGTGAACTTTAGCAGGATATTTATCCACCATTTCAGAATAAATATTCTGTAGAATATGTTGTGAGTGGTTCCCGCTAAATCAGTGAAAAGTGTAAGGAATGGCTTGGACTCCTTATACTTATGACCATTTATTTTTGCAGGCGGAGTTTCACTTGCAAAGTGTGTGCGAACCCGCAACCGTCCGCAAGCTCATCTCTCAGATCAACAAAAGCACAGGTGAAGAATAATTTCTAAAGATTTATGGCATTAATAGTCATTGCCAGCGGAATTTATATTGCAGTCAGAATGTTCAATGTAATCTTAAATAAATATCGGCTTGAATATCAGCCTAAATTACATGCAAAGAGAAAGCTTAAATCACTTTAATCTACACCGATGGATTCTTTCCCCTGTTGCTTTAGCTTAGTGTCCTTTAGCTTAGTTTAGTTGCGGAAAACGTGGAGTTCATTACCTAAAAAGTAACTGCTTCCTTAACCAACCTTAGCAAATGTAGTTTTTTCGTGTTCAGATTTATCCTTGTATTAATTTCACAAATCAATGTGTATCTGAAGAAATTTCTGCTCCATATTGTAATATAATTAATAATTGAAGATTCTCGACGACGATGTTGTCATGATTACAGTAATGAATTATGAAAGGACCCGTTTTTTCATCCTATCAGTACAGATTTTACAGTGGGAAACAATCCATGTTCTTCAGGAAAACCGTCTGTCGCTGGACTCTACTATGAGGCAGGAACTAAACAGTTTACAACGAATATTAGTATTCTAAGCATAGATCTTGTGGACACTATACCGTTATAACATTAAGGCGCTAGTAGGACTAATATTTTGTAAGAAATAATGACATGAAATTTTTGCAGGCGAGGTAATGAAGAACAGACCTCGCGTGCTTGCGAGGCAAACGGCGGGTGTGATTGAGCTGGAGCTGAGCCGCCCCATCTGCGTCGAGACCTACAAAGACTGCAAGGACTTGGGTCGCTTCATGCTGCGGCAGCAGGGGAACACCATCGCTGCTGGACTCATAACCGAGGTATCTGTACTTACCGTACATTAATAGGTATGAATACCGAGTATTATGGTTAATGTATCAGCTCATAAGCGAGGTATCTGTACTTACCGTACATTAATACTTCTTAATACCGATTATTATGGTTAATGTATCGGCTCAAGCAAAGTATCTTTACCCTGGTATTTGTTCAGGGTATTATCATTAATACAGGGTGATTCACGGAAACTTCCTGATTTAAAAGCTCAATAGAAAAAAAAATAGTAAAGATCTTTCAATATATATTTTATTGAAAAAGACATTACCTGAATTTCTGTATCACTTAGTTTTAAACAAGATGCCATCGGACAAATGATGGCCCCCATTATCAATGCATTCAGTTAGTCGATTTTCAAGTTCCGTTCAACTCTCTGAAGCATATTGACGGTCTTGGCGCATGTTGTTCTTCAAGTGAGGTAGTGTCCTTGGCAGGCATTGATTGAATTGATTTAAGATAACCCCATAAAAAAATCACACGGAGCCTAATTGGAAGATCGGGTCGGCCAAGAAGGCCACCTTTCGAGGAGATGAAGCGCTCTGCAAAATGTTGTCTCAAAAGATCCATTAAACATCGCGCTTTGTGGGCATTGGCTTCCATCCTGTTGGAACCAGACTCCCTGACATTTACTTCAGCCAGTTTTGGCAAAAAAAGGCGTCAATCGTTCGCGTGTACCAGGCTGCAGCCACCGTTACTGCACGTTCGATTTACTCCAAGAAATAAAGGTCAATTATGCCGATAGCGCTAATGAAGCGGCCCACTAGAAAACTACGCATTGACAGCAAACGCTCGTTGCTCACTTGTCCAATGCATAGTAGCGACTGACTAGGCGGGACACAAAACTTCATGACCTTGCCTTTTTCTTACAAAATTTGGCTGCTTGGCGCGAAATACAAAACAGGAAGTTTCCCTAATCACCTGTATATCGATCACTAGACTGATCCTTTCGATGCTCAAGAGTCTAGTACAATCCGACCGAGAAAGATGCAAAAAAGATGTTGATTGTTACTACCCTTTTTTTTTTTTTTTGAACTCAAAACAATAATTTTTGAGAAAGATTTCAGCTCCATATTTCTTCTATTGGGGCGGGAGTTGCAAGAAGATTGCAGAGATAAGTTTTACATTGAATAGGTATGGATAAAAAAACTTGTTATAAAAATGTATAAGTATTTTCTGTTATCTTTGTCAGCAACATGATTTTCGCAGGACCAAATTTGAATATTTCCAGAGCTAAAGAACGTTTAGGTGTTACTTTAGTAGTTGATGTTGAGGTAAACTATTCTTCTCTCCCAGGTTCTGGGCGACCAGTTATTCTCTTCTGGAGCATCGTCGCTGTGACGGGAAGCTTCAAGTAGTTCTCCTATTCATCTTTGCATGACATCTAAATCTAAATAAGTTAATTGTGATCGTTAAATAGCCGGGCTATTTATTCTGAATAGTTTTCCTTTTACAAGAAAGCTTCTGAAGCATCTGTTGGACGAGCCTTTTTCCTTCGACTTAAGTTATTTTCCTTCGTTAATATTGCATGTGTCCTACCGGAAGGTTGGTTTTCAGGATTCACATTGAAACTCTTTTATCTGTTGGGATTTCTCAGCTACTGTCAGGCAGTGATACGGCCCAAGCCCGTGAGTGGAGTGTTGTTATTTTCTCTTCAGTTCTATAATATTTGAAAGATTTGTGTCTATAAATAAAATATCTTGTTGATGTTTATCCAGTTTTTGAGGCTATGTTCCCTACTCTGAGATTACGAAACCATTTTACCTGTTAGTGAACGAGATTAACCTCACTTAAAAGCTCGAATTTGTTGATGCCCACTACCTCTACATCTTTTCATATTAGCTATAGCGACCATTTAGTTGATTGGATGCGCACCATTGCTACAAACAAGTTTTTTATCGAGCCTCTCTCCGACTAACTGTTATGTTCATTCGATTTCTTTTTTTGTGATGGATATCCAGACATTTTCCCGCTGTAATATCACAGCACGCGAGCAGTGATGATAACGTGCATTTCCCGTTCTTTTTGCAGCAGTGGTAGTATGCAGCTGGAACATCGAGTGATCACAAAATAAACGGGGAGAATTAAATGTTGATTTGATTACACGTTCTTGTGTTGTACACCCTTGATATTTTGAATGCTTAGTGTTGCGTGCAAGTTTCAAACCAGCAGAAATGGCAAGAAAAGATAGTAGTTATAGTTGCGTAAAAGATATCTTTTATTCATGAGGTTCAATAAAAAAGATTCTCAATCTTACAATAATCTCGTACCGATGTTATTCTTACCATTTCAACCAAATACTCGTAATTCATGTTGAGAACCAAATGCTTAATGACCTCATACGCTGACCGTACATAGTCGAACAAGTAGTTTGTCACTTGAATGCGTGTATTCAGGTTAATTCTTCTAAACATTGTTATTGACGATCAATATTAACTTATATTAAAGCGAATTGCATGCAATTTCCTTGAATGGTTACATTACGAGAAGCCATATTCAAACAAGGTAATTTACTCTCGCGTTTCTTCTGTGTCTTTGCAAAATCAACTTGGATGAGAAATTCTCCAGCACTCAAAGGATTGGTTTTATCGAGCAAGAAGAAATCTACGACTGAAATGTTATTATGGTAAATGAAATAATGCCATGATACAGTACCAGCTTTGAATGAACTGAATTGAGCATATGTGACGCTGAATATCATAAGCCCTGGATCCTTACGTGGCAAATTCAAGCACCTATACTACCAGCACAAACACGCATTAATAATTACTCTCTTACAACGACTCTCTTTACTGTAATTGCAAGTCATTACACAGCGTCATATTTACATGCTAACAAACAAACGCTACAAACCTTTAGAAAATGCATTCATTCACACACGAAAAGTTCTTTCTTGCAATTCTTATCAAGGACGCCAAAGTCCTGCGTGATCACACTTACACGTGGTTCGTAAATCAACCATCCTTTAAACTCTAGCTGTACAGCCTGCTAACATAACAGTACATCAAAATAAGCGCTCACTTCCAGCCCATACGTGCAAACCGTGCGTAACGTGGGGATTTTCCGCATACTTTAATTAATCACAACTACCCATTTAAAAATGATGCATATAAGCGAGTTAAATCGTTGCAGTGTCTTTAAAAACAAGTTTTTTTTTCTTTCTTATAGCAAACTTGGCATATGATGAATAAAATTAACGCATTAAGACATTTCCTTGCTCCTAATTAAAACATACTTGGACAAACTTGGAGTATTAGGTAACCTTTAATTTCCACTACCCAAATGACCAACACGTGATATCGATCTGTCGAACAGAGCTGGAAAATATTCCCAAACAAATTGAATCGCACGATAAGTTTTACAATTCGTTTTTGCGAAATATTACAGGTCCATTACTAATAACAGGCCAAAAGATTTCTGCATCTATTCTCGTCGGAGTAATTCCTGTGATGGGTTTTGAGGCCTGTGGTAACGTGTATAAATACGTAGTTACAATTCATCAACTTCAAAGCTAACACAGTCGTGTGGCATTCAGTTCGTGAAGTTACAATTGGACTTCGTTTATAACAACGTTTAAAGCATCAGAATTACACACAAAAATATGAATTTGCAAGAAATAGAACGTACCACGAATAAATTTTCTGTTTACCATCAACAGTGGATGCACGATATCGCCTGGTGCATAATATTATTACAACCTATCAATAATTTGAAACAGATCATTTCAAAATCTGCGAAATTTTATTTAACGAGTTTTTATTTGAAGACAAGTTTATTCATTCCTTGAGGAACGACATCTCTATAAATATGAATAAATTTACGTCGAGTTTGAAAATACAGCAGAAGTTTATTAATTCATTGAGGAACGACATCTCTATCAATATGAATAAATTTACGTCGAGTTTGAAAATACAGCAGAAGACCCCAATGTTATTTAATAGCTTACAATGAAAATCATGCGACACATCCATATATCGAACGTCATCCCCGTCCATATTTATATCAATTAATAACTGGGCACCCCATCCTAATAGTGTAAGCATGCAAATGATGCGCCAGTTTACTGCAAAGCTACAGCAGTACTGGTAACGTGTCCTGTCCGTATGGCTGTAAAATGGTCTCGTAGTGGGCACTAGCGTCTCCGCGAGCTAGGTTACTAGAACAGCTCTAAACCTGAATCAAACAGGAAGCCCAAATACAGAACTAAACTTATCTAAGTTTGTACTGATAAATCAAACTGCTAAATACCAATGGCACTGTAACTCGATAATCGATCGATTAAAACGAGTTTCGTGTCTTTGGCAAGGAGAAAGGCATGTATCTGAACCTCTGTATTAATAATGATCGATGATTAACTGAAGGTATTGTAGATTAATTTATCCATGACAAAGAGTTAATTCAAATAATTAGTGTACAAGAAAATCTGGAATACAGAAAGCGAATAGACGTATAAAGTTTTTTCAGGAAAAGCGAAGAGATTTAAATTGCACTAAATCCCGAAACATGACGTAATTTCGTTCCAAAAATGAAATGAAAACCGTCAAGGGTTTTGCTTGGTGACGCTAACTTCAACGTAGAAAAAGGAAGTTTAGTGTGTAGCAAATTATACATCAGACATCAGTATTCATTCAATGCACATATACATCCAGGAAATAATTAGAAACTCCATTGTCATCCTTTCATAGAGCAAAAAATATGAACGTTAAGTATGTAGGTGAGTTGGTGGAGCCGATCTTGATATGCAGCTCAATATTTATTTATCAAGCCCTATTTTCCATCTGTCGAAGTTCCAAGCAACAATGACAAACCGCAACTTACTGAAAATTTCGAGCAACAAGTTGCAGTTTTAGTTACGCCTGCACTCATCAGTCAGCAAATTAATGAATAGATAGACACAAAAATGTAAATAAAATTCAAGAAATACACAGATTGCAGCCTTGAAAAGAAATATTCGTCCACAGACACACAACATTCCAATGCTAACGAAATATAAATAAGGAGAGATACCACAGCTGCAATCATGCATCTCATTTTCTAACAACACCACCTTTAAATGGAAACTAGCATCCTTCCATAATTCTTAGAAACACTAAGTGAGATGAAATGAGATGGTGACACACTCGAAGGCAGAATGAAATGCTCGATAGGCGCAGCAGACACTCATTTGCAAGGGCTTTTTATTCACTATTCCACGTCAGTCAACAGGTTCTCAAAGACGACGTTTGATTCTGCGCCTTGCAGTAGATCATTTGACAACAAAGGCAGCTCCGCGGTCGGCTTTGAGTAACTGAAACGAAATCTCAAGTAAGAGGCTTCGCCTGTGCGAGTGTTTTGCATCAGAGACCGACACTGAACCACTTCTAGTTAGTTTCAACCGGGCATCAGTGACTGAGGCCTAGTGACAGAGGCGCTTGCACAACTGGAAATCACTGACCGCTAAAGCCTAGTGACAGGCGCTTGCACAACTGCTCATCAGTGGCAGCCAAGGCCTAGTGACAGAGGCATTTGTACAACTGCTCATCAGTGGCTGCCAAGGTCTAGTGACAGAGGCACTTGCATAACTGCTCATCAGTGACTGCCAAGGCCTAGAGACAGAGGCTCCTGCTGTACTAGACATCAGTGGCTGCTAATGTCTAGACCAGAAATGAGGCTGTGAGGAAACTGGAAGTTTGAGGCACGAGGAGAATCGGGTTCATCGTCATCACCATCAGACAGACCCCCAGAAGTAGAAGCTGCGTCTGCATCACGATTTAGTCTGCGAAAGAAAATTTACTTTGTACAATAGATTACGCCAATCGTAAGAAATATTAATTCATTGAACTCATACCGATTATTTTTGCGTTCATTAATCACTCACCAAGACAATTAAATCGTATTAAATGATTTCTATAAAGTCGGTAACAGAACGCTGATAGGAAATTGAAATTTCAACGTAAGAAATAAAGGTAGGGTAGGAACCTGTTGGTTTGAGAAGGACCCCATATTCTGATTGTTCGATCGTCTGATACGGAGACGAGCATGGAAGGCTGAACTGGGTTCCAGGTGACGCAGTTGACGGGCAGCTGGTGACCTGACAACACGGCAACTGGCAACTCCTGATTGCGATGCCAAATGTACACCTTGTGATCTGGTGCGGACGAGAGCGGGATTTAGAGAAGCAAGAACTTCCGAATCAGTATTTCGCCTCAAAAAATAAGCAATAATTGAAAAAATTGTTTTCATGTGTCGTTGGTTGTCAAGTGCCACAAAAAAAAGATACTGAATGACGAATTATGACGTAATTATTAATGCTTGATGAACGAGAGAGATTCTCCGTAGTGAATAAGATAAAAAAGTGTAAACCGAGATATAAGAAATTTCGTAATTCTATTTCGGGTAGAATGGAAAAAGTAACAAAACTAATGCATTAGTAAGCTATTGTTCAACTCTTTTAAGTCAAATTAATGATTTTCAACATCATTATACTATCAATATTTCAAGGCAATCACACAATACCGATGTCTTATTAATTTCCGTCACCACATCTTATCACAAGCCAACAGGTAATAACAATGACTATATACATGTATTCCATGATACAAGAATTTAGATAATCATGCGAAGTAACTTCAAAATTATTACCACGAACACCAACGAACCTTCACTGCCTGAAGCAATAAAATCCTGGTTGATACCTCCAAAGCAGGAATGAATAGTACAGTGCTTCTGTGTGGCACCTCTGAACCTGCGTACTAAGGTTCTGCTGTTGAGATCCCACAAGTGAAGCCCTTGAGTGGTCACGTTCAGAAGAGCAAACCTTCCCGTAGTATCTAAACTGAACGTCATGATCCCGTGGTCTTCTTGCAGTCTGCAATAATGTTGTTATAGAATAAAACTTTGTTCCTCAACAATTGTCTGCGCGGTTTACCATTATGCAAACATTTACAGATAAGTTAAAAAAAGTGCTCTCGGAGGCTATTAGAATCTGATGCTACAGTGAAATTATTATTTACGATGCAGGAACTATTCAAAAGTTAACATACGAACTGATTCATACTCAAATAAACTCTTTTTACTAGTGAATAGTTTTTTGCCACTCGTGTTTAACGTTATAATACTCTATAGACATAGGCGCAATACGCCACTATATACATAGGCGCATGACGCAACTATAGACATGATCGCATGACGCCACTATAGACGCACATGCTGTAATCCTGGACAGTCTCGAGCTGGTATCCTCTGATGCGGCGATGGGTGTCAGAAGCGAGGACAGTTTTACCGTCCGCGTGGACAGCTAAGCTCTGCACTCGGACGCCCTCCCATCGCTCAAGCACCGCCCCCTCCAGGTTACACAAATAAAACTGTCCTCGCAGTCCTCCGCACACGAACCTTTCGTTGTCCTACCGAGAAAAAGGTTCAGTAGGTACGAGGAGGGCGACAAATGAACAACATTTATATATTCCTGTTTGGATTTGAGTTGAAGGCTAAATAGCACATTTTCCTTTGTCAATCCTCGAAGTGAGAAAGTCATTGCAAAACAATCTAGCCAGTGATGCGACACAAACTTTATGATACTGGTCTAATTACACATCAATAAAATGCCAAAAAATACCAGATTAATTTGAATGCTTATGAGGCACATAAAGGACAGTCGAGTTATGATTATTGTGGAACTTCAAACGATGAATCATTACCTTGTACCAACAGGCGCACGTTAGTGAGTCCGAGGTAGAATCTGACACCTTGCACACTTGCTTGCCTCGTTCAGCGTCCCAAACCTGAGAAACGAATTAATTATTAGTACACGGTGTATCTATTACGTCCCGGATTATTAAGCAACTGTTATTTATACAGATAAACACGTACATGATAATACAAACTAACCAAAAATTATATAATTTGTATAGTAACTCCGGTTAAAATTTCAATGGGCTCTCGAAATATTGGAGGAAAACCTAGCCCTACTCAACAGTGATAGGCTTTTTGTTTGGACAATATTAAATTTGCAAACAATTTTATTCCATTTATCACATATACGAACAATATTTTATTGTTTCGATCTAACTTAAAAGGTCTGGGTTTCTTACTATGAGTTCAGAGGCATCTTCGTGCATACAGGCGATGATCTTTGTGCTGTCGTGACTCCAAGACAAGAAGACGATGCTAAAGTTGTGGCCATCCAGGCAATGCCGCTTGCTGATCTTCAGAGTTGTCTGCCCATCATATACATACATCATATACTGAACGACTTGCTACTACATACACATCACTCATACAACTGCAAGCTACGATTTACGCGTCACTTACACAACGACTAGCAGCGATTTGAAAGTCACTTACACAAAGATGGGCTATGATTTAAACGTCACTTACACAACGATCAGCTACGATTTAAACGTCACTTTCAAAACGACTAGCTCCGATTTAAAAGTCACTTACACAAAGATGGGCTATGATTTAAACGTCACTTACACAACGATCAGCTACAGTTTACAAGTAACTTACACAACGATTAGCAACAATTTACATATCAATTACAGAATGATTACACACAAATTATTATGAATAGATGTAATATCTTTTTGGGTGTAATAATTGTAATCAATGATACAAACACTAATAAATACTGTCAATAGACTGGAAAATAACTTTATTCCCGAGTTAACAAATTATTAACCGTATTCACGGAAGAATTAGGGCACTACTCCAGAGTTCAAAAAGATATCAAATGATGATTTTACTGACGGGACGTATAAATTGTTCCCTTTTCAAACTTCCCATGAACATGTTACAGACATAAATATGTCCATGATGCTAAGGCAGCATTACCTTACTGTAAATATCATCAATAAACTTCAAATACCGGAGAAGATAAAACTCTAATTGAGTGGGCAGTCCTTCCCAATGCCCACGTTCAAGATGATTTTGACTGTACTCAATGTTTGCTAAATCAGAACTAATTTTTCAAATCATCTGTTCATTCCCTAACAAGTCCAACGGCAATAATTAATAAAAATCAGCAAATTTATCTCGCTGCAAACCCTTTTTTCATAGTGATGTCAAATCGTAATTCTTGTGTAAATCAAAAGTATAAAACTTTTCTACCGCATTAAAAGGAATAATATTTCAGAAACTTGCCATCTAGCAAACAAACTTCGAACACCAAAATCAATGCAATGAAATTCATCAATACGTCAAACAGCAAGAGCAATGGAACGCCAAAACTGCCAAGACCAAAAGCAATGCAATGAAATTCACCAAAAGAAATGCAATGAAATTCATCAATACTTCAAACAGCAAGAGCACCACAATGGAACGCCAAAACTTCTAAGACCAAAAGCAATGCAATGAAATTCACCTAACCTTCTATCACCACGAGCAACGCAATGAAATTCATCAAAACCTCTAAGACTAAAATCAATGCAATCAAATTCTACAAATGCTGATAGTTTACATTGTCAACATTCCATATGAGGAGCGAGAAGTCTTTGCCAGCAGTGGCGAGGTAGCGGCCGTTGGGGCTGAAGGCTGCGACGAGCACCTCGTCCATGTGTTCAGTGACGGTGTACAGACACGTGCTCGGGAAATGTTCCTTGCCGCAGTGGTGGTCGGTCAACAAACAACTGCTCGACACCACCACGTCACTTAGCGACAGCCCCTCCAAGTTGTCTTAGATATGGAAAAAAGGCAATTTTAGAAATTACGTTAACAGTAATGATTGTATTAAATTAATTAACATTCATCATCAAGGAAGCTTGGAATTAATAGAATGGTTAAGCAACAGAAAGGCGCTTGACACCACCACGTCACTCAGCAACAGCCCATCCAGGTTGTCTTAGATATGAAAAAAAAAGACAAATTTAGAAATTACGTTAACAGAAATTATTGTTTTAAATTAATTAACATTCATCGAGTAGGAAGCTTGGAAGTAATAGGATGTTTGAACAACATAGAGCCGTTTGAAAACACCGTGTCACTCAGTGCCTTGTCCTATGGATTGTCTAAGGTGATTTTGAAACTTGATTCTGTTCAAATCAGAAGACTGATTCAAGAGTCTTGTGGAGCGGTTGGATCGTCTACTGGGAGACCTCGAAGCCCCTGGGTCTGCACTCACTGCAGAGGAGACGAGAGAGGTATGTCATTCTGTATACATGGAAACTGATAAACGGAATGGCGCCAAACTTCGAGGGCGAGACATTCAGGATTGAGACATATCACAACGAAAGAAGGGGAAGACTGTGCAAGATCACCCCACTTTGTAACAGATCTGCGGTCAGATTTTAATCGCTGCGGGAAGGATCACTTTCCGTGGCAGGGCAAAGTCTGTTTAACGCCCTACCAAAGGATCTAAGAGAGGAGGAGTTCACCCTGGAGACCTTCAAGAGACAGCTAGACGTGTTCCTGAGCACAATCCCAGATCGATCTCCCTTGCAACACTACCAGTGGCGAGAAGCAAGCAACAGCATCTTGCATCAGGTGGCCCAAATGAGGGCGGATGAGCGATAATCAGAGGCGGCGATCCATCGTGGCCTGGGACTGCTACGTCCCAAACAAATACTAAGGATTACTAAGCGGTCACTGAACGACGCATTTAGCCCAAACGGCCTCACGCAGTGAAATTTCTCGTCCGAACTTCCTTTTGACGTCGGCATCCTACGTCTGGTTGCACATTTCGCCTCCTCCACTCCCCACACACATCGTGCACACTGTCCCCACTAGTTCTTGAGATGAACTTTATCTTTATTTTGTTTGCATTATTATTTCAACATATAAGAAAAATTACCATTTTTAATATTCGAATGATTTACTGCGATTTTTTCCCCCATTTGTTTATTTTTAGGAGTTATATAGGAATTGATAAACTTTACTTTATTATCAAATTGATTACGCATTTTCTTACTGATAACCCCTATTCACAATACATGTTCATAGTTTACAACAACGCTGTGTCGTGATAGGATAACCAAGTTGATTAAGGTTGAATCAGGCAAGCACGTGTAAAGATCGCTCGAGCATAAATATAACAACTTTATGTAAATTGAAATGTATAAAAAGTCACGCAGCATCAGCAGTAATGTGCTCCGACTGCTTATTTATTAAATTCTATGATAAACGAAACAATTTGACACGAATATTATCTGCTTTCATCCCAGTAAAAATAAGAACACAGTTCACGCCTATTCTGTAGAAAGAATACAGCCATGAATCAGGCAACCGCAGGCAGCAAAGCGACGAGGTTCACAACAACTCCCTGGCTTGAAATAACCTCAACCCCCCCCCCTCCCTTAATACCCTCAGCCCCATGCAGTGGTGAGATTTACTGCGGTAAACTCAGAAATAAACATTAATTTCCAAATTAATTGATCTCATTTTGTATAATAGTTCAACGTGCATGAATTATTTGAAGGTTATGATTCGACGAAAATTTGAGTATGGTTGAGGACTTCCTATATTCCCCAGCTTGTAATTCTCAACCCCCAATGTCGCAGACATGGGGAGGAAGTGGGGTGTTCGTGGGCAGCTGTGGTTGGGGGACTTGAGAAGTACACACACAAAGCTTGTACGATGTGTGCAAGATAAGTAAGAATTACTTATTACAATTGCTTACCATTGATATTTTTCTTTTATAAAATGATGTGAAATGAATCGTTACAAGCTTGTTTGGGTTCTTACATAAAGTTGAGAATGAAATACCTGGAAGTCAATACAAAACCTACACAACTATTGAAGGCAAGTGCTGAGAGCGTCGAGACACAATATGCCTTCCCCCCTTCATCTTGAAACTCATCCCCTCTTTAACCCTCAAATCCACAATGTAAGTGCATGTGTTTGCATCTACATACCGTACGACTATGGGTCTTTAAATTAATAGGAATCTTCAAAATTAATAGGTAATAATTATTGAAATTATTTAATCTTTGAAGTAGTAACAAATCTTTAATTTAGTGGAGAGTAGTGGAAATCTTTAATTTCATTTGGCATTTCATAATGATATCTTGTTTAGACTTTATACATCTCAATTATCACCCCTGTTATTTATTTTACTGTGATTCATTTGATTCACTAATAATCACTGCAATGAACTGTGCAACTGATAATAGTGACGCTAATATCATGAGTTAACAAATGATAATGAATAATTAAGATTATTTCTATAATACATTAGTTTGCAGTGAAGAAAATACATGACGTGTAACAGACTAACAACCAAAAACTGTTATTAAAAAGTCTGCCCTTTAAAGTCACAAGCCCCGAGAAAACACTTGGAAAGAGGAGACGAGAACTGAGGAAGATGGGAGAGGAATATGTCACTCTTCGATCGCAAAGATTTGTGGACAAAAAGGCATGTTCTTCTACTTCCAAAGTTTCAATGTTCAAGGAAACGACTTTTTTTGCATTGATCTGCGGAAGTTTCACATAATTTTTCGAGTAAAATGACTAATATATGCCAAAGGAATTCTGATTCAGAAGTGCATGGTATACTACCCATCAATGAAGAATAAATAGTTAAACCTACGTACATCGAGAAAATGCAGCAAAATCGCTCGCTTCACGAACATCGGGTGCAAAATTTTATCTTTCCTGATAACAGTTGAGATACAAAGTTTGCAAAATTTATCTTAACGTACGTAAAATGACGAAAAATATCTGGCATAGCATTCCAAATTTCAAACTTCTATCTTACTTCGTGAGTTATAGTTAGAAGAAATAGTGAAGAAATTCCATAGGACTCGACGTGGCTTGACGGCGATACCTCAGCCTCTCATGAAGAACTTCAATAAACAAGTAACAACAAATGCTAAGGAGATAAGTATATCAACTGTGCGCAGAGGTCATTAAAGAAATGTAAAAGGAGGTAGCAGTAATCATTATTTAACATTTTAACTAAGTATCATTACGTATCATTAAAAATGCTACAATCAAGAAGAAAAAGCCACATAAATGACGGAAGTGTCATAAAGCTATTGAGGTAATTTACAAAAGACGCCATAACTTGTTTAAGCGTGCCTTGGACAACATACCCTTGAAAACTCACCAACTTTCAATGAAAACTCACCTACTTTCAACAGAGGTTCAATAGAAGTGTTGTGGAATTCACACGTGGCTACCTGATGCTGTACAGACTGGATAACAAGTCGTTCCAATCTGCGGAGGGAGCATGCGTTAGTATATGTAATGATGTAGTATTAGTTGGATATGCGACGATGCAACATTAGTAGGATATGGAACAAAGTGTAACATTTGTGAGAATGTAATGATATAAACATTAGTGGAATACGTAGGGATATGTAAGAATTTAACATTGGTACAATATGAAATGAAATCTCGGCAATAATATTTATTGCATTTGAATATATTAGCTGGAAAAGAAATAATATAAATGCAAAAATTTAATGGATAATACATATAATCACATTTGTTTTCAATTGAATGAATTCCATGAACAACGGAACTACTAAAATATCGGTTAACAATATTAAGAGGTACAAGAAAAAACGCAATAAATACATTAAATCTGGAAAGGAATAGTTACGTAGCTTGAATAAGATAATTATTTCAATTCAACATATAAAAATTTGTGATTAATATTGTCAATAATTATTTTTTCTAATAGAATTTGAGTTATTAAATGATAAAATTTTCTAATAAAACATGAAATAATATATTACAAGTTTTCTTCTTAAAATTAGACATAATTAATTATAAATTTTTTCTAAAAAAACAGCACATAGGATGATACGAGGTGAACATTAAGGGAGCACCTGCGGGGCGGCAGCATGACTGAGGGAGGGAGGTAGGCTGACAGCCGCTCCATCAAAGCCATATGGCTTTCTGGGCCTGACCCAAGCCAGTTGGTGGCTTTTTTCAGCTCCGCCGGGTTATTGTAGAATATTAAACTGCAACGAAAATCAAACTTCAACAGAATGCAATATTAGTGATTGCCTTGACACAAGAAAAAAAATACGTTTTTTTGAAAGGAAAGTATCCAAGTTTGATGCCAAGTCAAAAAAATTAATTTGATTCCAGATAAAAAATTGAAAAAGGTAGTTCAATTGTATAAATTCTTTGCCTATACTTGACAGCCAAGTAGATTTGATGTAGCTAAATTTTTTCATCAAAAATCAAGCCTATGGACAGAGAAACAAAGCTGTACTCTATACTTCCCTTATTATTTAACTCGGATCACAGAGGTCATCATCATCTTATTTTGGGTTTAGCACAGCAACGCTCAATTTTATGTACTGATAAGAACCCATCTTGTAGCTAAGATGTGTTCATGGCGTCATGTAATGCCCATTCCTATGCAGATTTATATATACAATGTAATCTCTGATATGTAAATGGAATGCAACAAATAACTCAACTTGCCCAAAGCATAAATTTTAATAGAACAAAAAAAAGTAAATAAAAATAAAATTGAAAATCAGAGAGCAGGAATTTACCTTGATAACCTGTGAACACGAGAGATGTTGTGGTCGAGGGGAGATATCTCCCCTCTAAGGCAGTTGAGGGCACCAATGTCATCCCCTCTCTCCAGGAGCTCCATATACTTCTGTTCTAAAATGAGGAACCGCATCTCCTGTGCACAAAATAAATATTTGCGTCATCAGTGATTATTAAAGTTGCTCTACACTGTTAGAAAAATTACCGTTAACGATATTACCGGTGTTTCAGTGGCCGGTCGGCACGTGAAAAGAAACACCGTGTTGCCGTTTTTATTCTAATTTAACACTAGAAATCTGTAAAACATCTGATAAAAACGGCAAAACAGTTTATTTTAACGAGGCGACCTGCCACTAGAACGCCAGTGGAACCGTTTTTTCACCGTTTTTTCTAACAGTGTAGTACTGATATCACCAGCATCAACTGAAAAGATTTTACATAAAAAATATAACAATGAACTAGAGTTTTCTATCAACATCCAAAGATTTGTTTTATGTATTATTTGTACACAACAAAATGTATTTTTGCTGAGCATTATATCACATTATCGACAACTTGTACGTGAAGAACAGTGGCAGTTCAATTCAAGTGCCAACTCAAGTGCAATTCAAGTGCCAACACACTGTGCAGTGATTTTTATATTACTTGTATCATCTATATGACAAAATCCTAAACTGATGAGAATCTTTTAGGATAAGCCGTCATTATTATTGCATGGCATCTGTGTTACTGGAAGTTTTGATCTTTTCATTGTGATGATATTTTGTTACCTTTGGAAATTTGTCCACTTAAAGAATTTCAGGAAGTGATGTCTTAGTGAATCAGATTGTAACCAAAGTCATGCCCTTTGTCTTATCACACAGTTAATTGTGTACTAGTTGAGAATTACTTGGGTTTAGGATTCATATCATTATTAATTACCAACATAAATTAACTTATGCACACACTACACAAGTTTTGCATATGTTGCTTTAGTCAGAAGGGTACCTACAGAAAAAATTTTCAAAGTAGGAAAAAAGGCAAATAATTTTACCTTAAATCACTAGAATATACACTCCTGAGTGACGAACTCTTCAAGTTGCAAAATAATTAATAATGCTACCAGACACTGGTCAACGTTAATCTTAGTTCTTACAAAGTGTTCATAAATCTTTTTGGCCGCCTGCTACAAGGTGCTGAATTTGCATTATTATAGTCATATGCTCTACACGTACTGTTCATTTTCTACTTGACTGGCTTTGACTTGCTTGCTAAAAAGTACTCAATGTACTCTAAATCAAGGAAGTGCTTTCAGGTCTTAAATGTATTCTTTTGATTAATTACTAGATGCTGGATGTATTTTATAATACACAGCTTTGAATTTAGGGCAGTCAAATAGTAGTGTAATGCAAGGTACACAATTGTGAAGACAAGAAGTAAGCTAAATCTCAATGGTGACAACGAGTAATGTACTAAATCACAATGTACACAATGGTGACAAGTAATGTGCTTAATCACAATGTACACAATGGTGAAGACAAGAAGTATGCTAACTCACAATGTAGACAATGGTGAAGACAAAAAATATGCTAACTCACAATGTAGACAATGGTGGAGACAAGAAATATGCTAACTCACAATGTACACGCAATGGTGGCGACAAGTAATGTGCCAACTCACAATGTACACAATGGTGGCGACAAGTAATGTGCCAACTCACAATTTACACAATGGTGCAGACAAGAAATATGCTAACTCACAATGGTAGAAGTAATATGAGTGAACTGACTGTGAGATGAGTGGTGTTGTTGAGCATAGACTGGAGCTCAAGCAGTGCAGCCTCTGCTGCCTGCCAGTCTCCCTCCACAACACTTGACTTGAACCTTCGGGCCTCAGGATGGTCAAGTCGACAGCCTGACTCGGCCATCAACTGTTCCACAGTGCTCCTGTTTTCAGGGGAGAGAATAATTGAAATATGTAGTCAGCAAATTTTGCTTAAATTATAGATCCATGACAACACCAGACCCTCCATGGCCATAGTTTTCTGAAGAGCGCTCCATGGTCTTGGTCAACTTTTTCAAAAGATTTTGCTAAAAAAATGTCAAAATACATCAATTCCATCCTTGCAACAACCATCTCAGATGGATTAGGTATTCTGGTTGGTCTTATAGATGTGAAAATGCATCATACAAAATAAAATCTTGAAATTTTCCCACAGGTAATTTGATATTAAAATGTTCAGTTTAGATTAACTATATAGTATATACAAGCTAAAAAATTATTAAATCTCTATCTTATTAAAAATGACTTACTGAAAACCAAGGTTTGCCAAGTGTTGCCCTATGAGGCGAACCATGTCTCTGTTGATGGGGTCAAGTTTGAGGGCTTTCTTAGTCTCATCTTTGACACCATTCACAGTTACGGCCGAGCCTCCGTCAGAGCTCCCATTGAGTTGAGGCACAGATGCCCCATTAGTTACTTCTGTCTGATGTTGCATGCTTGCTGTACCTCCTAGGCTTTCCTCTGTAAAAGCAAGTTTACATTTTAGTGGAATTCCCCCAAAAAACATGAATAATCAATCTAAATTTTATATATCATCACCACTGAGAATCACCTGCAGCATCAAGTACTGTAAAATTATAGTATGCTTGTACATATTCATGATACATTTATGAGTTCACACTATAGGTTACAGGGAAGCACCAGTCAAGAAATTATTCTGATAAGGTTCTTGCATAAAAATTATCTAAACTGTAAAGTAAAAAATAATTAAAACACAGCCACTGCACTTGCATTAAACTCATGGGGACCAAATATCATTTTTACAACAGAGCAAACTAATGAAAATTTTCAGAGAATGGGAATCTCATCTTGCTACTTGATACTAAACAGCACATTTTTGCTTGCAGAGAGTGGCTTGCAATTATATTATCCCAGGCCATGATTTCATAAAATACAGCATACATTTTGTTAACAGAATAAAGTGGAAAGGACAAATTGAGAAGATGATTTACATAAAAAAATTTTTAAGAGAATGTTAGAAAATTAATAGTGCCTTGCGGCACTGTTGCCCGAAAATTGCAATGCAACATTCATAGTAGAATAAAACAGGTTTTTTATTAAATATATGAAGGTGAACAGCAAAAGGATATGAGAAAATTCCAAAAACCTCAGCAAATGATTTAGAAAAAATACAATTCATAAAATTTTAATTTATATATTTCGTTCTAATATTTTAACACCAGGTCAATATAATTTCAGAAAATGTGAAAATGATGACTAGCTTCCTAACACTTGTCCAATTGCACTGAAATAATTGCACCAAAAATTATTACTATTTGAATTTATAAAACTATGCTGTCTGACAAGGGTTAAATATTAAAGCCAAATTTGTCTACAATGATCTTAGGTTTGGTCAACATATTCTGGAGTCAGCCATCAGCCAGTCTCTGTATACAAGAATTTCTGATTTGTACAAATTATTTCGAAACTTCACTGAACTATATATATGGCCTTGGATACTTAACTTCAGGATTAGAGTGCTTAATTAAATGAGTGAAAATTGTTGGTCAGAATGCCATGTTGCTTTGAGTGTGTATATTTAACATATAAACATCCAGTTCACTTGATATGAACTGTTACATGAATACACTAATTTGTTCCACTAACGAAACACTTTATTAAGTGTGGTGAAATAATATTAAATGTAAGTTGAGTTAATCTCTTTTGAAGACAGTCTTATCATTAAGATCAGATCATGAATAAAATTTTAAAAACTCTAATTTTGAATGGCACAGAAATAAACCAGACAATATTCTAAATCATACCTCTAACCCTAACTGACAAAATAGGAACTGACAACAGACAAAATAGGAACTGACAACTGACAAACAAGAAGGCAGGGGCATCTAACAGGCAAGGTTGAACATACATACAATGTAGTGTGAGAAACAAAGGAATTGGAATTGTACAGAAATTGACAAGTAATTTGTACATTGTAATGTATTTCTCTGCTGAATTTGAGTAAATGGTGATGCACTCCAACTCGCTACGTTGACAATTGCCACTTGTAAAGTTATGCTTAATTCTAATTAAAAATTTAAACAAATAATTTAATTTCAAATCATTTATTTCAAGCTACCTTTATATTTGAATTTTATGCGACTAGCTATTTATCTTCAAATGATCTTAAAGTAAACAAATATTTAAATTTTTAACTTTGGTTGGTCAGAAGTTCTGTCTCTTGTCACTACTACGCTCCCTCCCATAATCATAATAGGAAGGACCAAAACAGGGTGCCCTTAGCCATGACTGATAGACTGATAGGTCATAGGTACAACAAATCCTAGAATTGCACCATCACCACCATGATTCCAACTTGAAGAAAAATGTTTAGTTCTCATCAGACCCTACTTTACAGACTGGCAGAGAGACAGGATTAGAATTTTCCTACTTGTTTCTGAAATCTTGCGGCTTCAATGTGACAAATTTTTTATACATTTGGAATCTTGCGGCCCATTCGTGCATTTTTGTTAACAATTATATAAGAGTTAATTCATCTGGCAGAATTCTTGCAGTTCCAGAAATGGTTGGAAAGCTCTAGTTGAGGCCCTAAGGTTAGAAGTTTTCCATGCTTGCAGAGAGAGAGTAATTAGCCTATCTAAAAAATAGCTGAAACATTAGCATCTAGATCTTTGTCTTTGCCCATCTCTAATATTGGGCAGAATTTCTCAAAAACAGCAGGTAAAATAATTGTTTAAGATTCAATCTTTGAAAATTACAAGCAAAAATGAACCATTTCTCTTTTAAAATAAAATTTATCAAGGGCCAATGGCCAAAGCAATGAGTGAAAATAACCACAAACTTATGCATCTTTGTCTGATAATCTGATTGCCATTAGATAGGCTTCAATAACCTTAATAACAATGGAAAAAATATTTTCTTACAACAAAATTTTTTTTACCTGTTTTGCCACCACCACTGCTGCAGGATTCGTCACAACCCACTCCCCCTTGAGTCCTTTTCAGCTTCTTCCGTGGCGGCGGAGAGGCTCCACCGTAATGAGGGTCCTCCCACGAGGCCAGGATGTCTATGAAGGCGCCGTGGTTGAGAGTCACTGCTCAACCCGATCAGTATTAAAGAGAAAACAATCAGCTACAGAACAAAAAAGACTAAATCAATGGCACACAAGTATTCCAGATTCAATGCATACGCTTACTGCGCACCATGGTCGTCAGACCATCGACAGACTGATCACCTAAAGTCTTAATGCTCAGCTGTGCGGGCGCATTCAGTAACCTCCATCGAACTCTTCTAAATCTAAACAATGACTTTTATACATAAAAAATACAACTCAAAATGCATATACTGGGTAAATCGAATCAAGTTCATGGTGGAAAATTTTCAAATTATCACCTATAATCTCCCGTTTATAAAGATCTGATCATCCGAATCCCGTTCTATTGCTCCCCAAGATCACACGCAAACAGCTGATGGCAAACTGACTATAGACACAGATATAAACTCGGACATTCACCCAATAATCAATTTCTTGACTCGCGTTTCAACTATATATTAGGCAGCTTAATAAGTTCTTCATAGAGATGATGCCATTGAAAATTGTATTGCTTTGACAAATTGAATAAAAAAAACGAATTGCATAGAATACTGGAACCCTGTCTTTGTTTTTATTTGTAATTCAAACAAACAAATGAAGGCTGATGATTGAATGTAAAAATTTCTTAGTACAATAAATTGAACATTACGTGAAATAAGATGGAATCTTTTAAAATTCTATTTTCTGAATAAAAATCACGATATGAAATTTAAATTTTGAGAATCCCACGGGAATCTAATAGATTGTTCGGCCTTTCACATGCAATTTGGCGGAAAATTTGAAAAATTGAAATAGGTCTTATATGCATTGATAATATGCGCAAGCAATTTGATTTGATGTCATTGCAATTTGAGTATCTTCAAATATTGCATAAATTAGCATTCATCAAGCTAGTTAAAACTTATGTGGACGAAAAGAAAAAAAAACAACGCACGCAGGAGCTTCCTGCGAAAAAATAACTTCAATTTTATTTAGGTCATGATCTGCTTCAACAATAAAAACTTATTGGTGGAAAACGTGCTTATAATTAGCATCTATGATGCTAATCAAAATCAAAGCGGACTGCCAACAACCTACACTTAGCGCTGTAAAAAGCGAAAAAATGGTGGAAGAGAAGTGCTCTTCTATGTTTTCTGTCTTTAAGGCCGAAATGGAAGAAACCATCAAACAGGAGTTTAGAAAGAGTGCCAAAATGGAAGAGAACCACAAGAAAGAACTGAGCTTGTTGCGTAGCGAATTACACTCGTTACGAAACGAGCTGGTGGAAATGAAAGCTAATCTGCACACAACAGAAAATAACGATAACACAGAAGGTAAAGGCCGCAAAGATGTCATCTCTGATCTCGCCAACGAGAGCACTCAAAATTACGGACCAGGCAATAAGTCCAGCAGCTATCTCAATCAATCGTCAGCTATGGAAAGATCGGGTTCCAAAGGCCGGATCCCTTGTGAATCAAGTCACGAAAAGTTCAAGAATCGGCAACAGGCCATGGGCCTATTTCTTCAGCGCCGACACTTCTATTCTATTCTATTCTATTCTAAAACATTTTGAAAGAGGTTGCCCAAACCTAATTTGATCAAAATCGTTTCTGACTTGATATATATAAACATGGAAAACTTGCTATGAAGATTCATTAGGACTCAACGGTGATGTTCAGAACCCTACGATTTCTGGCTTCATTCGCGAATACAGCAGAACCTCGCCTAAAGAACGTCCTACGTCCAAACAAACCGCCTTACGAACCATCAGACCGGGAAAATATGTGTTTCGCTGTACGACCCGGAACACTGCAAAAAGCAGTATATCGGCTACAAAAGTTTCGGTATCTATTGATGACTACGCTGAAATCAATAATAAGCATTTGCCCTAAGCATGCTTAAAACAGCACTGTAACCTGTGTCGGGTCAGGCTTCAGGGGTGCAATGCATATTTTTCAGTAACTATATAATACAGAGAGTGCGAATATTGAGCGTTTGTGAACGATGGAATAGTCTACATTTGTTAATGGAGTGGTCACCGCTTATTGCTCTCTAGGTACAAGCCAACCGAGCTTCAATCTCTAGCTGATGCCTCTCTAACAGCCTAACAGGAGGTGGAGAAAGGAAAGAGAAAACTTCTACAATGATAACAATTCAATAGGTACACAAGCGTATAAAATGATTGGAATGTCTAGAGAAATACAGAAGTAAAATATCAAGTTTAATCAGTCTTGTGGTGAGCATTGATAGTGAAGATAAGTCAATGATATCATGCGAATAAATATCCTATGAATTGCTATCTTGTGGATAGATATTCTGTGAATTGATATCCTGTAAATATCAAACATTTTTTTAGTAACGCAGGCCAGACGTGACAGAAAGTCATCGACAAAAAAATGATGCAGTAATTCAGGAATCCATACTATAAGGCTTTACCTCATGCAAGCTGTATGTCTGCCGAATAATATAAACACAATAATTGTTTATACCCTAATTGATATATATTGCATGATTACTGAAGTGAAAGGATACGACCAAAATTTGAAGATGAATAGTATGTTTAATTCTGTATCTGTGCATGACAATTATAGAACAGCACGATAGTTAGTTTATTCCAATAAACGGTTAATTCAAAGTTCGTTATCAAGGAAGTTCATACAGCGAATTAATAATGTAAACTCTATTTACTAACATAACAATTAGATTTGGGTTCTTAAATATAATTCAAGGAGCCGGTATTAATACTGCTACTTTGGAACAGGAATTAAAATAATCTATTCCACTTCGGCGGTCGCGAGTAAATCAGGCGACAGATGCCGTGAAATATTATCAGTACCCTCGACCACGAATGCATTGAAAAAATAAATATTATATTGTGTATAAATAGAGTTTAAATATTGTTTTCAGGCCGCCAATATTGTTTAAATATTGGCGGCCTGTTTTCCTCCAATGAAACGATACATTTTAATTAGGCAGTTATTTTTTCACTCCATATTTAGAAATAAATATGGAGGAACTATAGCAGCCATAAATTCATTTTTATGACTCTACAATGGCTTGCATGATTTCACGCGCTAATAAAGGGCGAGAAAATTCGGAACATCCAGCTACCGTCAATGACACATAAGTCGCCTCTCAGCAGTTAAACCGCACACAACTCTCCGGTAGTTACCAAAATTCGTATAAAACTTGTCGGAATTTCGTTTTGTTGGGTTCTATTGCTACGTTGTGACTGCAAAGCTTCTTCGAGCGCCCTAGAATGATGTAAAATGGAGTGTTTCTATTGAAGACTGGCGGATTAAGTGCTGTGGCAACGTTATCGACATTGAAGGCGCACAATTCAAAGATTGGTCCATCATGAACATCGGGACCTGAGTCCCACTTATATGAGCGTATTAATTAGAAGTAATATAAATACGTATGTTTCTCATTAGTAAGTATGTTGGTCGTATAAAAATTAGAATTTTGTTTTACTAGTATTTCGAGTACACAACTTGATTAAATAATGCAACCAATCACAGGTATTTCAATTCTAAAAAGATCTGCTAGAAACTCAGAATATTACTAATTATACGCAGTGCACTACGGGATATATCATTAGTGAATTTTTATAGCAGTGGCCTTTTTATTAAAACGAAGCTTTAAAAATATTAGGCTTGATTGTTTTAAGATTGGTCAGGTCATAATTATTCAAGCATGGCTATTTATTATTTCATCATTATGATCCATTCTATCATAACCTAATCTAACCTGTCAACCTAATTTTTGAAAGTTTCGCTGTAATTAGGAAATAAATATCCCAAAAAATCAGTTGTATAATTCCTCCCGCAGCGAATTTGCCGCTTTAAATCGGATAAATTTCTAGGTTTGCATGGGAGAACTTTCGAGAAGAATTTAAAAAGTCATGAAAATTAATTCTATTTTAGAAACGGCTTATCGTGAAGATATAACATTTTGCCGTTTCAAATTGAATAAATTTTTAGGTTTGGGAGAATAATTTCCAGCTAAATTAGTAAATTTATGAAGACAAATTTTATTTCAAAACGGCTGAACTGCTCCTCGTTAAAATATAACAGACATTTTGCCGCTTTAAATTGAATAAAGTTTTTGGTTCGGGAGAACCTTCCAGATAAATTTGCAAAGTTATGGATACTAAATCTATTTTAGAAACGGCTGAACTGATACTCGTGAAATTATGAGACTTTCTGCCCTTTTAAAGTGAATAAATTTCTAGGTTTGGGAGAACTTTCGAGGTGAATTCAAAAAGTTATGAATACTAATTCTATTTTAGAACAGACTGAACTGGCCCCCGTAAAATTATAACAGAATTTTTGCCGCTTTAAAGTGAATGAATTCCTAGATTTAGGAGAAATTTCGAATTGAATTAAAAAAGTTAAAATTTTTACTTTTTGATGAACCGACCTTTCGCACCTAAGTTCTCATCTGGAGGATGGAAATGAAACTTCTTTCCGAAAAATATATTTGAAAATTTGAAGCTAACGGACGAAAACAATGAATTTAGTTTGTCAGCTTATACAATTACAGCTATTTCGGACTTATTAGATAAAGTTTTTTAGTGTCTCACGATTACACTATTGGTGTTGAAGAAATTAAATTGTTTATTGCAAGAAAATGAAGAGCTTATTAAAGTTATTGCTCAACGACGCGCATCCATTATTTATTGGTTCAATTAAAATTCAGCCAGTTAAGGTTTGGTACAGTATGAGTAAGTTTTCATATAATATAAAAAATAGAAAAATTAGCTGGCAAGGAAAATTTATATACGCAAGTTTATATGCCTAGTAAGCGAGTAATTGAATGGTAATAAGTCATCATAACCGATAACGAAGTGTGTTCGTGCATGTGTAATGCCCCTAAAGTTGTTATATGAATTTTGGGATTATAGTAGATTCATAGTGAAATAGGCTATTCACATTAATAATATCAGAAGTCAAAATATTGCGCTCACACAAGTCAAATCCTCAAAATACAAATAAAGAAATGATTCCCATTCGTTGGAACTTTTCGTTGGTTTGCTTACACGAAAAGGTCATCACGCCTAGAAAATTTAACACCTGTGTTATCATCAGTTACTTCGTTTCCCACGCTCAAAACTGGAATCAGTAAGACGTTCTGGAAGGAAACAGGGCCACGGCCGGTTTTCTTAGCGTTCCGACCCTCCGCCATGTATGAAGCGGCATGCAGCGGGGCCCAGCGATGTCTTCGATGTCTGTCTATCCACACATGATTATTTACCTCATCATCTACGCTTGTAACGTTAAAATGCGTCGAGAATTGGTCGTCATGCGTATCTAATGGCTGAGCGTATCCAGTGTTGCCACTCCAAATTTGGTCCTGATCAGCTTCCTCAGGCGAAAACGTTGTCGAGTACATGTTAGGTGGAGTCATGTATGGTGGGATGTAAGCTTCATGCCAATGAGAAGGATACTTCATTGGCACAAATTTTGTTGGCGGCGATTCCCCGGGATTCGTTGAAATTACATGAGGTTTGGCGTAAAAGTAATGTTTACACGGCCTCATGTGCAAACTGCTGCCTTGAGCAACTGTAAAACTTTGTGGTTGAGTACCAATATTCATTGAATATTCCCCAGTCGGTGCTTGGTTATAGTCCACCGTTCCTGGTGTCTTCATTCCTGGCATTGGTTTCTTACCAGATTCATATCCATGAGAGGACTCGTGTATCAAGTGATAGTAATTCATATTTGGTCTATTACTCATTCCTGGCTTATTATGATTCATAGTTCCAGGCCATGGGGGATAACTTGGTCTCATTTGTCCCGTAACTGAGCTGTAACCATTAGTTGGCGGAGGCTTACGATGTGCAAACTGGGGCCTCCTGAACCCGGTTGGCCTCAGTCTGAATCCAAATGGACTTTCACGCTTAGGTTTTGGTATTAAATTATGAAGGACGTCAGACAATTTTGGCCATCGATTGAATCCTTCGATCCTGAACAGCCGCTGAGTTTCCTCGACAGCCCGAAAAGGGGTTGACGGAATGTGCTGCAAACCATCGTCGTCAGGCACCATGTAAGATACGCTGGATCGCACTGTAGAGGAAAGCAGCAAGACCCAAAGTACCAAGATTTTCTGTAGCGAGAAACCACGAGGCTGAGTTAGTAATTGTTAAATGACAAATTAAATGGAGGTTAACTCGAGCTCGAACGACATGATTGCAGGAAAAGTTTTGTAAAAAGAATTATTGCACAAGAAATTAGTGATGACTTTTTTAGTTATTCTACAGAAATGCTAGTTAATTGAATATGTTAGTTAGTTATTAATGAGAAGTAAAATGTTAGAAATGTAGGAATTGCAGAAACAAACAAGATAAGTTATGAAAAGATTGCTGTTATCAGGATATTATACTGTGCATTGCAATATACTGGGAATAGCTAAAGAGTGACCATCTTAGAGAAAATTCTTTATGCATGCAGTGCCGTTATAGAAAAAATTGAGTTTCGATTAGTACTGAAATTAAATAGCATTGTAACATGTTATTAACAAGACACGTATCCTTAACTGTATCTGCAAGACAATTAAAAACAAGCAAAAAATAAGAAAAACATGGCTTCAGGTCGCCTCAGTGACGGTGTAACCTAAATAACGTCAATTTTTACTACTAAATAAATTCAAACATTCACAGTGAAGTTATTCAAGAATGCTTGTAGGACGCAGAAACAACGCTTTCGAATGACTGGACATGCTGAGGAACAGAGGTGCGGCCTGAATCTTGGGACGTCGTCAGCTGAGGATTTTTTAGGCCTACGATATCATCTGATTTTGGTTTGCTGTAGTCTATTCCGAGGACTTGAGGTGACGCAGCCCCAGGTTGTCGAGATCCCACATGCAGGGTTGGCTGTAAGTTCCCCCAGAAGACAGACTGACGGGTCTTTGGCAAGGAAGCTGCTGCTTCCAGCACGGGAAATCGTGGTAAAGAATCCGTGAGTTGATCTGAGTTGCGGTCCAGTAGTTGTAATTCTATCGGATCTCTGAGCACGTTGTGGCTTGGAAGAAATTGTGAAGTCGAGAGGGGCAATAAGTTATTGAAACGGGAGTTCTGACGGTTGGAACTTTGAGTAACCGATGTTACAAAAGGAGTGAACTGCCGTCGATGGTTTGCAGTATATTCGGGATAGTAAGCAAATGATTCTTGATTGTCAAATGAGTTTCTGCGCAAATAATGGTCTTCTTGGCCTCCGGCAAAGCCAGAGGTTACAGAGCTTCCTTTTGGAGGACCAAATCCTTTGGGTACGATACTGTCTAAGTTGATAAAGCCGTTATCGGCGTATATGAGATCATCGCTCCTGCTGTTGTACGAGTAGGTCTTGCTTCTTGGCTGAGGTGCGAATGGAACCCAGCTAGCCGTGTAAGTAGGGTCGTGATATGGGAGCCATCGAGGCGCTTTGAAGAATTTTGGGATAATGCCTGCGTAGTGATCTCCAAAACCAACCCAAGGATAAGCTTTACTCATGCTGGCTGGCATGACGATCACGTTATGGTGTGAGTCGTGTCCTCCGCCTCCATAGTCTGCATGGACCGCGGCTGCGAACACGATGCTGATTGCCACTGCCAAGGGCTGTAAAAAATCATCGAATGAATTTCCAAGTAATCTTTTATAAACAAATTTGGAAAAAGGATGAAATCGTGCAATTTCACTGGATACACTGATCCACAGCCTGCAGACTTGATTGAAAACGTTCTCAATTATACTAATCGTAATTCACGTAACTCCAACGATGAAATAAAAGGCGCAGAAAAATCTTTTTCGTGTTTGAGCATAAATGAATTTTTGTAAGCTTATTTTAAGTCTGGAATCAGAATAGAATTTTTCACGATATCAATAAAATTTCGCTTGTAATGATTGAATCGACGAGTCTTGCATCAGCGGATCAGTGTTCCTTGTCGTGATGAAAATTCAAAGCAAATAATATCGTTTTTGCAACCTGGAAGAATATTTGTGGCACATACAAAATAAAAGAAAAAATAAAATCATGCTTGCAATATGATATATATACGAAGCCGTTTTGTGCTTCTCATTCTGGGGTGAACATCAATGTGGCGTGCGGTGTGGCTGTCTTGTTGACAACGATTTTTTGAGGTGTAAAATGCATGCTTTTTGGATTAAATAAATACCTGCGAGGTTATCACTCAAACAGACAAATATAGTGACTGAACATATTCAAGCAGAATAAATATATAGGGTTGATAGGTTATATTACCCACTGTAATCTCCCGACCAGGTAAAATTGTTCAATTGCGGGCCCAAATTCCATCAGTTCTTCGGTCCTCTATGAAACAGGTCACGATTATGTCGAAACTTGTAAAATTATTTTATCATAAATTGCTCATACAATATGACATGCTGATCGTATTCGGCCAATTCATTGCCCTGTTTAAAAATTCAATTATTATCCCGTATACTAATTTCCAAATGTGATTATCGAAATATTAAAATTCAATCAATACAGCCGTGAAAAAGTTGTAAAGATTTGATGAGTTCTTTGGTCAATGAATTCAAATATGAAGACTTTCTGTCTTTTCAACCCTCAAGTTTAAAACCTTCTCTTGGAAGGTCATTCAGCACGAGGAGCTCGGATGATGTCAGACTTGAGACGAGCAAAGGAAAGTGAACGTCGGCGCAGTGAAAGTAACGGAAACGAAAGACCCTAGATACCCACCTGAACTACCGCGTGCTGGTCCCGCTGACTTTTGTGGATGTCTAATGCTAGTATTCATTACGTAGTTATGTAGTTTAATTTTGCTCCTTGTGTGTATTATTGAATTGCATGATGACTCAATAAATATAGAAAAATGTTTTCAAATGTATTCCATACAAATGTATTCATTGGAACAATGGAGGCGGTAGAAAACATATTAGACCTGTCATTATAATATCCTAATAAATATCCTATAGGAACGGGAAACGTTGATAACTCATTGATTTTTCGTTATACTGTCACATAGTAACATGCTGACATTTGGTGATGCAGGTACTTCCAACTGTTAACTTCTATTATCTGACAAGTGTGACAGGTGTCAAGAACAAGTTTACTTATTATTTTTCAATAACTCGACTAACCACGGCGCCTGCAAGTACACATACTTAAAAAATAATATTTTGTCAGGTTAAATGTAATTTAAATGTGATCAATTATTTTCTGAGTTAAAACGCTGACACACGAAAGAAATCTTATGGAGTTCATGCTAATCTGTAACCGTTTTCTCAGTCATTAGAAAGTAAAGTATGACTTATAATTGTAAACTATTAACGAAAACGACTCTATTAACGTTGATTTACGCACCTACGCGGTAAGTCTTGGATCAAATGAAACGTCCTGTCAAAAAAGATAGACACTTTTTCATTTTTAGTGTTCAAGCTTTAGTTGTAGAGCATGCACAGCATTCCTTGTTATTTAATACCGGCAATTGTGTTGAACAGTTTTTAGTAAACTGAAGCATATGTTGTCACTGAGTGATGACTTTACAGAACAAGTAGAAAGCGCTAGGCTTCATCTGTATCTCGGTCAACGTCTTGTCTCACGCAAGTTTGGGAATAGAAATAAATTCTGTTTACGTCACGTAGGAAAATATAATGGGAAAAATTGATCATCATATAAGATGAAAATTGTGAGTATATATTTTAATACTTTGTGCGATCACGGCAGTTCATTAACATGACATTTATATGAAATGTTTTGCCATGGCATAGTACAACATTCTCACAAAATTGAAAATAACACGTAATCAGATACTTACCGTACCCATTGAAAATTACTTCTCTTCTCTAAGTAACAAGCATTTTATCATAGAACTAAATGTTTCATTTACTTAGATTAAATCGTTATTAGTTCAGACTGAAGTTTTCGTTTCAAGTTCAGTGCCCATGAGAGTGATGCTGTTCTTATTAAATATGGTCATACATTATGTGGTTTCAGCATTAAGTTTATCATTTATTTAGTTAATTATTTATTAAGCATAATGCCAGCAAAAAATCCTTATTGCTAATTTCCGTTCATTATTAATCAGTGAATTTGCAGTATCTTTTAATTATGCTATGATAAATAGCACTCCTAGTCTTTCCCGTACCTCAGGTTTCTCTCCACGCGCAGTGAAAGTGACTTCAAGCTTTCCAATTGGGCACGGGTTGAAAGGACCGTACACTCAGACAAATGTGTGAAATTTTGTCCATATTGCGATGTATTGCCCTTGTGTGGATTATCCTGGCTGAGTTTAGCCAGCGTCACGTGCAGAAAGTGTGTTCATAGTTGGACAAGACGGCACGTTAATATTTGTGAGTGTGTTGTCTCAACAGCCTTGGAAGGGCACGCATATACGCAGCCTTTCCCGAGTCGATCGCAGTTTATGCAATATAATTGATGGCTTACGATGAAAGAAAAAAACCTGTTTTGCAAGTCTGCGTGGGCTGTGTGGAGAGAACCTGTGAGGTCGTGACGACTATTGTCCATTTAATAATACGTCGAATATCTGTATGCTTTGTGTAAAATGTTGACAATTCTGCTTAAATTAATTAATTATAGATCAATTAATTATAGGTAGATTACATAGTCATAACTGCTTTCTCGCTGCTTCATCAAAAGAAAATGTTGGGATTCTTTATGAGGGAAGTTAGTTTTCGGAACGTGATATTAAATATAGTAAAAAAGTCGAAAATTAAAGCGAATTAAAAATGGAGTAGAAGAGATTAAAAGTTAATCAGCTTATTTGCGCAGCTAACTGAAATCGATATAAATGCGGCCACACTATATTTTCAAAGAATTAGCAGTTGGATGCACCATTTTACCATAAACCTATCATGTGCATTCTTAAATCTCCCCAACAATAATCATGTCGTTAAATACTGACTAACATCACCCATGTTTCAACTTAAATTGAAATATCGAACCCCAAAAATGAAAAATCTCTATTTTCCCGTCAATGTGTATCAATTAATTAAAAAAGCACCTAACTTTAATACGATGACTAGACGAGCACACTTGCCGAATCATTTGCAAGCTTCAAGCGAGAATTTCGCGAGCATATGTCCGGCTGTCACCGCGCACGCGGTCGCTGCTGTCCTGACAAATAGAAACCTTCCTTAATCTGAGCTGCCTGGGTAACCGCGTGTAACATTTAGTAGCTTTCTGGGTTAAGCGAGACTTATTTAACTTGAAATTTCTAATCTTGTATTAACACTAATGTTGCTGAGATACTCAGAGTTGAACTTGGGGAAAAAATGTGTACTTACATTGGATGTGATTTTACTTGTACTTTGGTGTTGAATTTATTGGAAACAAATTTATTATTACCGAAATATAAAAATTTTAGTCGCTAGAACTGGCCATTTATGAATTAATAACTTATATATCTCAATTTGAAATTACAATTTATACTTAAATTGAAATGAATGTAACTATTAGCTAATTAGTAATAAATATCCATTTAATTTAAAAATATTATAAACGATACTTCTTCGTTCTTTAAGTCGATTAGTGAGAGCCCTGGGCTGGGGTTCTACTATAAAAGCGTAAAAATCTGCCATATCAATGAAGTATTTTACATGAAAGAGTGAAAGGTTCCGTTCGTCGCTGTAGCAATAGTCTTCATGTTGTGGTCGATGATGAAACGCATAAAGGCTGCACGTGTAAACATTGTGTGAATATAATTTTAAAGATAGACAAAACAAAATTCTTTTGACTAAAAGAAAATAATAAATTATAGGAATTGGTCTGAAAATTACAAATGCCGCATGAAGATGACGCTGCAAAATAATTCTAGCAAATCTCAACTTTTCTTATGGCTCTTAATAATAAAATTAAAAGAATTTTAGCGGCGTAAAAAATTGATGAGACTAATTATCTCTTCAATGAAAATTCTTACCAATAAACATCATTCAGTAACATTGCAAAAAAAAAAAATTGTCGACTATTGCCAACTTTTCTACCAAAGACAATGGCCGTGACCAGAAGTAGAAAAGTTGCGTGTGGTGTGCAATAAGTTGTAATAATAGTAGCGGAAGCGACCGCAAGTCTGGACAGGCTGGCTCGACCTTCATAACGTAAACGGGGTAATTGTTTTTTTCCGACTTTAACCGCTCTTGTCCCGGCGGCCGAATACCTACCTAATCATGGTTGAACTAGTTAGTATAAGGTTGACCCATGAAAAGCTCATTTTTCCGGATGTAGTTTGTTGTTCGCCTGTGACATCACTGATCTCAGTGACGTCACAGCCATTAACCAATCACTGAAATGCGATCAAACCAGTCAACCAATCCATTATGGGAATGACGGGATTGTTTAAGTTTCTCGATCTACGTGACGTAACAAGAAAGCTGAACTGAAAGACGGACATCCTCGTGGATCAACCTAACATAATTCAACCATGTACCTAATAAAGTTACGAACGAGGTCGACTGACGCTACAAACTCTTCATCTGATGAGCCAGTTGAAGATATCGCGAAAAGTGAATTGAGTGAATGAATTATAATAGATCTGCGAAAATTAGGGATTTGTTAGCTAGACGTTGTAACAAATGTAATCTTTAAACTTACAGTTTAAACTTATTCCACTACAGTTGCACAGCCATGTGTCTGCTTTCTTCGATGCTATTTCTTTTGTTATTTATGCAATAGCAAAATCGTGGGTACGAATAAAAATTATCGTCACCGATTTAGTTTGTGTCATACAATTTTTATGTCCATCGCAGGCTCCTTTCAAATCCTCCAGGTTTCTCCTATCGGCATATTCATATAAATGAACCAAAAATAATCCTGATCTAACTGAAGTTTTACTCCCAGTACCGTGAGCCTTTTTAGCGCATTTTCTCATTTATGGAAAAAAATGCACTATTGTGCTCGCCATGTCCGTCTGTCTGTCTGTCCGTCCGTCCGTCTGTCCGTCAGTCCGTGACCTCAAGTTTTCGTCGACGAGAAAATGCGCTCTCTGTCACTCACTTCAGTGCGTACTGAGTTATATTTTTTTATAAGCATCAAAAACTTAGTACTTGCCAGTCGCCGTCAACGGTCCCTATAGCTGCACATGTTGGTGCGCCGCGCTCGACATGAGGTTTTGCAAGATTTCTTACCTAACCTACAGCATGCACGAGCTTTCCCTGGATCTAGTACAGTTATGCTCCTTTTTTAACCCATTGTGAAATAGGGTAATTTTCTTCCAAAGATGAAGTGTGCAGTATTGCTCACTTTACCCTCCTCCCTCTTGGCTGCAAGATAAAATTAAGTAGTTTTATTGCTAAGACACAACGGGTAGTATTGCTCCGTTTTTACCATATTGAAAAATAGGTTAATTTTCTTTCCAATATGAAGTGTGCAGTATTGCTCAATTCTCTCTCCCCCTCCCCTTACATCATGGTAAAATTGGGTAATTTTCTTGCTAAGATCAGGTGTAGTATTGCTCTGTGCTTCCTCCACTGTATAATAAAAATATTCACCGAAGTATCAAATCTGCGACGACTTTATGACAAAAATTAATAGAAATAGTTTGAATAGCCTTTAATATAAATTCCGTAAGGTAAAGCAAAGTCGTGAGTCACCAAGATAAGGGATCTTTCCGCGTTCCCAAACGTGCGTGAAGTTTCTGAATAATCGCACAAATAACAAAGTGCCGGTGAAAAAAAGCGCGTGTTCGGTGCATAAGCTCGTAATTAAAGTTTTTTCCGTATTGTTATCCTCGTGATCAAATTGCATTATACTCACTTTCCCTGTAATCAAGATTGTTTCTTGAGTAACTCACCGTATTCATTTTATCAAGAAGCACCGCGAAATTGATAGTTTGGATGGAGTCAAATTTTACTAGCAAGGCAGTGAAGGAGAGACCGTGTGCAGGACAGAACACCTACTCCTACAGTGGTGAGGCTCGAACTGAACCCAGGCAGCCCAGGCGGGTGCTTTTATAGTGGCTTTCTCCAAAGCTCATCATCCATTCACCTGTGGAGATTGCACTTACAAATTTACTTAATAGCTATTTTTCCTAGCCTAGCTAAATTAGGCATGTTTGCATAAATAGAGGAGTATGCCTCTTAATTTTACTTGAAATTAATTTAGATTTAAGCTGAAATTTAGATGGAATAACATGCGTTTTGCACTCACGAGTCACGACTCACGACTACCTAAAAAACTCGTTTGAATTTCTACAAAAATTAACCAAAAATTAACTCCTTAAAAATCTCGTGGAAAATGCTGCATGATGTTTCAGTTTAAATTCAGTATAAACGGGGAAATTAATTTTTTTACTTAATTAAACTAAGTAAAATATTCGTTTATAGACTGCAATTAGAGTATGGAACACAAACCCTACATGCTTCAGTTACGCAACGGCCGTGTCGTGACGCCGGTCTAGATGGCAGCGTCGCTCAGCGAGTCTTCTAATCTTTCTCTTTATCTTGACAAAGATTAAATACAATTCTTTAGTTCAGTTCTATATCAAACGACTTATTAAATCCAGCGCTTTTTGAAGCATTGTTTTGATAAAAACCTTGAAAAATTATATTACTTAAATAAATTACCTACACGTAACTGGCTTGTCGTGAACGTATGTATCATAATTTGCAATACTAAAAACAATATGAAACCTGTTTCCTTCATCAGCCTTCGCTTGACTTGTACCAAGTTGCTGGCAGCTGTCGATCCGCTAGCTGATTAAGCTGTTCTGATTTATCCATAAAAGAGGAACGATGGCTCCTGTTTATTAGCTTTTAGGGGCAATATATAATATATTAGTTCATTTGAGATTATTTTCAATTATTTATCGGCTTCGAGTAACAGTAACTGTTAATTCAACATTATAACTTAATAAGAATTGTAACTCTTTGGAGTTGTGCCAAAAATTTCCTAGTCGGATCTTAAATAAGATGATTCAATTTGAAGAAAATTAATTGCTTGTAAACGAATGAAAAACTACTCTTATTCTTCTATTTTCCAACAAATTTAAAACTTTTTATTTTCTACTATTAATTCATCTATCAGAGACGTATTTAAAAAGTTGTACATTTGTTAAGAAGTCAATTACGTATCATATTCAATTACGTATATATTAATATACGTATTAATTTAATATTCATTACGTATATATTAATATATTATATTAATATCATTAATCATATTCAATCATACTCGTATTAATATCATATTCAATTACGTATATATTAATGTTTACTTGAACATATCTGTGGTCTAAAGTTCAACAGAGAGACGCTATTGATTAACTGTTGACAATCACGAGTACAAAAAGCGGATGATGCGCTCCGGCAGCCACAACGGATCACGGTTTGGGTGAAAGTAAGGAAGCAAGTAATCACTGACCTCATTACATACATAATAATTAATGAATAACTGTAGTCGCGATGTAACTTTTATGTTAAGATTGGATAAGAATATATGATGCGTAAATATCGAAGCGATGCCAAATTTATACCAGCGAAGAAAGATCATCCTAGATTGTTAAAATAATTTATTAAAACTAATTAAAACACTAATAGATTAGCAGAACTTGCTGCACAGCGATGTAAATGCTGTTAATGATTGAATATTTATTTTTTACTGGTCTCGCAGAGCATCATTAAACGAAAAATTTTACTCACCACTCGCACCAAATTACAAATTAACTCCTTACAATTAACTGGTTCATTCCCACCAGTGTCCGCCATATTAAGGAATTTAACACAATTAATTAAATCGTTATTCATCGTTTCTATTGATTGAAGTGCAAGATTCTTATAATTGTACATATTTGCATAATTAAATTTTTTTGTTCTTGTATAAGTAGTGCCGAAATCGCGGAATTGCCGATTCTATGGAATCGACAGCCAGTTTGCCGAATCTGTAGAATCAACATTTTGTTACTGATTTAGAAAATCGTATGTTAGAATTAGAATATTAGAACAATTGTTAGTTAGAACAATCTACAGTTGGAGTTAGGAAAGTTTAGGTCAAGTTCAGTCAAGTTCCTTTATAACTAAAAATTAAAAAAAAATAACTTGGCTGACTAACCTAACGATTTCTTCTCGGCTTCTTTGTTTTCGAGTCAAATGTGAAATTATTTGGGTTAAATGTATAAGAAAGCTCCCAGCTTTAACCTCATTATTTGAATTTCTAATTTATGTAAGTTCTTGGTCCTCGCATCTAATATTTATCAACTTTCAAATATAGATTGTTGTATGGCATGATATATGTTATGATACGATGAAAATTTTTATTATTGTTCCGAGGCTTGCGAATAGCGAGCATCTGTTAAGTTTGCCCTTGTTCCGAAGCTCACTCCAACCATTTGCATGTTAAAAACATATAATATAGTATGTTAATTGATGGGGTAGCAGTGGCGTTTTAGGTAGTACTGTACATGTGCGACAGCGTTGTCATTGACGTAGTAAAGGGTTGTAGAAGTGACTTAGGTTTTTCTGTTAGGTTTTCTACCACTTTAATTTTTATGAGATACCAAAAAAATCACTTTCAGTTTATCATAATTATGAAACATATTATTGTGATTACCTTGGAGTTTATCAGCCACAGAACCGCGACCTTATAAAACAAGCGGGTGCAAAGAATCATGAACATTTTAGCGATGTTATTCATATACTGCGGGCGTTATAAGATAGTATATCTGCTCTATATGAAGAGCAGATAGTATATCTGCTTTTCATATTCATCAGATATATCTGCAGATCATATTCATTCAACTGCTTATTCTTCCTATATTTAATGATAGGAGTTAGAGTTCATCTAATTTTGATAATATTCACTGTGATGTATTAATTAGCTTTACTTGTATTAAAAGTTCGTCGTAAATTAATCAAGATGACGGTAGACAAGATACTCTACTTTTCATGAGTAATTATTATTATTGTAATTCTAATTAATTAATTCATTTATGTTGACGAGCGACATGTGGCAGAATTAGCCGCGATTGTTTCAAGTTTATCAAGCGAATCTCGCTAATGCAAAAAGAAGAATCCAAATTTAATTTTTACATCGATATAATTTTGTTTTTCGGTGTGAACTTTGCCAATATTGGTTAAATCCGATTTTGGTCTTCAATCCAACTAGTAAAGTGCAGCCACTCTTCCATTACATAACTTTTTATCATACAATTGATAGAAGATTAACTGACGTTGCAAGGGATCGATTATTTTATGGATAACTCTGATTAAACTCCAATTTCGAAATTGTACTGAACATTTTACGTTTTTTGATAAAATTTCAATGTAATAAATTAAAATGCACACTTTCAATCCAACCTCTTTTCGCCGTTTTGTAATGGTATAAGATTTTTCATGTTTACGTGTTAAAAATATACAGTGGGGGGAAATAAATATTCGTACACTTGAAAAATCGTATTTTAATGTATGTAAGTACACAAACTTAACAGGAGAAGTGATTCAAATTATGTATAGAGACGCATAGTATTCAAAAATACTATCAAAAGAAATTAAATCTCAATGCAACAAAAAACAATGCAACATGTTCACTTTTCGGGGTGAAAAAATTTAAATCACTTTTCCTGTTAAGTTTGTGTACTTACATACATTAAAATACGATTTTTCAAGTGTACGAATATTTATTTCCCCCCACTGTATTTTCGGACCCACGCTATACTCCAACACGATAACTCTTGTAAAAAAGCGCCCGAAAAACCCACGTAAATTTCCATTGCAAAGCATTAGACACACAAAAAACAATATAGATGTAAAAAACAAATAACAGATTAACATAAAATATTTATTATCGATTATTTAAATATTCATTATTGTGAAAATAGTTCTCATTTCATAATCCTTTTAACTTGCTGTTGCTTCAGGCGAATCGACTTTCATCTAAATTTTACATTACAGAATTTTTCATTTGATAAGTTTGAATAAGAAATGTATTTATCATGAATACTTCACTTCATTGAGGCTTGATATGTGAACAATAAATACTATAGGAACAAGTACCGTACTTCAAAAAATGTGAGCAAGTTTATCATAGACTTAGACTCGAAGATCTTCATTTCTATAACAAAATCGGACAAACATAAACATACACGCATCTTTCAGCAGTCATTCGTATCATATCATTATCATTCTATCATAACCAATCTATGATGAAAAAGTATTTATAAGCCGAAAAAACAGTGAATAGTAATTCATCAAGCAACATGGTATTTCAACTATTCTTACTGCTATAATGAAGCAATACTGACAGTGAATATACAATTTTCACCACCGTGAGCACACTTATTGACTTAATCTAACCGCTTGAATTACATACTAAAAATGAATGCCATAATTACACACCACAAGCACTATTTGGCACCACTTGCATACTCACAAACGGACCTAGAGAATAATTTTACTGATTTAACTTGAAAAATAACTGGCTAATTGATTTCTCCAATGATTTTTCATTTCGGTACTGATTTTAAAATTTCATCACTGCCGTGTCCTGGAGGACGACGGGCCTTATTATTTTAATAGCGTTTTAATATTTAAATAACATGTACAACCTTACACATTATTTACATATCTTCCTAACATGGGGTTGAGAGTCGTTGCTTTGTAGCTCATGGTTTGGTATCTAAACTGTTTTATGCTCATGGTGTGGAAAGTTTGGGACGGTTTCGGAAACCTTTTCGCTGTCTACTGATTCTAATTCGACTTTCGATTCTTCCAAATTCTGACAGTCAGATTTGGGACATTTGTTCGCAACACATTTTGTTTCTAAGTTCAACTTATGAGACAAATTAGAGTCGCTGCCCCTAATCTGATTCTCTGAATTTCGTGCGTAATTTTCTTTTTGTAATTTTTCGAGTGCTGTCTGAGGCGCCATGAACTGTACCTCTTCTTTGTTATTCAAGTTTTTACCCACCGTACAATTTCCTGAGTTTTTCTTTTCAACCAAATTACTGCCATTCGCATTGTTAGCGTCAGCCCCAACACATCTTTTTTCTACCGATGATTCATGACAACCGTGTTTAAGAACATTACTTTCATGATTATTTTTGCATAGACTAGAAGCAGATTTGACATTTTCACGCTGGTTTTGACGAAGCTGTTCATTGGGAGCACCACATTTTCCTCCATCAGAAGCTGGTTCCATTTTTTTATCACATGCATGCTTATCAAAAGTAGGATTGGGGAGTTCGAGATCATTATGAGTGTGTTTGTGTTCATGATTATGTTTGTGTTCATGATCATGATGGCAGTGATGCTCATCATCGTGATGATGTTCATGTAATTGATCATGAAGATGAAGGTGTATGTCCTTGTGTGTCATGGCGTAGTCGTCGCAGATGTCCTCAGCTTCATCAAGGAGGTGGTCAGCACAACCTGCACATGAATGTCTGTGTTAAAAACAATGCACTTATTTGAATAATATGAAAAATGCACAGTACAAAAATGGAATAAAATAAAAATGGCGAAGAAAGACACAGGATGTATTCTTTTTCATAGGTCAAATTTGGCTCGCCTTCTCCCATCAGCCAAAGTAATTATTGAAAGGAGTTAAAAACAATGCACTTATTTGATTAATATAAGAAATACACAGTACAAAAATGAAATAAAATAAAAATGGCGAAGAAAGACACAGGAAATATTCTTTTTCATAGGTCAAATTTGGCTCGCCTTCTCCCATCAGCCAAAGTAATTATTGAAGTATAGCAACGAAATGTCTTTCAGCAAAAATCTAAGACAATCACCCAATGATAATTGCTTCATCTCTCATTACTCCCGCTGGGTTCATTAACTAAAGATCGTAAATTTAATAAAAGAAATTTTGAAAGTTACTGGGTTCTTATTACAGTAGCAGTTTTACCACACGAAATTAAAGGGTTTGTGTCTCAATAGTCTAGGACTCTAGGTTAACTCAGACATTGAGCCTAGCGAGCCAGAGCTTAAACAGCATAATAGGTTAACTCGGCTTTTAAGCTTAATTAATTTATTGTTAAAGATTAACCCTTTATAACGGGCTAACATGACACAACAGATTATCCCGACCAGGCGGGTTAACCACAATCGCCAGATTAACGCGGGCTGCTTAGGTTCGTAGTTATGACAAATTCATATTAATGCGCAAGATGTTAATTAATTGATACGATATCACGATGGAATATGACGATCATATTAATTATACAACGATTAAAAAACTGACCAGTATACTGATATCATAATTTATAACATTGATCCTCTATATATAAGAAATTTTTAATAATGCAAGTATCACAGATTACATTCAGAACTGTTTATTATAAGGCATATTTCGGAAAAGTTAGATGTACTCACGACAGTAAGGAAGCGTGGCCATTTCGGCTACTAGGAATTCTGGTTGCAAAGTCACCTGAAAAATTATAGGTTCTTGTATGATGCCCAATGAGCTAATATGAACGTGCGTGCTAAAATAAGAAATATTTCGGCAATTTAAATACAGCGAATGGAAGTATATCTATGATAATCTCAACAGCAGCTGTAAGCCCAAATGATATTCGAAGTAAATATTCCGAGCTTGAGTAATATTTGTGATATAATATATACAATATATCATTTCATAATTATCTGTATGGTAAAACACGATAACTTTTATTAAGCTAAGTGCCCAACCCACGCATTTGAATGCAGACGAAGCAGGAAATCCATCGAACTCAACTCTTTTCATTCATTGTCTATTAATAGATTCTTCCACCCCACCTAACCAAACCTGACTATTAATAGAATCTTCCACCAGACCGAACTTAACCTGATTATCAGTAGATTCTTCACCTCACCTAACCTAACCTGACGACTATTAATAGATTCTCTCACCTGGCCGAACTTAACCTGATTATCAGTAGATTCTTCACCCCACCTAACCTAACCTGACTATTAATAGATTATTCCACCTGGTCGAACCAAAACTGATTATCAGTAGATACTTCCACCTGACCGAACCTAACCTGATTATCAGTAGATATTCAACTTGGCCTAATCTAACCTGATTATCCTGACCTAACAAGAAACAATACGAGTTTACTCATCATTATATTAAATGTTAACCAGGAAGTGAAGATGCATATGATTATTAGTGTAAGATCTAGCGAGTCCTCACTTGTGAGATATGATGTTGCTCGAAGAACTTGGCGAGCGCTGCGCTGTTGCAGAGATACACATTCTTGTCGGCAAATATAACGTGCACCGTAGCAACAACCTGCTTAACAAGGTCAATATTAGGGAAAGGCTTTTAATTTGAATGCGATTTATTGTACCGAATAACGATGAATTATTCGGTGAATTTTTATCTGTTGTATACTACGTCTGTGTATCCAAAGACGTAGACAAAAGCTCATGCATGAGCTGTTTTACCGGTGGAAAAGCAAATTGCTACAAAAAAGCTTTACGTTGTGAGAAGTGACAGTAGGTATTTAAATCGTCTGCGTTGGTTGTTCGTGCAAACAACTGCCTGTGGCGAAAAGATTAGTACTAAAAGTAGGTTTCAGTTTCAGTGCAATTTATTGTACCAAATAAAGGAAAGTTATATATGACATATTTTCATATGTTGTATGCGCAATGTAGCAACAATATGCGTCAGAAAAATTATTGCTAGAAAAAGGTTTTAATTTTACTTTAATTCATTGTACAACATTCCAGTATATCTCAGGTATTTCATCATAAAAACTGTCAAACATTCCTTGAGATAAATGTGCTTTGAGGCGTAATTATGCAGCAGTTGAGTGAACAGCATTTCACTTGTGCGTGAAGATTGCCTGCTCTGCGGCAACTATTCGCGGGAAATTTGAATTTCGTATAGATAAGTGTACGTTTAAGTCTTATTTTACACAACAAACAGATATAGCATTTGACTTCACTGTGAAGCTGATGCGTTCTGCAGCCGCTGTTTTGGGTTGAAAATATAATCAAGTGTGGATAGTTTGTTGTAGTAACAAGGACGCTCGGCAGGACGTACAGTCGTACACGAATGAGTTGTGAGATCTTACAGCAGTGTAATTGGTTGAGGATGTGGGACGCGGCTAGGGGCTTCAGTAGTGTCAATGGTTGTACCTTGAAATGTCGTACACTCACCTAACTAGGTAGTTAGCTCCAGGCACGCAATTGCTTAGCATAGCATACCATAAGTCGTCGCAGATTGATGATTTGGCCGATCAGGGTCTATCGCCGAATCTCTTCGGCTTGTACCCGACACACAAACCAATTGGCTGAGGCTTGAACGTTGCACATTCACTTACCAGGTTTTTAGCTCCAGTCGTGCAGTTGGCTGAGGACTAGGACGTCAGGCACTCACATACCAGGCTTTAGGCTCTAGGCTCGAGTGCTGGTGGACGTTTAAGACGTTAGAGACTCACGTGGCCGAGTCTCAGGCTCCAGATTTGCATGTGGTGGACGTTTAAGAAGTCAGAAACACAAGTGGACGGGTCTGAGGCTCCAGACGAGCAGGTGGTGGACGTTTGAGACGGCAAATACTCACGTGGACGTGTCTGAGGCTTCAGACGTGCTGATCGTGGATGTTTAAGACGTCAGCGACTCACGTGCTGGGCCTGAGGCTCCAGATTTGCATGTGGTGGACGTTTCAGACGTCAAAGACTCACGTGGCCGTGTCCCAGGCTCCAGAGGTGCAGGTGGTGCACGTTTAAGATGCCAATGACTCACGTGGCCGGGCCTGAGGCTCCAGATGTGCAGGTGGTGGACGTTTAGGATGTCTGGGAAGGAGTCCTGAAGCGTTTCGGAAAACTTGCTCACGTCGATATGGTCTGGGATTGTTTGCAGTAAAATTTTGCTGCACTCCTTGCCTGAATTGCAGAGAATGTTGAGGATAATCAAGTCTTGAAAATATTATCAATTAAGAAAATATTATCGATTAGTGTAATCGCCGCTCTAGCGATGTAATCTTCGTTAAAGACATCAATCAGGCATATCAAGTGGTATAAAATAGGCGCGACTATGAGTCTCTTTTCCTTTCATAAAAAGATAATAAACGTGAAGATTCGAGTCCCGTGAAAAGAGATGATCACGAATCAAGAGATTCGCGAATCGAGAGATTCAATAGTAAGACACTTTCAGTGACCTACACAAGAGCAGCAAGTTCATCGTTATTTGGACAAGTCTCACTCTCATTTCTTTGAGTGTGGACTCGAGGCACAAAAGGGTTAAGATTCGCGAGACTGACTGATTCGTGACAAGTTGAGTTTTGTAACACTAATAAATATTTTAGCGTGGAAGTAATAAGAAGTTACACTTATTAATATTTCAAATAAATAATAGCAAGAAAAATGATGAGTAGTAGTACTTATGAACAATAAAAGCAAATATTATCACGGAAATGATTGAAATTTTAAGACACTACGCCACTGACCGAACGGATAGGACAGCCACATGAGCACCGTAACCGACACGACGGCCAGCAGAGGATCCATGTAGTAGGATAACAGGGAGTCTTCATGCTCCTGTAGGACCAGTACCACCGCACACAGCAGCGCGATCATGATCCCTGTGTGTGAAGGACTAGCATGATGGTTTTGGTTATGGCTGTAGGTGATAAGTAGCAGGTTATTTCACCCTTTTAGTATAACTTGGAATATTAAAGCAGCGTTGATCGGAAGTTTGTACATGAAGTTTAGCAAGGCGTTGCTCGCAAACGATGTTTTCTGGGCGATCAAAGAATCGCAAATTACCAATAAATATGAACCAAAGATTACCCGGAATAAAGAATTACATTTTAATTCAAACACGTGCCACTTTGACCTTATAGTTACCAGAAATATCGCGTAAGACGTCCCTGTATCCCTGACGAAGAGTTGCGCTGTCGGGACACCCTGCTGTTCGCGCTCGCTGGTTACGGGCAGACAGCGTACGCTGCCCTCGTTGCAGAGAGTCTTCCCGGACCTAAGAAAACCAGGAGGTGTTCAAACTTGTAGGATACCGGCAGGAATCTTTAGGAAGCCGGCAGGTGTTGGTAAACCTTATGGAGCCAGCAGGTGTTAGTAAACTTGTAGGGTACCGGCAGGTTTTAGTCCACCAGTAGGAAACTAGTAGGTGCGAGTAAATCTGTAGAGTACCGGCAGGTGTTAGTAAACCTTTAGGATAGCGGCTGGTGTTGGTAAACATGTTACCGGCAAGTATCCTACATCTGTTACTACCACCGTCGGGGGGGTTTAATAACATTGTTTGCTCAACAAAAAGACATGACCACAATGGAACCAGTAGTATTACTAGAATTTGAAACACGAACCAACACCAGGGGCTACGGCGATAAACTAAAAAAACTGCGCTGCAACTTATCCACACGACAACATTTCATCTCGCTTGGAATCATCGACATGTGGAACAGTCTCCCCGATTACGTCGTTGGCGCTCCAAGTATTAACGCGTTCAAGAACAGACTAGATAAAGCTATGGAAAAATATACGTTCAGACTTGACATGCCTAGCACCATATCGAACCCGGTGGAAGTCTAGTAGCTATTTCAAACTATCGTCAGTCCTTCAAAGATCCGGTCAAATGACACGATTTTAGATCTTCTGCGAACAAGTCATGAAAAGTAAAAGAATCGGCAACAGGCCACATCAGGCCAACTCTACAGCGCCGACATCACTTTGTTATGTTATGTTATATTTGCGCTTTGCAGATTAGAAGATAAAATTCCATTGTCACCAAGATCCCAGAATTAAAACGCACTCCAAATTCACATTCGTTCCGCACTAACATACACACGCAGATTTTCGGTGATATAAATACAACATTTAGATACCAATTTAAAATTACTTTCCATTAGTTACATGGGAACTGCTGGCTGTCGACTGACTGGAGGAAGAAATGATACAGATTTGTTGACCGTTTTTAATTGGCTGTAGATAACCTTTACCTTCAGTAGACCGTTGTTGAATCAATTGGTATCAAGTACAATGAATGTGTCAAATGTATCAAGTACAATGAATGTGTCGAGTACAATGAATGTCAAATATCAAGTACAATGAATGTGTCAAAATAAAAGTAAACAAACTCAATTCTTCATACAAGTACGTAAAGAGATCATGAAAAAGCGTCAGCTATCACGTGAGAAGTTTTCGAAAACCCAGCTTCTACCTTTACGATGCTTTGCAGACAGCCAAGAAACATGTCTCTAAATTTTATGATTAAGCGTCGGCTTCAAGTGAGAATCCTTAAAGTTACCTGTTGCTTCATGAGAAATTTATGCGCCATTGCTGCTCTAAATTGGGTATCTTAGTTGGAATTACACGCCTGTCACTACCCGAGCCGAATCATTGCGAAACATTGCTCTGCAAAGGTCTTTGAGTTCGATTACTTATTATCTGCAAGAAGTATTACTTGGAAAGTCTTGCACCTTACCTGCTTACTGATGTAGACATCGCCGCTGCCACGCAGCTCACAAAAGCTCCCCTGGTGTTGAGTGTAACCTGCATAAGTTACTTTATTTCAGAACACAAACTAAAATTCAAAGCATCAAGAGAATAATAAAATTAAGCTCATATAAAGGTGCGCACTTCGAAATTATACGGATGCTAGTCAATGTTTAAAAAAACGTTTCCATGAAATTGAAAAAAGATTTGGCTAAGAATTATGCCTCATTTATTTGATTGCATTAAAAATTCTGTGCATTGTAATTAGTAGTATAGAAAATGGGCCTATCATCACAGTTTACATAAACGGCTTAATAGGTTAACCACCGTTTACCCCGAACAAAACTGGATCATATACCGCCGATCGAAACCTGATCATTGACTCCGATTGCCCGAGCACTACCAAATTTTTCAAACACCGGCTTTAGTAAAGTTTTGAAACTGTTCGTTACTTAAAACCCGGGACTTAACCTAGAGTGAGTGTCACTTTAGAAGATGCTTGTTTGGAATATATAATTGATTTAAATTGAAATGCTCTCCAAAACCAGGGTGGCTGCTCATCTTTATTGATCAACACAAAGCTATAGGCTTAAAATACTTAGTACACAATTTTTGAAACTCAACAAATGGCACATTGCAAGCAATGTAATTACTGTGAATATTCTTCACATCGATGAAAGGTAATTCCAATAGAATTGATAGATTTTAATTCGTTTTAATGGTTTGTCTTGGTCATATGTGATAGTTTTGGGATAAATAACTTGAACTACTGTTATTATGTCTTACACGTACGGGTGTAAAAACTATCAGCAAGATTTTGATTCCTTTCCGTCGCAATAGCGTCAAAAATAAATAAATTTTTCCTATCAGGAACTATGTCATTCGGAACATGGATAAAAGCAGTATTCTAAAAGTTTTCAAGATATTCATCAATATCATCTATTGATACACCTATAACCATACGCCATACCCATGCATGTTCATACTAATATCCATACCCATGACCGCGCAAATTCATACTCATTGCCCCAGAACAGTTGTCCCACTCAGTCCAAATGCAAGATACTTCGTGGGAATAAATTATTTCTTACAGGTGATAAGTTTTCAAGTTCATTATCCCTTGATAAAGTTTCAAGTTCATTTGTTTAAAAAGCACGTCATAAAATTATATTTGTTTGTCCATACTGCTGCATGCATTTGTACGAGAAGACCTTTACAAACATCAAGATGATTGCTCTGTTCAATCGCCCATCATATATGTTTTTAGTGATGAAAAACCAAGATTCAAGGCGTTCCAATCTACTATCACTCATGGTTGTAAGTAGGCATTGGACATTATTTCTGGCGATCTGTACCAAGTGAAGCCATGCCTGCTGTGGCTCATATTGGCTCACGTCGACTAACGCAATAATTTCTATGTGCGCGATTTGCCCAAGTAAGCTACGTAGCTTTGTGTCGTAATTGCGCACATTGGCTGCTGTTATAACTTATGTTTATATGAGCGATGTATATTACGCATTGAAATGGCAACCCTGACAAATTTCGAGGAACGCCTAGGCCGAATAGTCATTACACTAGGCGCAAAGTTATTCTGGGTTTGCTTGGCCACCCGATTGAAATCAGTTTCTGGTCAGAGTCGCCTTTACAACTTTATAGTCGCCTGAGAGTATGCGTATGACCAGGGTTGGCCGAGCCGGGTCATACCGAGCTAGTAATTAAGCTGCTCAGAGGCTGCCCATCGAACCCTGGACCGAAGCGGACGTAGAGGAGCTGATTTACGTGCAGCCCGAATCCTAAGCGGCCCTAATGCAGGGTCGCTCACACCTCTAAATTCTGTTAGGGAATGGAAAGAGTTTGGTGACCGGGTGTTCATCATCCTGATCATCTTGAGTAAAATTATGGGTATTTACATTGTTCGTTCAGTTGTATTTACCTTATATAGATAATTCATCGTATATATCGTTTGGTGCTTATGATCATTTGAATGTTTTTCAGAATCAATTTGGTTTAAATTGCAAAGTTGATTGTACTCATTTTCAACTAGATTTTTATTCTTTCACATTAGCATCATGGACGCGAGAAATTTCTATGAGATGGAGGTCGATGAAATTTCAGATACAATTGCTGAGATGGATTCTTAAAATAAAAGCTGCATTGATGAATCAGAATTGAAGTTTGTCCCAACAGGTCCCAGTTCTAACAGCAGTAATGCAAAAGAAGCTCCAGATGATTCATCTGATAATGAAGATGAAGCACTGCAGGAAGAATCCAATGTATAAATTAAGTGCGGCTGATAAATGGATTGCTGATAGTGCAACGTCAAACAATATATATCCTTTTACAGGCAAAGAAAAACTTCGATGAAAACCACGCCCAACTGGTCCAGAAACACAGTAACGATATTTGAGACTTACATATAATCTCTTTGTAACGGAAGAAATTATTTCGGAAATTGTAACAAAAACGAAAAAATATGCTGACAAAGTTATGCAGAACATGAAGATTATTAGAAGATAGCGACTGAAATGCTGGACTCTCAAAAATGTTCATGAAATAAAGAAATTTTCTGGGTTGATAATTGCAAATGGATTAGGACGCAAACCAAGGCGACATCTCTACTGGTCTAAAAAGACAATTTATGACTATCCGTTTACTTGCAATAACATGTCAAGAGATAGATAATCATTGCTCCTACGCTTCGTGCAATTCACTGATAATGCTCATTGTGAAAACTCAAAAAGGCTTCATAAAATTTAACCACTTTTGCAAAAGCTAACTGACAATTACAAGTTAATATATACACCCGGATCACGACTTGTGATAGACAAGTACGTCAGTTATCACAGAGTGAAATTGCGACAGTACATTCCAGAAAAAGGCACACAAGTGCGGCGTAAAGCTGTATAAACTTCGCTCAGCTGATGCCTACACCTGGAACCTTCACATATACACTGGAAACATTAAACGGCAAGCCACGTTCAACCACTCTGAATCTGTACTTTTGCAGTTACATATGTCAGCCCCTTCTTGGACAGGGTTCAACGATTTTTGCTGAAAATTTCTACACATCTGTCCTTAATTCTAGCTTAAACATTGTTGAAAGAAAAGACCTATTACTCTGAGACACAAAGAAAAGAAGATGAAGCACTTTGTTCCAATTGTGCTTCATCTTTTGTTCCAAAAGCACTGCTAAATGCAAAAGTGAAAACGGGAGAAAATATTTCGCAACAGAACGCCGTTGGCATCAAAGTGTATCGTTAGAACGACAAGCGATTTGTCTTGTGCCTCTCAATAATATTCTAGGGCATACAGATATATTAGTTCCATCGGGTAAGAAAAAACAAATTGGCGTTGAAATTCTGGAGCCAGGATGTGTCATTGATTATAACGCAGTTAAAAAAGGCGCAAACATCTCAAATCACATATAGTGTACTTCTTATATCATGGCTCTAGGACGAAGTATAAAATGGCAGCGGAAAATGGCAAATGGACTGCTAGCTGGCACATCAGCTGTCAATGCATGGGTACTCTTCAAAGTACTATTTACGCACTTCGGTTCCAATTACAGAATTTAGAGAGCAAATAGCAATGTTTATCGTTACATGCAGCCACTCAGAGAGTGTAAAATCAGGACGTAGATATCAATTTATCGAGTGGAAAAGAGGGCACCAAACTTTGATTGAAGCAACTAGAACTAAACCAAGAAGCGCTGCCATGAATGCTACAAAATGCCTCATCAAATGAGGGAAGTGCCGTAGCAAGGGTGAAAACTAGTAGGGCGAAAACCTATTGTGATGACTGTGAAGGCAAACCAAACTTGTGCTTTTGCAATCACGCATGCAATATAATGCTGTTGGCGTCAACCAATGTTTGTAGTTTCAGAGGAATAAGATAATATTTTATTTTGTTTGTATGCAGAGATACAAATGTTTTGTTTTCATCAATTACATACAAATTTTGTCATTTTATACCACTTGTATTTGAAACGATAACAATTTCTCCATGCAGTAGTTTACTTCAAAGCCCTCCCTAACAGGCCTGATGAGTTGTATCATTGAACCTGTAAATTTGAAAGAGAAATATGATCTTATAAAATATGTATTTATGATAGGGATGTACCTCAAATGTATACATCGCGATTCTGAAAAGTTCAGCGTGTACGTGTATGGCGCACTTCGCGGCCAACGTGTTCAAGATTTCTGAGATAGCATTATACTTGCATGCTTAACGATCCTATTACGATACTTTTCATTGAGAAAAGTATTAGAGGTGGTTTTTCAATGATATTTACAAGATGTGCGAAAGTAAACAACATTTATATTAGAGAAGTTATGATCCTCATAAACCGAGTAATTATATATCATACATGTATGCAAAAATATGATGGGGTAATGTAACGAAGCCTACCAACAGGAAACATTAGATGGCTGAAAGAAAATGAGCCATTCAAACAATATAAAGGATAAGTTCTAGAAGTTGACCTTATTGTTATCCAAGGACTCAAATGAAAAGCATAATGATTTACTCAAGCTTCTGAAAATATTCAAATAAGGGATGTTCATAAGTTAGTACCTCATCTTCGTGTGTGTGTGAAAAAAATGTGGAATCCATTGAAATAATTTCAAGTTGTGTAAGGAACTTAGAATATAAGAATTTGATGAAAGTCCAAAGATGAAACCATATATAGATCTGACTGAACACAAAAATGCGACAACAAGCGAAATCAGATTTTGAGAAAGATTTCTTCAAGTTAGTGAATAATTCTGTATTCGGAAAAACGGCGGGGAACATTAGATATAGAGTTGAAGTTTATCTGGTTAAATCTAAACAGGAAATGAGGATATTATTTAATGAACTTAATTAATGAACATTGCCCCAGGGGTGGGGCAATGGGCCCATTTTGACACTTTTTACAAAATAGTGTTTCATTAAAAATTGAATAACTCTATTGGCGCCTAATTCACATCATACATTCCTCATTAGTTGTACCTTTAAACAAAATAAAGAACCACCTCGTATCAATTGAAACTTCATCAAAAATTTAGTTAAAAAAAAGTGGGGGGCGCCCTGCCCCATGTTGCCTATGTCACATGCAAAAACAGATGTTAAAGTTTGAAAAACCAATCTATGTAGGGATGACCAAATTAGATAAAACAAAAACATTGATGTATGACTTTCATTTGAATTTCATAAGAGAAAAATATTGTGATAGAGCAAATCTATTGTTCGCCGATACTGACTCACCCTGCTGTGACATTCAAACCGATTACTTCTATGAACACCATGCAGGTGCTGGCTGCTACCAACACCAGGTGTTGGCTGCTCCCAACACCTGCTGACCTCTATTGGTGACTGTAAACTTGTAAAGGGTCCCGCTCAGGTCTGGAGCGTGCTGAAAATAGCAAGAAATCTTGGAGAATCCGCTGATTACAAGTCATTTTTTTCAAAGAGAGATTCCACCCCTTTAGAGAGGGTGGTTTTTCGCAAGAAGTAGCAGAAGAGAATCATGCGGGAAGGCACGGAAAATCAGGTCAATCACTTCCAAGGTGTCAAGACAACACCGGCCGCTCACGGGCAGCCATAGGAGATGAAGGACAAGTAATTAGTAGGAATGATGTCCATAGGTCAAGGCCTTTAAATAATTAGGATGTAATCGCATACATCAAAGTGAAAGTGCACAATAAGTTTTAAAATGTTTTCACACGAACTCTGATACCGTTTTGAATAAAAAGTGAACTGTTAACTGTGATCGCAAACGAAGGTAAAGACATTATTTGTATTACAGAACAACAACAGAAACCTAAAATCACGGAAAATTATACCTGTTAAATTTAAGTTGCCAGGTTTTCCATGTTTTGATAGCTTAAATGAAGAGCAGTGCAGTAGAGGTGTAGCTCTGTGGGTTAAAACCTCTTATGGGGCCCAGCAAGATAAGTTATCTGCAGAGCATCAATCAGCTAGAGAATCAGTGTGGTGCGAACTTACTCTAAAAAGGCAAGGATATAGCCTCCTCATAGGGGTCCATTATAGATCACCTAACAGCTCCTCTGTACTGTATCCTCTGTAACGATAAAGTACTAAATAGCCTTTCACTAAGCAAGTCACAGCAGGTCGCATACGTTGATCGTTGGTGACTTTAACCATCCAGAAATAGACTGGGCAGATTAATCTTCTCCAAGAGATGGGAATCACCCTATATCCCTGTTCTTGGAGTCTGTGCGAGACTCATTTTTAATCCAGAACATCACCAAGCCAACCCATTTTAGAGGTAAACAAACCACAAATATTCTAGATCTAGTGTTTCCTAGTAAAGAATCAATGATAGATGAACTTTGCCACGAGTTGGGCAAGAACCACCACCAATCATTGTTTTTCAGTATTAAGTGCTGTGCAGAAAAGCCGCTTCGGAAGCGTGAACGTTTGAACTTTGCGAAAGGCGACTATGAAAAACTCCGTGAAGCGGTGAATGCGGCGAATATTTCGGACTGTATTAATGAATGTTGCTGATTCATGGTCATTTCTCAAAGTCGCGGTTATATCTGTAGTTGATGCCTGTGTACCTAAGATTACGCTTTAGGGAGTACAGTTAAAGCTCAGCTGAAGACCAAAAAAGAAGCCTGCAAGTGTTATTTCCGAACTCGCAGCGATTCTGATTATAACATGCATGCAAGAGCTCGTAATCAAACTAAAAAAGTCTGTCGCACTGCAATGAAAAACTTATAAAAAAATTGCTTAAATGCAAAAAAGAATCCGAAATCCTTCTTTTTGCACGCTAGTTCGAAGTGTAAGACAAAACGACGGTATATCTGATTTGAAAGCAGACCAACGAAAGATTTCCTCTGATGAGAGCAAGGCTAACGTTCTTAATCAGTTCTTCAGCAATGTGTTCACAGATGAGGACTTGAACAGTATTCCAGATATTGAGGAGCGCCCAGTCGGCTCGAAGTTAACAGGTTTTGAAATACACGAAGAAGAGGTTCTCAAGCGACTGGCAGCTCTAAATCCCACGTCATGTGGACCAGACGGCTTCCATCCCAGATTGCTCAAAGAATCAGTAACCTTTCTGGCCGACCCATTGACAGTATTCTTTCAAAAATCCTTGAACGAAGGAACTTTGCGGTCCGATTGGAAAGAAGCTCAAGTAACGCCATTGTTCAAAAAAGGTGACAAAAGCAGCCCAGGGCCTATACTTTCAAAAAAAAGTTAAGAGATCGTAAGTTCGTCAGCCAATCATTGACGGCCTTTCAAGCAAAATCCACCAATAAAAGACAAGAAAATAGAGCGTAAGTACTTACGTTCACTTAGCGAATTTTGAAAGTATAGGCCCCGGTTCCTATCGCCCTGTCAGTCTGACAAGTGTTGTTTGTAAGGTAATGGAATCTGTTGTGAGGGATGGAATTATTGATCACTTGACTGTTTACCATCTTCTATCAGATTGTCAACATGGTTTTATTGCAGGTAGATCCTGCACCACTAACTTATTATCTACGTTGAACGATTGGACTCGCCTGCTGGACGAAAGGGAGCCAGTGGATGCATTGTACCCCTCGATTTTGCCAAAGCATTTGACAGTGTTCCGCATGAGCTGCTGTTGCGTAATGTGAAATTGTTGAGAATTGAGGGAAACGTACTCTAATGGATCAGAGATTTTCTTGTAGGTAGACGACAACGTGTCAGTATTAACGGAACCGTGTCAGACTGGGCATCAGTGCGCAGTGGCGCGCCACGCAAGGAAGCGTTCTTGGGTCTATTTGTTAGTTGCTTTCATTAGCGATATGCCAGAAGTAGTGTTCAGCGTGTGCTCCATGTATGCCGACGACACAAAAGTTTATAATACAGTGAAGTATTCGTCAAATAAAGCGCAATTGCAAGATGACCTTGACAGTTTAGTTAATTGGGCTGATACGTGGCAGCAGCGGTTTGATGCAGAAAAGTGTAAAGTACTTCACCTCGGGAAGTACAATGAACAGCAAGATTACAGTATGAGAAACATGGTCGCAACGAGAGAATAATGATTGAAAAGTCTAGTATGGAAAAAGGTCTCGGAGTTTATGTCGACAAGGAGCTGAAATTTTCTAAGCATGTTGGAACGTAAGCTAATAAATCAAACAAATTTCTTGGACTAATCAGACGCTTTTACGAATTCCTAGAAGCAGAAGCGATGAAGCAGTTGTTTGTTGCTGTCGTGCACCCGAATCTAGAGTTTGGAAACGTTGTGTTGTCACCGAGATTTGAAAAGGACAAAAATTTAATAGAAAATGTTCAAAGACGTGCAACAAGGATAATTCCAGGCTTGAAGGGCAAGCCCTATGAAGAAAGATTAAAGATTATGAAGCTTCCAAGCCTCTGTTATCGACGTATGCGTGGGAACCTCATTGCAGTATACAATTATACTCATGGTTTATACAAGGTTCCGAAGGATTACTAGAATTTGAAACAAGAACCAACACCAGGGGCCACGGCTGTACACTAAAAAAACTGCACTGCAACTTATCTACGCGACAACATTTCTTCTCGCTTCGAGTCACCGACATGTAGAACAGCCTCCCTGATTACATCGTTGGCGTTCCGAGTATGAACGCGTTCAAGAACAGACTAGATAAAGCTATGGATAAATATCTGTTCAGACTTGTAATGCCTAGCACCATATCGAAACCGGTGGAAGTCTAGTAGCTATTTCAAACTATCATCAGTCTTAAAAAGATCCGGTCAAATGACACGATTTTAGATCTTCTGTGAATAAGTCACGAAAAGTACAAGAATCAGCGACAGGCCACATCAGGCCTACTCTTCAGCGCCGACATCACTACGTTAAGTTTATGTAATGAAGATATTAGAAATAATCAAGACTTATTTGATACATCGAATTATAATAAAGATAATTGCCTATACTCAAATCAGAACAAAAAGTAAATGATAAAGTGACGGCAGACTGGCGGTCTGCCAATAGAAGAATTTGTAGGTTTTCGACCAAAGCTGCGTTGTTATCGAAGAAAATGTTCTATAGCTGAAAAAATTAAAGGTATAAAGAGAAATGTGATTAGAAGGAATGAACTATGCATGAAAATATGAGAGCATTGAATAATGAGACTATAAATGAAACAATGAATAATATCCAAAGTGGCACCCATGAATTATATACGAAGGAGATAAATATGATTGCACTGAATGACTACGATGATAAAAGTCATGTATTAGTAGACGATAATATTAATATTCTGACTTTGAACCACCATTTGATTGAATTAACTTGGTTTCTGGTATGTTAATTCGATGTTGGATTTCATTCTAACCTCTTCTACAAAAACTGATCTTTACCCTTCACAATGTCGGTTTACAAAAGTTAGAGCTAATGTACCATATGAAATGATTGATGAACAAACGATTTACAATTCACTTTACCTAAAGTGTTTACGGTATGGTTTAGAGAAGTAATTTTATCTATTCGAGTTTGTTGAGCCCATTAAAAATATTCGAGAATACAGAGTGATTTATGACGGATGTAAATTACTGTTAATAAAAAGTGGTTCATCAACAGTTTCCAAACTGTACTAATGTCGGTGGTTAACAAATATTGGGAGTGCTCGGTCAATCAGGATAAATGGTCAGGTATTGATAGGAGGTAAATAGCCAGGTTTTATTCCGGGGTAAATGGTCGTTAACTTATGCAAACTGTGATGATAGGCCCTCTTCTATACTAGTGTAATTATCTCACCTGAGAACTATTTATAGAAGTAAAAACTAAATTTTTAAACTAAAAACAGTAAACTAAACGTTGGATTTTTTGAGAACGCTCTATCAATGTGAAAAAATAGCTACGAGTAAATTAAACATTTATTAATGTTTAATTAAAAATAAAATTAAATATCCCTTCAAGCGCAATTGGTGGACTCACCGCCGATGAGGATGAACACGACTGCGTTCACTGTAAGCGCCCCCAGGCAAATGTAGATGATGGCATCAGGATAATGGATGGGATCCTGCATCGATATAATTTCGTTTGAGGAACATTTAATTTTGGGCGGCAAATTTCATTTGGGGTTACAAAATTCATGCGGAGCAACAAATTTCATTGGAGCTAACAAATTTCATTTGGGGTAACAAATTTAATTTGGGGTAACAAATTTAATTTGGGGTAACAAATTTTATTTTGGGCGACAAATTTCATTTGCAGTTACAAATTTTATTTTGGGTGACAAATTTCATATGGGGTAACAAATTTCATTTGGGGTAACAAATTTCATTTTGGGCGGCAAATTTCATTTGGGGTTACAAAATTCATGCGGGGCAACAAATTTCATTGGAGGTAAGTCAGGTAACAAATTTCATTTGGGGTTACAAAATTCATGCGGAGCAACAAATTTCATTGGAGCTAACAAATTTCATTTGGGGGTAACAAATTTCATTTGGGGGTAACAAATTTCATTTGGGGGGTAACAAATTTCATTTGGAGTAACAAATTTAATTTGGGGTAAGAAATTTTATTTTGGGCGACAAATTTCATTTGCGGTTACAAATTTTATTTTTGGATGACAAATTTCATATGGGATAACAAATTTCATTTGGGGTAACAAATTTCATTTTGGGCAACAAATTTCATTTGGGGTAACAAATTACATTTGGGATAACAATTTAATTTGAGGTAATAGTATTTGAGTACTGCCGTGTAGTCAACGGGTCATAGCAATTATTCTTAGGGTTAAAGAAAGTGAAAAATCAGCTTTGAAAGGATATCTTGGATAATATATCAATATTTTGGTGCAGAATATTCAAAGTACAGTAGCAAGGGTTTAAGAAAGTGAAACATCAGCTTTGAAAGGATATCTTGGATAATATATAAATATTTTGGTGCAGAATATTCAAAGTACAGTAGCAAAGTATAGCTCATGTTTAGGTCAAATGATTCTATAAAAACAAATCTAATAGGAATATCGTCTAGGAATAATAGAAATATAATAGGGGTATGTCGATAAAATTGACGTTATTTGTAATGAAAATGAATTAAAACATAACATTGCAAATTTTCTCAACATTTTTTAGATTCCTAGCTTTTATTCTGTTAGTTATCTACTATAGCAGCGATTTATAAAACCATTAGCGGATGGTTTTATATAAAATACAGGCAAATAGTTTGCTGCATATTTATTGTTAATATAACCTGGTGTCGAATATATTTTACAGCAGAATTGCTAAAGGGATAATATAAACTCATATAGGGAGGATGTGTGGGGTATACTTATATTGCAATATTGCGTAAAAGAAAATCTACCTCATATAAGGATGAAGTGTGCGGTATATTTATATATCAGCATTACTTAAGGAATAATACAAGTCATTCACGGAGGATGTGTGTAATATATTAATCATAAATATCACCTGATGATGGATATGGAGCGCAGTCTGCGCGGCCTCGATCGCTACGCTGAAGCACAGCGAGCTCAAGAAGATAAGGCTTACAAGGTACAACACGACGTCGATACGCGCCCAACCGAACGTGTTCTGTAAACTCTCCGGCTGCTGGCACAACTGTAATCATGTGACACAATGTCGTCGTAAGTGGCGAGAAGTAATATTTTTTCTAAATTAATATATCCGAATAGCTTTTGAGAAGTGCGTTAGAAATGCAGTGAAAACAAACTGAATTATTATGTTCCTGAATTGCACAGACTTAGTAATTAAATTTTATGAACAACATTGAGTAAGTATGGTAGTTTTATTCTATTGTATTATTCATCCCAAAAACTTACCTTAATTGAGATCAAAGATCCTATCAAGACAACCGCATTGTAGAGGGAATGATAAGCTTCAACCCTGAGGGTAAGTGAATGAGTGAGGTGTTCAGCCACCATCAAAACCACACACTGAATGATCGTCATCACCACCACCACCCACAACTTGGTTACCGCAACTCTTGACGTTGCTGCATTTTTTCCAGATTTCGGTGGGGTTTTAATAGAAGATGACGCAGACGGGAGAGCGAATTGCACAATGGAACTCGATCGTACGTTGCCTTTGTTATTCGCAGAGCTGGTAGCCGCTGGTGAAGTTACAGGAATTGTTACACCATCAACTGGGGAAGATTTCTCATCGTTTTTAGAGTTGCTGTCAACACCGTCTTCGTTCTTGAAACTGTTGTTGGATACTACACTGAGTCGGTTAGTTTGAACTGTGATAGGCGTCGCAGGATGATGAGGGATTGTTGCACCATCATCAGTAACGTTGGTATTGATGTTGGTTTGTATGGCATTGTTATTCAACATCTTGTCATTCAGCTTCGTCGTAGACATTTGATTGTTAATTAATTTAGCAGAGATGATAATCTGATGAGGCAAGTCAAATGTAGCATTACTTGGAAATTCTAAAGACAGTCAACCAATTTATTTGTTAATAACTTTTTATCTACACGTCCCATGGTGGTTGCTATAGGCTTGCACTTTTAATGACTAAAATATTGCCTCACTTGGAGATCTATTGGACCAAACTAACTTGCATAGACATAATTCCCTTTTTCAATTAACAAAAAAAAAAATGGTTAGAAATTTTTTACTGTCTGTAAAAGGCAAATATGATTTTTAAATTTATTGGTTTTTAAATTCTCATCCAAATTGTAAAATCAAACTAAATATTTAAATTGTTTAGAGGGTTTCTGTGGAATAAAAAATATTTTATGTTATTGTTGATTTGAGCGTTAAATTCACCCGAAATAAACCACCATCCTCAGGAAACGTAATTATTAAAACAAAGCAAATAATTACGTCACGACTAGTTAACGTCAACAAAAAATGTCGCACGTTTTTTTTCACTATGAAGATTTTTCATATAAAGCATTCGCCCAGGCTGAGAACAATAGGGTTGCACTTAAATCTTTATCAGTGAGGTTAGAAAAGTTGCCTTTGTAACTTGGAAAAAGTTGCCTTTGGATTGACTTGCGGTAACTTGGGATTCTCGTCCAGCATGAAAGTTCAGGCTGAAAAAGGTGTATGCTGTGGACAATTTAAAAAAATTCACCAAATTGTTTCCGCTTTAGTTGCGTATAAAATTTTGTTCGGAAAACTGCGAAGTGATGTTACAGTGCATAAAAAAATGTTACAGCCTATATGCCTTCCGCTGCAGGCATTTTTGAATTTTTATTTCCAGACTTTGCATTTTTAACCGTTAAATCAAAAAGCGCAAGTTATGTTGTTATAGTTGAATGAATTTTATGGTTATTTTACAATAATTTTATTTAATTATTCCTTTTATTATTGGTGCAGCAGCATCTGATAAGTCGTATCGTCTTATTATGGTTAGCAATAGTTTTGTAGTGATATGAATAGTTTTGTGATAAGCAAGAATGTGTGTCACGCGGTAATTCATGGTATATGTGCACGGACATGATTTGGGATGCTCAACCTTGACGGTTATCAGGCAAAAATTGTTGTTTGGTCTAAAGATTAAATTTCGAAGGCAGTAAATTAACAACGAAAAAAGAGTACTCAATAGTTGAATAATGCAATTCTCTTGTACCGTGAACTACTCTAAAATATTGATTCTAATTCGAATAGAAGGTTGAGATGTACACTAAATTATATATCTTCGACAATTTTGGATCGATCATCCTTCACAAAGCATCCGACAACGTAACCTGCATTCGATAAAATTATTGGTAAGAGATTAATCTATTCCAAAATCTTTTATATATATTATGGCCACAACCAATTTTAGTGCCAAAGGAGATTTTTTACAACACTTCTCTTTAACTTCACTTCTTGTTTGTCTGTCTGTCTGTCTGCTACAAATCTTGTAATCGAAATTTAACACACTTCTACTTATCCTATCGATCTGAAATTTTGCATACTTGTTAAAAGTTGGAGAAAATGCATGAATCAAATGTCAAAATAAATTATTTTAAAAAGTAATATAAATATTTTTTTTAATATTAAAAAAATTGAAAAAATAATTTTGTCAGCTACAAATCTTATGACTGATATTTGACACACTTTTACCTGTCTAATTGATCTGAAATTTTGCACACTTGTGTGAAGTCAGAGGCAATGCATGAATCAATTAATAGAATAAATAATTTTGAAAAAAAATTTTATCTATTGAAAAAAATTTATATATTAAAAAAATTCTAAAATTATTTTTTTAATATTCGAAAATTAAATGAGAAATTCATGGTACATCTTTAAGATTGGAGACATTGGATTCTTTGGAAGTGTTGTCTTTAAAAAGTAATTTTTAAACGTATATTATTTAACTCTAAAATGCTGAATGGCGTTAGAAGCATACATGTATATATTATGCCTTAAATGCGCCCATGGAGCTAAAGAAGCAGTCGAATTCCAAACAAGTTTATATCATCGTTGGAATATGTATGGCATACGTATGGCGGACACTGGCCCGGCTATAATTTATCTTTCAATTTCAATGGAGGAAGTCCAATGATTAACATCCTGAGTGAGACCTGCGAGCAACGCTGGCTGGCACTGTCTGACGATTGTGGTCTGGGAGTCTCGCTGTTTTTTAACGAGTGTTACTTAAAAGCTGCAAACTTCTATGAAGTTTGGCGTCAGGTTATGATCAATTTCAAGTTCTTAATATTTATTATCTGTTCCACTGATGCTGAATGAAGTGCAAAAGCTTCCAGATAGCTATAGACAACACCTGAAACGAATTGCTAAAACTGCTCCAATATTTGCAGTGTATTTTCTGCTACAAGAATTATAACATTGTTTAGTTTCCACATTGTCGACAGTCACGTCACGTCTAGCACGGTTCGAAATGACCTAGAATCAGCATCACAATCTCATCAAAATAGGAATCACGATCTCAGCAGAATAGGAATCACGATCTCAGCAGAATCGGCATTACGATCTCACTAAAATAGGCATTTCGATCTCAGCAGAATCGGCATTACGATCTCAGTAGAATAAGCATTACGATCTCACTAAAATAGGCATTACGATCGCAGTAGAATAAGAATAGATATTAGGATCTCAGCAAAATAGGTATTACGATCTCTTTCGAATAGGCAGTCAGATATCATTAAAGCGTTAGCAATCCTGTCAATTACAAATAATAAAACAGGCGAGTCGAGTTTTCACAGCCAATATTTCAGCGAAATTCAATATAAAAAGTTTGAACTTGACTTTTAAAGGATCTTTGTTTTTGTAGTTACTGTAGAATAATATTATCGTGTTGAAGTTTTAACCATCATAATGATAACTTCGTCATCGCCATGCCCAAATAAATCTTTCTCTGTTGTAAAAACCCTACTTCGCTTAAGGAATTCAAATGCTTGATAAACTTTATAATTCCTGACCATACATGAAATCTAAAGAGTTTGTAGAATCAAAATTCCATCAACGGAGAAAGTATGATCATAATTCAAGTTTTTTCTTTATCCCAGCAATCCTGGGTTCATTCAATGCACGTCTTGATAAGACAGAGGTTGGTTTTAATCGGTGCTGAAATGACGCTGGCAACCTACAAAACCTGCACTCATGCATTGCCGGTGATATCTAGTATTCGGTAATCGTATATTGAACCGACACTCTAGAAGAAAGGTCACGAAACACGTGATGTTAGTCTTTATTAACGTGCGGAAAATATAGGTCGGCATTAATGAACCGATTTTACTAATATGGACGATCGCATGAAATGATAAAAAGTAATACAAGCAAACAAAATTAAAAATTGCGAACAATATATAATTGCAAGCAAACTCCATTTTAGGAAATCATCAATTAAATAAAAAAAAAACCCTGAGATAACATGAATCAGAATTTCGTTACAGCCTCTCATCCACATTATTCACATCATATCCTAAGCTGTAAGTGTGTTTTCACCCAAATAATCACTTAACGAACATAATTTTAACAATCGCTCGTATTGAACCTAAAATTTCGACGATTTTTTTTGTCGAAACCTTCTTTTGTTTACAAATGCATAAGAAAAAACAGTGCAACTCGTAGCCAATGCCAACATTCTTCAAGGGCTAACGAGTCGCAGTGTTTTCGCCCATTAACAAGCTACATAACTTTAGGCCTAAACGCCCTTATTATCTTGGCCATCAGATATATTATATAGATTTCACGTTACCAAGGAACAACCAATCGGTGGGCGGCCGTGATTCGACCAAGATTAGTCGTGAGAGAGCAGCTGGTGGCTGATAAGAGATGGTTGACTGAGGATCTCCTATCTGTGTATTTGGTGACGGGCCACTCAAGACAGAGACTCCTTTATTATGTAAAAGCTGATGATACTATGTAACCACTTACTGTGAGCTATATAGTTAGGCCAATTGGCCTCTGAGCATCAGAGGCCAATTGGATTAGTGATAATATCTTTACTAGGTCAAGAAGGCTGACTGTAAACTGATATGCTGCACTGGGACCGTGTAGTTTTGTTACTCGTTTTGTATTTTAAATGAATGTTCAAACTTCAAACCATCTTTCATATTTAATTCAACGCTTCACTCACTTTGAGTTCTTGTTAAATAATAAGCTGGCCAATAATTATCAGCAGTTATAAATCAATTTTGAACTATAGACTTCAAACATGAAAAAATTTAATGAAAGTGAACAATAATCACGTCCGCGAAACTTCACTTGCTATTTGGCACAACAAGCTTGTCTACTGCTAATGACGTCAGCTTGGCACTGAACATCGCCCGCCACTCCCACACCACCTCACCCCTCAGAGGCCGCGGCGCCACTGAAGGAGAGACCCACACCAGCCACACGCCTATCAGCATTGACAGTAAAAGTGTGTGCAGATGTACTTCTTCCCACACTTCAAATGCTTTCCTTATATTTTAGCCTATCTATAATATACTTTTCATGATCTAGTAGCAGTTAATTTGAAAAATGGCCTCTATCGTACATTTCCATAATAATAGCTTGCAGAAATTCTTTTTGTTTATGTCGGGGGGTGTGTCTATTTTTATCGGAATGGTTGTTTTCTTGGTAACGACTCCAACGCTCACATGGGCAGGGCTCTCTACGTTAGTTTAATAATTAAGAGAGAGGAAAGACATGTCTTTCTTTCTATTAATAAATTCAACCCTGGATGGACAATTTGCTCTGATTGTGAAGTTATGGTCAGTTGGAGATTAACGAATCAATACGAATGAAGACAATTAAACGAAATTCAATATTAACATACATGATGTGGCGTTCATTAACATTTATATTAATTGCATATTATAGATTTTTTATATAATCCTTAACTATGGATGTGTTTGCACATATTTTTCATAATGGTTTCATTGGGAAGTTCATTGAAATTTAGTTTTGTATCCGAAAACATACGGATACAATTTTTCACAAGCTTCAAGGCTAAGTTCATTCATCGTCATCGCTCGGGTGACGCTGTCATTTATGTACAGGTTTCAATTTACGCTTGTTTACCCGATTTCAGTCTTCAATTTTAACCCGATCTCAGTGTCCAATTGTTTAATCCGATTCCCGTTTTTCTTTTGCTTGACCAAATTCAGTTTTAAATGTTATAACATTATTGAAAAATTTTGTTATTCAACACTATTTCAGTTGCTATCCCAAGCTGAGTTTCCAACAATTTGACCTGACTTCAGTTTTCATTTGTTTGACTTGATTTAAGATTGGTAGCACGGAGAGAAGCTATTTGTTATTCAAGTCTGCAGCTCGCTATGAAAACATAATCAATAAGAATGTTATTGCTCATTCCGGCCACTTCTCAGGTCAGTTAAAAAATTGCTCTCGCTTGCTCTATCCTCAGGGTCAGTTAAAAAATTAGAACTGTTGTGCATATGTCACCAGCCACAACATTAATTGGTTTTCTAACTTAGAAGCGAATCCTTTTTGTAAAAATAAAGTTTACAGACTATCCATCTTCAAGTTGTGGGTATGAAACACTTTCTGAGTTAGTGATACGACAAGAGAGCGTTCATCTTGCATGATTACCGTTGATTCCTATTTCATAGATTTTCAGTTAGGAAGAACTCGTAGGTACCTCCATTCCATAAGCAGGCGAAACTCTTTCAAGTTTGTTTGGAATCAATATACAAAAGATATCAGAGAATCCGCCCTGCATTCTAGTTAGGGCATTTCATTTCATTCTTCGCTGTTCCATGATCAATGTATTTTTTTGCTGGTCTTCGTTGTATGGTTTGATCGTGGTTTGTGATTTGAATCGTGGTACGTGGTTCGAATTTTACCAACAACTCATTTATATGAACTTTTACACGCATTTATTTTAAAGAGACATTCGAGAACAGTACTAGTATGTTCGCTCTGGCCGCCGGCTAATATCAAAACAATAAAAAAATGGCTCCATCCTCAGAGTGCTAATATGTCTGTTGCGCCACTCGTGACGTACTTCAGTTTTGTCAGTCAGACTATGTGCTCGCATCCTTGCTAAAAAATTAGTCTTTTTTGTGTTGTCTGCACCTAATTCACAACTAGAGTACAATGTAGGGTATATCGTCACTTGATATTGGTGAAAGGTATTCTTTTTTGCTTTTGTTTTTGGTGGAATTTTGAACTCGGTCATGCTGAACGTAACGAAGGGAGTTACAAGTTAGTGCAATAAATCGAGTGTTTACTCCAAAAAATTGCAGGTAGTATTTGAATTTTTTAAATCCTTTGCCTAGAGTAGTTAGACCGGATTTCTGATCTATTTGATCACTTTCATGTGGCCATCAAAATAAATTTTCTAACCATTAATTTTTGTGCCATGAACGTTCCTCGTAAATACGTAGAATCTGTGCGTTAATATTTGAAAGGTAACAGATAAACAGGAACCGGTTTGTTTGCCTTAGAGATATCAATGCAGATTATAATAATTTGAATCGAAAATTTCCTTCCCGTATCAATTTTGACATGGACCAACCATACACAAGAAAGCGTAAGACGAATTCAAGTTTTTCAGTTAACAAGACTTAATAAAGTTAAGTACCCGAAGCACTTAAGAAGTTTAAACATATTGTACAAGTAACTCACGTAAACTTCCTGATTTGAAAGCTCAATAAAAAGAAATAATAAAGATATCAATACAATATAAATACATTACCTGATTTTTTGTATCATTTACTTTTGAAAATGACATCGTACAAATGACAGCCCCATTGTCAATGCATTTACTTAGTTCCGTTCAACTCGCTGAAGCAAATCGAAAGAAAGGCGTTGGCAATGGCTTAAATTGAAGTATGTTGTTCTTCAAATGAAGTAGGGTTTTTACCAGCCATTGTAACCAATTGATTTAAGATTACCCCATGAAAAATCACATGGAGCCAAATCGGGGGATCTGGCCGGCCAAAGAAGTTCACTCGAGGATACGATGCGCCCTGCAAAACAGCCATTAGAAAAGTACACCTCGAAAGCAAACGCACGCTGCTCACTTGTCCAATGCATAGTGGCAGCTGACTAGGTGGGACACAAAACTTCATGACCGACCTTGCATTTCATATGGCTGACTTCGCGCCCTTTTCTCACAACATCTGGCTGTTTGGCGCGAAATACCAAACGGGAAGTTTCCGTCAATCACTCTGTACAAACATACGAACATCTTTTTTTGTGCTCAATCGGAAGACGATTAGTTCGCTATTTAAGTGTAGCTATACTTCACCATGGAGTTTCAAATTTTTTGTCTTTTGTGCTACATGTTGATTATATGTAATGAGTATGTATAATTATGAACTGCATTTAAATAAGGAGATCGTTCTTCTCCAACATTTATATCGTTATTGTAAAAACACCTGATATATGTGGTGGTGGTGGTGGTGGTGGTATGGTGGTGGTGTGGTGGTATGGCGGTGTGGTGGTGGTGGATGTGGTGGTGGTGGTGGTGTGGTAGTGGTACCTCTTAATTACAAACCAAATTGAAAAATAATTGAAAAAGAAATAAAATGATGCGAAAAATATGAGATTGTATTCGATGTATGTTCGTATTCAGGGCATGACTAGATACAAGGTAATAAATACGTAGGTAATAAAGCGTATTTTTTACTTGCTATGACGTCACGGTGGTTTTCACTGGCACAAATGATCCCGGTAGTTCTAAGACAGTATCGCTAAGTTAAGACGGCAAGAGATGACTCACTCAGTAACACCTGCGCCAAACAACAGCAGTGACGGCATGATGGAGGTCGTAACAACCACGAAATGTTCAACTACTGACTAGTCAATATAATCACAAGGCATTATAGATGCGTGACCATTTTCTGTGATGCAAAAGAAAATTATTTGGCAAATTGTTTCGTCGCCCGCAGCGATCGTCGCCATATCTATATCTGTCCACTCAGTTGCCAGTTGCCTCAGCCTTCTTTTGTTTGTTAGCCATAAATGACTCAAGAGGCCAGCCCTAGCTGCCTAACATGTCATAGAATTAGATCCTATAACGAAAATGATTTAATTGCTAGAGAATACAATTAGGCTATAACATTACACCTTACACAGCAGTGACAGCACGGTAACTGATTGGTATGAATGCGTTTAGTTTGTTTACATGTTAATTTAGAATGTTTACACATGCATATATTCACATTGATTACACATGCAAAATTTGAATAATGTATCTGCATTTAAAATAATTAGGCCATTTTGTCAGTAAACTTTCGACAGAGCTAATAAGGGGAACTACTTTTTAAAATCTTCTTGAAACTTCTCATGAAGAATCAGATAGATTAGTTAGTCATCAATACGGAGAAGAAAACGACCGAGAAGAATACTTGAAGAAAATTTACATTAACATTGGATACTTTGTTAATTTGGAATGATGTCGTTAATCCATTATTTCGCATTAGCAAATCAACTTCATTTTTCATAACGGCCTTTCGAGCATACATGCAAATAATACGGCTGTCCACCATTTAAAAAAAATCAAAATTAAAAAATAATTATTTAAATTTGTTACAGAATGTTTCGTACAACAGTCTGATCTTGACTTCAAATCATTAATTTAAATCTAGTCCGAGAAGTTGAGGACCAAGTGATTATATTTATTGATCAAATAAACATTTCAATAATATTAAACTCGATGAAATCATGTCCTGTCATCATTATTATGGTACGAGGATTTGGAGATTCGTAATTAATAGAATTTATTTCCCTTGCTCGATTTCCTCTTTCTTCTTCTTGTCTTTCTGATCTTTGTTTTGATCTTTATTGAGTTTCTTGTTGATTTTCTTTGGCTTAAATGCAGACCAGTCGAGTTGGTTGACCAGGTCAGGCTGTGGTGGTCGAGGTTTGCAGCCTTCCAGCAGATGAGGCGCTACCACCGAGTACCATTGCTGCCCGGTGAATGTACAATTAATAAATTAGGAATGAATTAATGGATTAATTACAATGAATTAATTAATGCATTGTAAAATAGTGAATGAAACTAAGCTCATTATTAAATTCTGTTAATATAAACGTCTGAATTGTGAGGTGAAAATTGGCTTCCATGGAAGAGAATTGGTCAAACATGGTCTGATAATAATAAAGAGCGTGCAATCAGACCATGATTGAGCGTACAAAGATACTTTCGTTACTACAAAATTATTATTATTTATGATTTTCCTTGATATGAATGATGAAATTATATTGAGGATGAAATACATCATCTATGATCCTGAAATTACATTATTAATGATTCTCCTCGATATGAAAGTCCTGGCGATTCACTTCTACCAATTTCTCAATAGCTCAAGTGACGAATGAAAAACAAATAAATTATAAGTTTATATTCAGAGGCAGTCTTGTCTTAAACACGTATCAGATTATACCTGCATATTTTATTCTGAAATTGGCCGAAGCACCATATTTTTGACTTAACTAATGTGGCGTTTTAATATTTATTCTAAGCTCAATTCGCTAAAAGTCGTTATTTTATCTGACCTTAGCCCACGGGGTGAGGCCGATCCCGGCAACAAGGAAGTGCCACTGTGGCATGCCGAGGTGCACGAGCATCACCCGCCAGTAGGAGGCCACGTCGACGGCAATGAGGTGCGGCCGGAGACTTAAGTCCAGCAGCCACAGCGACCCGTCCAGCACCTGGTCACCTCGGCCTGGACTCACCAGCACCACCCGTCCTGGAAGGTAATTGGCATAGACTGGTGCCAATTAATAATTGGAAACCTAGTGCCAGACCAATGATTATAATTATGATTATAATTAGCCGGGCGCCAATTAAATATTAAGAAACCTAGTGCCAAAGCAATTATTATAATTATGATTATATATATCGATGAAAATCGTGATAATTAATTATCGATGAAAATGATTCATGCTAACTGCAGTTCAAACAAAAGCCTGTCATGAAACATTTCTTGATGTCAAGTTAATTTCAGGTTAATTACGCAGCAAGTTCGATTTAACTAAACAGTTCCCTATCGTTTAATAATTTGACATTTTAATTTCTTCACATACTGGCTATTTCTCATACAAAAGCTTCTGGCCCCAAACACACGTTAAGGTGTTTCTATTTAACTAGTCTCTATATATATTTCAATATCACGTGCTTTCACACCGCATTAAATATTCCATGCTCTCACCGTTGCCTTGGCAGCTGTCGACTTCAAACATCCTTGACGTGCTGAAGCTTGGCGGATGTTGAGCGACTTGGTTCCTCTTGGCAGCTGTGGTCGCTGCTGCTCCAGCTGCTGCTCGAGCCCCGACGCTTGACCGGTCTTGCCCGCTCTGTGGAAAAAAAAACAGGTAGGTAAAAACAGGTATTTTTACAGAAACAGGTATTAAAATAAAAACCGGTTTTATGCAAAAACAGGTTTTATGCAAGAACAGGTTTTATGCAAAAACAGGTTTTATGCAAAAACATGTATTTGTGCAAAAACAGGTATTTGTACAGAAAGAGGTATTAAAAGAAAAACAGATTTTATGCAAAAACAGGTATTATGCAAAAAACAGGTTTTATGCAAAAACAGGTATTTTGCAAAAAACAGGTTTTATGCAAAAACAGGTTTTATGCAAAAACAGGTTTTATGCAAAAACAGGTTTTATGCAAAAACATGTATTTGTGCAAAAACAGGTATTTGTAAAAAACAAGTATTTGTTAAAAAACAGGTATTGACACAAAACAGGCATTTATGCAAAAACAGGTATGGTAGGACGAGTAAAAGGAGGGTATAAGATAGAATAAGTCGTAAAGAAAGGACTAACTTAAGTACAGTAGTTTACCGAGACATTAGAAGATATGAAATAATGTAGCGGCAAAATCATTTGTAAAATACCTATGGACGTATTGGTCGATAAGGAAAGCTTTTCTTTCAAGGAATAATTAATTGATGATAAATATTTTTCAAAATAAAACCAAAGATGATTCAGCATTTTTTGCAATCAATTGCTTCAAATTTAAGTACAATAACTGAGATTCTAGAAAATTTAGTTGATTTTCATTTGGAACATGTAGAATTAGATATTCTCTGTGGATTATACAACTTTTCAAACATTTATTAAATTTTTTTAAACATGTTGTAATAAAGGTCACTCACATTCCTCCATACATTTACTTTCCCATTAGTTTGCTTTATTTACATCATATATGACAGATATCTGGCTATATTGCTACAAAAATATCATAATGAATGCCAGATAAATTTATCTAAACATCGGAAATGATTGAATGATCGCTCATCATTCGCTGACTTTTATTAATTTAAAGCTAAGTCGGTATTCATCACTCATGAAATTCGGCTAATAGGGGTTGTTTCATTTTCAAGGCACATAAATGAAATTCGGAAAATAGAGGTTTAATTAATTAATAAACATTAATATTTCCTTTTGCCTATGTCGCCTTTCCCCTGACCGAGGGAGGCTCCTGGGCGAGGGCGAGGTCAGTGGCCGAGGGGGCGAGAGGGTCGCCGCTGCCTCTGCCGGAGCCAAGTCTGTTGAGGCGACACAGCGGGTGGAACTCCAGGTTACCCAGAGGCAGCACCTTGCCTGGGACACATAAATATATTATTTAAAAAAATAAAATAAATAGCAAAATAAATATTAACAAAAAAACTTCAACGAATTCATGGTATACAATCTTTTTTTCAACGGACGGTAACTTAAAAGTTTTTTTTATGCGAACAGTATTGACAGGGTTAATTTATCATTAGAAAATGGTTCAAATAAAAAAAAACGAACAGATTTGAACCATTTTTCTGCGGATGGTTAATGTAATAATAAGGCATTTAGATATGAACAACATTGACAACGGTAAATTTTTCTTTAGATTATAGATTAATACTTTTTAATTCCACTGACAATAACTCTAGTCTCAATAGGTGGCACAGTCATGGTTGAACTAGTAAAACCATGGGTACAGTGAGCAATAGAGGTTGTATGCTGCAGAAATCATAGGGCATCATCGATGTTGAGCTTTGACAAAATGGCTTTGTTGAGATGAAAATAATTTGTAGAATTTTTAAGAATGGTATTGTTATTTCAGTTTTTAGTTATGTATGTTGCGTTGCGGATATTTACTAAGTAATTTCATATTGTGATGTACAGCCGGACACAAAATATGTTCCGAATTATGTTACTATGTGAATTCGTTGTGAATAGGTCGTGTAAAGATTCGAATACTGTTATTCATTATTTTTTGTATTATTTAAATTTATAATTGTATATTACATAGAGTTTTGTGTTTATTTCTAATATAATTTTGTTCATGGAATGGACAAATCTAAATATTATTCTCAAAATCTGAGACGGGAGCATTAGAAATTGTTACTGACCAATTCCTGGAAGTTATACTTGTAAAATTGGGTTTCGATTCGCGTGGGGATGATTTGACTGCAAAGGAGAGGAAAGAATAGTACTATGTGAGTGCTTAGTGAAACATTTATCCTGTCCGCTGATTTAGAGACTTCCTATGATCCGTCATGTCAAAACATGGCAAATGTTTTCAATTTATATGACACAATTTTATCATAATTTCTCGCGCAATTCCCCTAATAAATCATCACGGTCCAGCCAGACTTTAGACCGACGAAGAGAGGAGAACTTTCTTTAAAATAAAGTTGCGTAGCTTCGAGCCTGGCCAGCGTCCGACAGTTCGGCCGGCGATAGCGCTCTGTTCAGAAGACGATCTGTGGTAATTGACGGACTTCAGAAGCTGGCGCAGTTGCGCGTATTAGGCAGCCAGTAATTTAGAGTAACAACGTAACTTGGACCATCTTCGAGGCTACGGCACCGCTCGAAAATTAGGCGAGCTTCTTGAAGATAGAAACCGAACGCTTCGAAAGACTGAGACGAGCTCGCCAAAAAAGCTGGACGGGATTTTTGAACTATCCTGAATGTTAGTGAGTTGCATCAGGATTCACAAGGTTAAGAAGAATGGGAATGTTTTTTTTTTTCGCAGAATTTTGAGTAACTGAGCTTCAAAATAAATTTTATGTAGAATTGGAACTCAATTATGATAACTATCACAATTTATAACTAATGTAAAATAGTTTAAACTTTGATTGGAATGTTACTAAGAAAAATAAAAATTTATCCTCAGAGATTCGAATTCCATTACGATGCTCCGGCTCATTGCGGATCATCATCGATGGTTGAACAGATCCATCGATGGATGGATCTGCATTTTGGGGGTGGATTTTTGCGGTAACGAAGGACTTTTGGAGGGGGCTTCAAGTGACTGCAATTAAAACTTTGGCTCGAGGATGTCAGGGGAGTTGCAAGTCACGGATCTCTTGTTCAGACTTGCGGTATTTTTTGGTCTTCCTCAGCATCAATCTCCTCTAAAGCGTTTAGCTGTGGTGTTTCATTCGCTGTACAGAATTAGAAACGACTCACGAACCGTTGCGGTATGTACAATAACTTAAAATGACGTGGTAGATCACTGTACATCTAATGTTTAAAAATTTGTGTTATATGTTTTATAAAAATATTTCATAAAAAATCTTTTCTGTCGAAACATTTTTAACAAACGAAACTTAGAGCTTGGCAACGGACATAGTTTCTTGTCTGTGTAAATGTAAACGAATTGGTTTTGAATGTAAACAGTAATAATCGCAAGCAACATAAGCGTTTATCTACATATTTGTTACAAAAATTCTACGTTTTCAGATGTAAATTATATTTTTTACATCTAGAAAAATAATCATTGATTCACAACGTATAAATTTTTCGCTGCTAAAAAATAAAAATGCATAAAGCTAAAAGATATTTCTTTACAGGAAGTAAATCCACGTTTAATATATCATCCCTTAAAGATTGCTGGAAAGCCTGGCGTTCCAGCCCCGATTTCGGCGTTGCCATTGCTGTAATTAAGGTTTGAACTTTCCTAAAGATCATATCGTAGGATTACACATTAGAAACTTTCCTTATAAGCTTAACTAGGGATTTGCTCGAACTTGGCTTCCGGGATGAGGAGGTCCGTATTTCGGTCACAGAACTGGTGATGGAGAATTATGTCAATAGGATTACATGTTCCAGCGAAGAGCTCATGCCACCACTCCGCTAATTTTTTAAGTTCTGAAAAACGTGGAAATGCTCTTTTGAAATCCGTGTGGATCATTGAACCAGAGAGAAAACGTACCACTGTAGGAATAAAAATATTTGAAAACATTAGAGTGAGTAATGAGTGAGGTCATTAAAAAATATTTTAAGCACATAAAATGAATAATCTTCGGCGTAACGAAAAACTTTAGAGAAAACTGATGAATTAAATTACACTTTCATGCAGAGGAATTGTTGTAATAGGCTTGAAAAATTATAGCTGCATGCAAGCATGTTTCGGAAAAACTGAAGAAAATTGTCGCCCGGAATGGTCACGTTTTTCAAAAACTGCACGGTATAAATCTAGCACGGTATAAAAATTTGTTCTTGTGAGCGATGTATTCAGATAAACTTTCCTTTTAGTCGTTCCTATTACAAACCCAAACATTGCGGCGCAACGTTTTTAGTGATACGTCAATAAATCTCCAGTTTTACCGAACCCAACGCCATAAATGTGTCTCAACTTTTTTTCCTCGCCTCAGAAACTTTTTGGAAAACAATCGTAATTTCTGTTGATCCATCGAAAGCAGCCGCGAATGAAAAACAGCGTAGAAAACCTGCATCATTGCAGGTTCTTGGGCACGGACTTTTGGAACAGCCAAAGAAAAGTGGCAAATATGAAATTCAGCTTGGCAAACAATGGCGATCCGTGCTGCGAATGCCAAGCTTTATAATTTATGGCAGGCCGTATTGAGGAAGGCTTTGACGTGGCATGAAGGTATTTTGCCTTGAACATGTAATTTCTAAACGACGCCGCATTTCTCCAATACGAAGCCTCCTCGATCGGAAACTGGGAAACAATTGGAAGAAAACTCCGACACTGAGCCAAGTCTAGATGAGCTGTCATAAGCAAAGATAAAATTTAGCCTGATACATAATTATTACATATATCTTATTTCATCTGATTTCATCTGCATTCTTTTGATTCGATGATAGAAGCAAGGAATAGAGTGCCAGTTATTAGAATGAAAGAACAGTTATTTGAGGTGAGTTCTTGACCTAAAGTTTGTTTGCAAATTTCTGGATCTTCACACAACTGTCGAAGTATTTTATATAGGTAGTTGTAATTAACCGTATTTCCCAAATCTACATATGTATGCGACTTAATAAACAACATCATATGTAATATTTAGTATTTACTTATATTAACCTCAAGCAGAGTTTAATCACTCATTAGATTATCTTATAGGATGCGATTATAATCTTCCTTTAGGGTTTAGGTCATTGTACCAATATTTCATCGAATCCTCAATTCAGAGCTACTGAGTTAGTCCATTTATTACATATTGTGGAGGACAACAAATTATTGTTCGGCTAAGTTGAGTTTCAACTCTCCAATTATTATCGGTCAAGTGGCTTCACCTTTTATTCTTTTTTAGATTTGATTTTAGATGTCGACTTAACACTTTACAAATGTAGAAATGCTCATTACGCCAGAACGTTAAGAACAAACTGCATTTACTCATCCATCATGGCTGCATTCCAACGTACCTCCCCACAAGACACCTGACATTAAACCAACGTTGGATAATTGTTATTTCGACGAAAACAACTCGAAATAAACGTTATGTAAACGTTATTTGTCTGCATGTACCATCACCTGCAGTAGAGTAGTTCCAGGTGAGACTGATGCCGTCGGTGGTGGCGTACAAAGCCCGTAGAGTTTGTGGCAGCTGCACGGCTTGTCGTTGCTCCCACGTGCTGATGGCACCACGTTCGACGCCCGGCCGAACCACGACGTTCACTCCTTGTACTCCGGGTATCTTGTCTGTATAAATAATAATAGGTTATCACAATGCAAATGACGTTCAACCAACGTTTAATTAACGTTGGTTAAACGAAATAACGGGTAATTCAACGTCAGATGTCTGCTTTGTTATTATGTCCAAAAAGATGCAAACTTGTTTACCCACAACATCAGTTGAGAGCGTTTCTAGCACTGATAAGACATTTTTCTGGCCAAACTGGGATATTTATGACCCTCATACGCGCGAAATGTGCATCGTTGTTTGAAGAAAGTCACATTGACTAATCTGAGTGTTGTGGAATCATTTTTTTACGGCTGGATAACGTGTTTAGATAATTTTATTAGGTTTATATTAAAATAACGAAATTATATGGTTGATATTTTGAATGATTTTATTTGGTGTCAAACTTGTGCCATATTTTTTGCTGTGTACCCATGATCGAACTGTGATTTGACCAAAATTGCCCAGATGATAATTGTTCTAATTAAAATAATATGTCATAATTAAATTACAAGAGGAGTCTATTGTTTAGCGGTTTGAATTAATCGTACAAACATATTGCTCCTGAGAAACTCAATGTTGATCACAAAAGTTTAAAAGAAAACTATTATGCTTGTGCTGGAATTAAAACAAACGACGAGAATAGTTCTAGTGGGTTGATTCATGCATGGAAAATTGACAATTGTTATTTTCAATATTTTGTTTCACATAATAAGTTTTTATTATAATTTCAAAAATTCATAATTAACTTCATCAATTCAGATAAAATGTTTTGAAGTGTGATTCTATAAATTACTCACTGAGTGTATGAACGAGGTCAAAGGTGATACTCACTGAGGGTCTGTACGAGGTCAAGGGTGAGGTCGGTCACTAGACCGCTGTCCCGAGGTCGCGTCAGCTGACTGCTCTCCGCGCACTTCATGATTTATTTTAATACATTCAAGATTTATAATCAATCTCCATAGATTACTTTTATTTATTCATATACATTTCTATATTTTCTTTCATTCTATTTCTATATTCTATATTATTTATTTCTATATATTCGAGGATATTTCTCTAATTTGCGTAAATTAGTCTATCCGCTCACTTTTTTAATAAATAATTTGTAAACAGTATTGTAAGCGAACACCGAAGTTCAGAGCTTTATTCAATAAAAATACAACATCGTGAAACCAAATTACACGAGTATAAGAAGAGTAATACGACAACGTGTAAGGAATTTATTCATATGTGAATGTCATACACATGCATAAACTAATTACAAAATACTTACAAGAACAGTAGTTCTAGGTCTTGAACGTACAAGAACCGAGCCAATTCTAATGACAGTCATTAGTTCTAAATCGAAGTAACTTACTAGAATAAACTATATGTTATACAGAATAAGATGTAGCTACACATGAGCGCTACAACAGAAATTGCTTTAATAAATTGCGTTAATAGTTATTTTTCAATATAATATATAAAGTGCAATTCGTAATTTTAATTATATTTTTCTTCTGGTTTTAACATCTGAGCACACGGAACAATTTTTTCAGTTCATTTAGATAATAACTTGAAGCTACGGTGGGTTTATTGTTTGTTTTTGAAAGATTTTAAAAGCTTCTATCTTTTGGGTGCTCGATGACTGACTTCATGTTATTAGGTTATTAGTATATAATTAATTGTTTTCAACTTAAAAATTCGTAATTTCAGTCAAAAAAGTTTTGATTACACATTTTCAGACCACCATTACTACATTGAATTCAATTTTATCCTAGAACTTGAGTTTTAATACAAAGTTTTATAATTTTAATTGAAACATCGCTACGGCCTGTGAATTTTAATATTATTCGAAATGAAATGGATAAATGTGATATTCTACACTAAAAAATTTTAAATTACAGTGATTCAAATTTAAAGTGCTGGATTTAGGCTAGTCCTGCATTTTATTAATATTATTTATCATAATAGAAAGAATAAATTCACAAAGCGATGAATATTCAAGTCTTAGAATAATAAATAATATGATGACAGGTAAGAGAAAACACTATTTTAAATTTCGAACAAGAGGATTTAGATAGTCTAGAATTATATTTATAATCAAATATTCAATTAATGCTGAACAAACATGGTTCTTTAGGGATTACTAATTGCAACATGAAACATTGTATTGCTTTCAACCAATGAAAATGGATCGTTTATCATATTTCTTGATTCAACTCGCAGAGTTTGCTCGTCGCTCGTGTTCATTTCGGTAAATGTCGGTAGCACGCCGTTGATTTCTTATACTCCTGCTGGTGAAGTTGTAACTTCAAGATAAATAGTTCAACACTTACTCTAATAATCGTTCGACGAGTCATAATATTTGTTCAAACATGATAACGATGAACGATGAAAATACTACCGACTAACCATCGCCGCAAGCACAGCTCAACTATAGCGTCTCTGTCGCCATGGCAACTGACCACGCGCGTCAGTTTCAGCTGATCGTTCGTTTATAAAATAAAGTATGTCATTATGTCTATAAAGCCATGTTGTTAATATAATATGTATCGGAGAATCCAAAAATACAATCGAATAAAATGTAAAGCTTGTATACCCAAAATCAGTTAAACGTATGCTGAATGAGAAGTGTTCATTCAAGACTAAGAATAGAAAGTAACATTGCCAATTAATTGGGCGGTGTATAGGAGGAAAAAATGGAACCCAGAAGGAAGCAACAGCAAAATCTCATTATGAACTTATGTACAAAGCCTCTGAGGTGCTATATGTTTGACTAGACTACCAGATTTAATTTAATGTGAATGAAGATTCGTGCAATCTATGACAGTGTTTGCGACGTGTTATTTTAAAAGAAACTGTCAGTAAAAATATGAATTTTCAATGCGAGTTGCACCATCGAACATTTTTCTCGCGGATTCACAATGTCAAAATTTAATTATAATCGGTGAAACATTCGGTCTGTTCGAATGTATCCAGGAATATTTGTTTAGCCCTATAGAAAATATATCTGCTTGCTAGTTTGGTTCAAAGATTCTCTAGCAATATTGTAAAACTCTAACTTTTGTCGCAGAAACAATACTTGAACACTGAGAGCAAGAAAAAAGTAAAACGCAAAAAGCGCAGTGCGCGGTCTTTCAGCCCCGGCTCAGTGATTGACTTGGTAGGGAATTGTCCGCGACACTTCAATTTTTGGCTTGCCTCGGTACGCGATGAATCGATCTGTGAATGCAATGCATAGAATTGAATTGCATCTTCAAACGTCAATTTTGTAGGGCAACGTTTACGGTGAAATGCGTTCAGAATGGGATAGGAGTGCGGGAAGAGAGCGGGTGGCAGAGAGACCCTGCGAGAACAATATTTCTGATCGGAGGCTGGAAAACTGAGTGAGATTAGGGGAATAAATTTATTGAAAGCCCTGTACAAAAAGGTAGGAAGGATAGAAAAATACACCAATATTCAGATATGGCACATCGTTGTTTAGGAGCGAGCAATGAAAGTAAATAATTCAGTTGTTGGTGATATTCACTGCATCCGCATATTTTAATATGTAGTCTTCATTCCTAACTACTGAAAATCATCCTATGTAGAAGTAGGCAAAGCCTTTTTGAATCGAAATATGTGTATATTCATGGCTTGCGACTGGTGCACGGAGACCGAACTGTTTGGTGAGGGACCATTCCTCTATCGTGATGATTTATCTTGGATATTTACTTATTCATTGAATATTTCTGTTAAAATATTGTGCTTGTATCAACAATTCTATTTTGTTGTATAGTTTACATATGTTCATCTGTATGTTTTCAGAAACCGTTTGCGGAATGTCAAAGAAAGAGTCAATCGTTGAGGCATTTAATATCCTGCCATGCGAAAATTCTACAGTGATGAAAGATTGAAACGAAAGTCGGCTAATAAATTTATGTTACAGTAGAGGTCGTCTTTATACACTGCTAATTATTATAGATTTCATTCGCTTTTTTCGATAACCTTGTGCAGTGATTGGTAAATCTTTAGTTTTGATTAAGTAAAGTATTCAGAACTACGTAATACCCGTCTCCCCAACACGATAACTATTCTTGGGACGATTAATGCAAAGATTATGAAACATCAGACGATCTTGGATGCAATAAACACATTGAAATAAGAAATGTATAATGCAAAGATTATGAAGCATCAGACAATTTGAAATGCAATACACATATTGAAATCATAATACTTTTCTATCCAACTCTGCCTTCAATTTATTGCTACGCTATACCGTCATCAGTCTCTCCAATATACCAAGCAACGTACACCAAACTCCGAACGCTGCGAAAAAACACAAGAACGAAGGTATCCCCACGAAGGTATCCCCAGCCTTATGGATTTCCGAGGCTCATCGTTCCTCGCTTCGTTCCCTCAAAAGAAAAGGAACAATCGTCTGCTTCTGATCCATTACGACTTATCCCGACCGTAATCATCTTCTCACTATTTTGCTGACGACAGCAAAAATTCCTGCGTCATCTCAGCAGACGTGCGCTGACAGAAGCTCGAGGGAGGAGCGTCAGCTGCCAACTGATTAGTCTAATTATCAATTTTATGTCCAATTTTGCCGAGACAGATTATCATTACGCCATTATTAGATCTTATGGGTTTTGCCGGGACTTTTTCAGAGAAATCCGAAGTGTCAATATCGGAAAGAGGAGACGTCTTAGTCGCTTTCTTTATTTTCAACGATCTGAGTAGAGATGATTGTGAATGACGCGTCTGACGAATAATTAATTTAACGGAATTGAAGTGATGTGTAATGGATCATCGATATTTCAGGGGGAGTGCAAGAGGTCTTATGCGGAGATAAATTGCACTTGAAATTGCTTTTAAATGCACCTATAGGTTTTTATCTCTTCAACAAGAGGCAAATATACTTTATCGGGGACTATTTAATAAAAAAAACCATCGGTTTCCTTAAACATTTAAAGAATAACTATAATAAAAACAAATGATAGATCCGAGAATACAAATAATACAAGAATAAAAACGAGTGTTCTCTATGCTCTCGTTCATACATTTTTCTCAAGATTTGGAGCCTTTCTGTAATATAAAATCACATCCAAATTTAGAATTAGTAATAATCAATTAAACACTGAATACAGAACCTTATACACACACAATATACAAATGAATAAAAAATATAACTCAGTACTCACTGCAGTGAGTGACAGAGATCGAATTTTCTCGTCGACGAACACGTAAAGTCACGGACGGACAGTCGGACAGACAGACAGATGGACAGACGGACATGACCAGCACAATAGTGCATTTTTTCAATAAATGAGAAAATACGCTAAAAACATGTATTTCTATAAATTAACGATAACTATTTAAGCGCCACTAAATTTATACGCACATTGCAGTCACAAATATAACCAGAACCAATGCAAACACTCACCTCTGTGGTGGATCAAGCATCAATGGTAACTAAGAAACCATTCACGGGCGAAGTCATATCGGTGGTAATTCAAACCTTGAAAGGCCAAATTATACGAGTCTTATTGCAATCCATTACAGCATTTAACTGTAATATGTTAAGACTTAAACAAATATTTATTTTGAATTTCAGAAAATACTGAAATTTTCGTCTGTAGGCTTACAATATCACGTTGCTGTGACGTCATGATTACCATCATGACGTCACGATTACCATCCAGCCATGACGTCACGATTACCATCCAGCCATGACGTCACGATTACCATCTAGCCATGGCAATCAATCTTCAAATTAGCCTTATATGAATCCTTTACGTATGTTCATGAAATTCACCTTCTGAGATAAATATGGAAATTTTATGAAATTACCAGTAACAGAAAAATGTACAAAAGAAAACAGAAAAATGTGCTGTTTACAATAGGTTAGCAATTCGGAAAAATAACAGATCAGGAGGAACCAAGTATCAATAA